CGGTCTTGGTCTTGGTCTTGGATCAGTCCTGGTCCTGGTCTCAGTCTTGGTCTCTCGGTCTTGGATCAGTCCTGGTCTTGGTCTGGTCTTGTGGATCAGTCCTTGGTCTTGGATCAGTCCTGGTCTTGGTCTTGGGATCAGTCCTGTCTGGTCTTGGATCAGTCCTGGTCTTGGTCTTGGTGGATCAGTCCTGGTCCTGGTCTGGTCTTGGATCAGTCCTGGTCTTGGATCAGTCCCTGGTCTTGGTCTCGGTCTTGTCCTGGTCTTGGATCAGTCCTGGTCTTTGTCCTCTTGGTCTGGTCTGGTCTTGGATCAGTCCTGGTCTTGGTCCAGTCTTGGTCTGGTCTTGGATCAGTCCTGTCTTGGTCTCTTGGTCTCTCCTTGTCCTGGTCTTGGATCAGTCCTGTCTTGTCTTGGTCTTGGATCAGTCTTGGTCCTGGTCTTGGATCAGTCCTGGTCTTGGTCCTGGTCTTGGATCAGTCCTGGTCTTGGTCCTTCTGGTCTTGGTCTTTCTTGGTCCTGGTCTGGTCCTGTCTTGGATCAGTCCTGGTCTGGTCTGGTCTTGGTCCTGGTCTTGGATCAGTCTTGGTCTTGGATCAGTCCTGGTCTTGGATCAGTTCCTGGTCTGGTCTTGGATCAGGGTCTTGGTCTTGGTCCTGGTCTGTCCTGGTCTTGGATCAGTCCTGGTCTTGGATCTCAGTCCTGGTCTGGTCTGTCTTGGATCAGTTGGTCTTGGTCTGGTCTTGGTCTGGTCTTGGTCCTGGTCTTGGATCAGTCCTGGTCTTGGATCAGTCCTGGTCTTGGTCTCTTGGATCAGTCCTGGTCTTGGTCTGGTCTTGGATCAGTCCTGGTCTTGGTCTGGTCTTGGTCTGGTCTTGGATCAGTCCTGGTCCTGGTCCTGGTCTTGGATCAGTCCTGGTCTTGGTCCTGGTCTTGGATCAGTCCTGGTCTGGTCTGGATCAGTCTTGGTCTTGGTCTCCTGGTCTTGGATCAGTCCTGGTCTTGGATCAGTCCTGGTCTTGGTCCTGGTCTTGGATCAGTCCTGGTCTTGGTCTTGGTCTTGGATCAGTCCTGGTCTGGTCTGGTCTTGGATCAGTCCTGGTCTGGTCCTGGTCTTGGTCCTGGTCTGGTCTTGGTCTTGGTCTTGGATCAGTCCTGGTCTTGGTCCTGGTCTTGGATCAGTCCTGGTCTTGGTCTGGTCTTGGTCTTGGTCTTGGTCTTGGATCAGTCCTGGTCTTGGTCCTGGTCTTGGATCAGTCCTGGTCTTGGTCCTGGTCTTGGATCAGTCCTGGTCTTGGTCTTGGTCCTGGTCTTGGATCAGTCCTGGTCTTGGTCTTCTTGGTCTGGTCTTGGATCAGTCCTGGTCTTGGTCCTGGTCTCTGGTCCTGGTCTGGTCTTGGTCCTGGTCTTGGATCAGTCCTGGTCTTGGTCTTGGTCCTGGTCTTGGATCAGTCCTGGTCCTGGTCTTGGTCTGGTCTTGGTCTTGGTCTTGGATCAGTCCTGGTCTTGGTCTTGGTCTTGGTCTGGTCTTGGTCCTGGTCTTGGATCAGTCCTGGTCTTGGTCTGGTCTTGGTCTTGGTCCTGGTCTTGGATCAGTCCTGGTTCCTCTCAGTGACAGAAGAGAAAAACAAACACACGTCACATCAGCCTTTAGATTTTCCACATTTTATTGAAAACTTGCTTTAAAAATGAAGTGGGACGAGCAGCTGCACCTGAGCGTCAAAAGCAGTTAAAGGTTGAATCTCTCGGCGGAAGATTCCAGAATACAACTTTAAATACTACGTACAATACATACAAACATACACGGACGCACATGTACAGCACCTTTATGTACACGACTTTATAAACCTAACAGCTTCAGTGTTGCACTTGGGCAGGTTTTTTTGGGGAATAGAACCAGCGTCTTATTTTGAAGGCACAGATCAGTTCCTCTTCAGCCACACTCCAAACTCCAATCAATATCATCGACGACGCAGCTGCGCTCGCTCCACAAACAGCAGGAAGAGTTCACGTGCAACCAGATTACAAGTACCGGAGTAATCAGAGTACAAGTACCGGAGTAATCAGAGTACAAGTACCGGAGTAATCAGAGTACAAGTACCGGAGTAATCAGAGTACAAGTACCGGAGTAATCAGATTACAAATGACGAGTAACTGTATTCGGTTACAGTTACTGTTTCAGTGAGTGGGAATTGGATTACAGTTACTTTGTTGGAATAAATGGAGGATTACACGGCGGGATTTTACTGTTTTCACATTTTGGGGCTAAACCAGGACTAAACCAGGACTAAACCAGGACTAAACCAGGTCTAAACCGGGACTAAACCGGGACTAAAACAGGACTAAACCAGGACTAAACCTAAACCTAAACCGGGACTAAACTAAACCGGGACTAAAACACGACTAAAACCAGGACTAAACCAGGACTAAAATCATAAACCAGGTCTAAACAGGACTAAAAAACCAGGACTAAAACCAGGTTTTAGTCCTGGTTTAATCTGGTTTAGTCCTGGTTTAACCTGGTTTAGTCCTGGTTTAGTCTTTTAGACCTGGTTTTAGTCCTGGTTTAGTCCTGGTTTTTAGTCCTGGTTTAGCTGGTTTAGACCTGGTTTAGTCCTGGTTTTAGTCCTGGTTTAGTCCTGGTTTTAGACCTGGTTTAGTCCTGGTTTAGTCCTGGTTTAGTCCTGTTTTAGTTTTTAGTCCTGGTTTAGTCCTGGTTTAGTCCTGTTTAGACCTGGTTTTAGTCCTGGTTTAGTCCTGGTTTAGATCTGGTTTAGACCTGGTTTAGTCCTGTTTTAGTCCTGGTTTAGATCCTGGTTTTAGACTGGTTTAGTCCTGGTTTAGACCTGGTTTAGACCTGGTTTATTTTTAGTCCTGGTTTAGCCCAAAATGTGAAAACAGTAAAATCCCTCCGTGTAACCCTCCATTTATTTCAACAAAGTAACTGTAATCCAATTCCCACTCACTGAAACAGTAACTGTAACCGAATACAGTTACTCATCATTTGTACTCTGATTACTCCGGTACTTGTAATCTGTTACTGGTCATAACGACACGACGACCCAAAACGTGGTCACTCGGACTCGGGGGATCGGGAAGCAGCTGCGCTCATTCAGTTACAGGAAAATAAAAAGCGTTTAACAGTGCAAACGGTCGAGACGCGTGAGGAGAAACGACGGCGTAAACCTCATGAATCACTCCAGAGCTTCGTGGTTTAGAACAGGATCGAAAACTAAAGTGACTAAAGTGATTATAGAAGAGACACTTTGCTACAGAAACCAGGATTCCCACTCTTTTCCACGGATACAATTCAAACTTTAAAAGGTTGTATAGAGGATTTTTAAGGGAAAAGAAACGCAGCGACAGTTCTTTTTGAAATGTTGTGCATGTGTGACACCACCTTCCTCAGTAGAAACATCTCCTCCCGCCTCTTTACTCTAGAAATCACACTTGTTTACAGCCAGTGCGCGTTCAGAATTACTGTTGAAGTTTCCTGTCTAGAAGTAATTCAGCGACCGACGCGTCAGTTTTTAGCTTTGTTCATTTTCTCCTTCTCTTCTTCTTTCAGTGACGTCAAAAACGGACTTTCTTTTGTGGCGAACCGGTCGTTGATTCTCGTCCGCCATCGCAACAAACTTTGTGTGAAATGCGTGGAAGCTACAGTTTTAAAAAGCCTCTAAAGTCAGTTACACTCGAAACGTAGGGAGCTTGATTGACAACCTAACAGCCAATAGATAAAGAGGGAGCCTCGTTTTCTGTTGGCTGATGTTTATCTGGCCTCAACGCGTCCACAGTTGATGGATTTTCATTCTTTTTTTTTTTTGGTCATCATAATTACAAGGCTGCTGCATCTCTGTAATGATATTTTAAACTTTCATTGACAATTTGTAACAAAACAAAAAATCCTCCATACAACCTTTAACACATTTTTCAGAATCTAAAGTGAATTTTCAGCACGTTACACGGGTCAATCCGTAAGGAAATCAGCTTTTTTAGTTTTCGAAGAATCTCCCCCATGAGCCGTTTCAGTTTTGACTGAAAAAACCCCAAACTATCACCTCAAACCAAAACACAGGCAAGTCCAAACTAGTCCCTAATGGGGTGAACAAATGCGGCCCTGAACAGACAAACCAGACTGAACCAGGACTGAACCAGGACTTTAAACTTGGCCCTGACTGACTAAACCAGGACTCCAGGTGAATTGGCTGAACCAAATGACCTTGGACATCAGGATGAAATAAACTTTTTATTGCAAGTTGTTTTTTTTTTTTTAAATCTGTCTTGATAAAGCAAATGTTTAATATTTAGTTTGTGGTTTTAAGGATTTTAGCATGAAGAAAGTCTGATGCTTCGTTCTAACGTGTTAAAGGTTGTATAGAGGATTTTTTTAAGGGAAGAGAAATACAGCGACAGTACTTTTTTCAAATTGTGCAAGCGTTCAGAATTACTGTTGAAGTTTCCTGTCTAGAAATAATTTAACGACCGACGCGTCTTCAGTTTTTAGACCCTTCGTCTGCTTCGGTCGCGCCATCGCTGGAAGAATCTCCAAGAATCACCTCAGTTTGTCTTTGCTCCTTTTCCTCTTCTCTTCTTCTTTCGGCGACCTCAAAAACGGACTTTCTTTTGCGGCGAACCGGTCGTGGATTCTCGTCCGCCGTCGCGACAAACTCTGTGCGAACTGCGAGGAAGCGACAGTTTAAAAAATCCTCTAAGAACCGCCGCATAAACCACGTAATCGAAGAACATGACTCCAACCCAGTTCAGTTACACTAGTTGAGTTTGATTGACAACCTAACAGCCAATAGAAAATGAGGGAGCCTCAGTTTTCTATTGGCTGATGTTTATCTGCCTCAAACTACGTCCACAGTTGATAAATTTTAGTTCTTTTTTTTTTGGTCAATCAATAATTACAAAGCTGCACATAGGTCTCTGTAATGGTAATTTTAATGCTTTCAATGAAGTTTGAAACAAAAAAAAAATGCAAGGGTTTGCCTGTTAAGGATAATTTAAGGGTCCTGTTGGTGCATCACTCGTGGTCATACTGGTCTCATATTTACTTTGTTTTATGGTGTTTGTTTATGTGCTGCTTTGTGTTGTGTCGTCCTGTTTTTTGATAAAACATGTTACTCCCTGTCCCAAGACAAATTTCTCCCATGGGAGACAATAAAGAATTATCTTATCTTATCTTATCTTAATCCCCGCGCGCCGACGAGTCAGTTACACTAGAAACGTAGGGAGTTTGATTGACGACCTAACAGCCAATAGAAAATGAGGCAGCCTCGTTGTCTATTGGCTGATGTTTCTCTAGCCTCACTACGTCCACAGTTGATACATTTTCATTCTTTTTTTCTTTTCGGTCATCATAATTACAAGGCTGCTGCGTCTCTGAAACGGCATTTTAAACTTTCAATGACAATTTGAAACTTAAAAAAAAAATCCCCCGTACAACCTTTAATGCGTTTATCATTAACCGTGGAGCGCCGGGGTCGGACCAAACTTCGCAAGAGCTTCGTCAAGACGCGGAAGAACAGTTTGAAATCCAGCGAGAGGCACGTTGCATAGATCCTAAAACGATTTACCACCACAGTTTTGTTTTTGTTTTTTTCCGTCGTCATGGAGAGGCAGGAAAAGTGCAGCGTCGCCCTGAGTCACACCTTCAGCCGGGGACATTCTTCGCTCGTTTGATGCTGCGATCTTAAAAAAAAACAAAAAAAAAAAAAAAACGCTGCGGCCGGAGACGAGAGCTTCGGACTTCAGCCCAGGTCGGTGCCGCTGATGACCCGGAACACGTGGAGGGAGTTGTGCAGCAGCGAGCGGAGCATGTCCTCCTGGTAGATCTGCAGGTTCAAATGTAAAAAAACAAATATATTAAAAAATAAATTAGGTTTGTAAGTTGGAAATGTACGACGGAGTTTAAGGGTCAGATTAAAAAAATAAAAAACATGCTGGAGCTACGAGAATAAAGTCGTAACATTTCCACGTTAGAGTTTTAATTTTACGAGAATAAAGTCGAAATAAAATCAAAGTCAAAGTGAAAAAATAAGAAAACGAACAATTTTCTTCATTATTTGTGCCTCCGGACTGAACCAGGACTGAAACAAGGACTAAACCAGGACTGAACCAGGACTGAACCAGGACTAAAACCAGGACTGAACCAGGACTGAAGGACTAAACCAGGACTGAACCAGGACAAACCAGGACTAAACCAGGACTAAACCAGGACTAAACAAGGACTAAACCAGGACTAAACCAGGACTAAACCAGGACTAAACCAGGACTAAACGAGGTCCGGGACCAGACCGGGACTGAGACCAGGACTAAACCAGGACTAAACCAGGACTAAATGAGGTCCGGGACCAGACCGGGACTGAGACCAGGACTAAACCAGGACTAAACCAGGACTAAATGAGGTCCGGGACCAGACCAGGACTAAACCAGAACTAAACCAGGACTAAACCAGGACTAAACAAGGTCCGGGACCAGACCGGGACTGAGACCAGGACTAAACCAGGTCTAAACCAGGACTAAACAAGGTCCGGGACCAGATCGAGACTGAGACCAGGACTTAGACAAGGACTGAGCCAGGGACCAAGACTGAGACCGGGATCAGACAAGAACTGAAAACGGTTCAGCCCTGGTTCAGCCCTGGTTCAGTCCTGGTTCAGTCCTGGTTTAGTCCTGGTTCAGTCCTGGTTCAGTCCTGGTTTAGTCCTGGTTCAGTCCTGGTTTAGTCCTGGTTCAGTCCTGGTTCAGTCCTGGTTCAGTCCTGGTTCAGTCCTGGTTCAGTCCTGGTTCAGTCTGGTCCTGGTTAGTCAGTCCTGGTTCAGTCCTGGTTCAGTCCTGGTTAGTCCTGGTTTAGTCCTGGTTCAGTCTGGTTCAGTCCTGGTTTAGTCCTGGTTCAGTCCTGGTTCAGTCCTGGTTCAGTCCTGGTTAGTCCTGGTTTAGTCCTGGTTCAGTCCTGGTTCAGTCCTGGTTCAGTCCTGGTTTAGTCCTGGTTCAGTCAAATGAACAAATGATACACGGATTCTTCTCCTTTACAAAATTCTCCAAATTCTCCACTCGTTCAGACTGATATTCTCAAAATATTACCACTTTATTTTGACTACGACTTTATTCTCCTAAAATTACTACTCTATTCTCCTAAAATTACGACTTTATTGTTGTAAAATTATGACTTTATTCCCCTAAAATTACGACTTTATTCTTGTAAGTTTACGACTTTATTCTCATAATATTACGACTTTAATGTGGAAATGTTACGACTTTATTCTTGTAGCACCAGCATGTTTTTTTTTTGTTTTTTTTTTTTATCTGACCCTTATACTCCGTCGTAGAAATGAGCCACTGTCCATTGTCCTTTTTTTTTTTTTTTCATAAATATACATGCATTTTTTTTTTTTTTATATACATGCATTTTTTGTGTGTGTGTGTGTTACCTGTTTGTCCTCAAAGCTTAAGTTCAGCAGGTTTGAGAAAGAAACCACAAAAAACATGAGTGTTAGTGAAGGGTTGAATTTCCTGTTAATAAAGTCACGCCACAGTTGAGAAAGTGAAGTTGGCAACGAACAAGCGACGACATGAAAAAGACGACACGCAAACATTCACAAACAGGTCGGAGCAGCACGAGGTTTAAACACGAAGAGTTTAAACACCAAGAGTTTAAACACCAAGAGTTTAAACACCAAGAGTTTAAACACCAAGAGTTTAACACCAAGAGTTTAAACACCAAGAGTTTAAACACCAAGAGTTTAAACACCAAGAGTTTAAACACCAAGAGTTTAACACCAAGAGTTTAAACACCAAGAGTTTAACACCAAGAGTTTAACACCAAGAGTTTTAAACACCAAGAGTTTAACACCAAGAGTTTAAACACCAAGAGTTTAAACACCAAGAGTTTAAACATTTAAGAGTTTAAACACAAGAGTTTAAACACAAAGAGTTTAAACACCAAGAGTTTAAACACCAAGTTTAAACACCAAGAGTTTAAACACAAGAGTTTAAACACCAAGAGTTTAAACACCAAGAGTTTAAACACCAAGAGTTTAAACACCAAGAGTTTAAACACCAAGAGTTTAAACACCAAGAGTTTAACACCAAGAGTTTAACACCAAGAGTTTAAACACCAAGAGTTTAAACACCAAGAGTTTAACACCAAGAGTTTAAACACCAAGAGTTTAAACACCAAGAGTTAAACACCAAGAGTTTAAACACCAAGAGTTTAAACACCAAGAGTTTAAACACCAAGAGTTTAAACACCAAGAGTTTAAACACCAAGAGTTTAAACACCAAGAGTTTAAACACCAAGAGTTTAACACCAAGAGTTTAACACCAAGAGTTTAAACACCAAGAGTTTAAACACCAAGAGTTTAAACACCAAGAGTTTAAACACCAAGAGTTAAACACCAAGAGTTAAACACCAAGAGTTTAAACACCAAGAGTTTAACACCAAGAGTTTAAACACCAAGAGTTTAAACACACACAAGAGTTTAACACAAGAGTTTAAACACCAAGAGTTTAAACACCAAGAGTTTAAACACGAGTTTAACACCAAGAGTTTAACACAAGAGTTAAACACAAGAGTTTAAACACCAAGAGTTTAAACACCAAGAGTTTAAACACCAAGAGTTTAAACACCAAGAGTTAAACACCAAGAGTTTAAACACCAAGAGTTTAAACACCAAGAGTTTAAACACCAAGAGTTTAAACACCAAGAGTTTAAACACCAAGAGTTTAAACACCAAGAGTTTAACACCAAGAGTTTAAACACCAAGAGTTTAAACACCAAGAGTTTAAACACCAAGAGTTTAAACACCAAGAGTTTAAACACCAAGAGTTTAAACACCAAGAGTTTAACACCAAGAGTTTAACACCAAGAGTTTAAACACCAAGAGTTTAAACACCAAGAGTTTAAACACCAAGAGTTTTAAACACCAAGAGTTTAAACACCAAGAGTTTAAACACCAAGAGTTTAAACACCAAGAGTTTAAACACCAAGAGTTTAAACACCAAGAGTTTAACACAGTTTAACCAAGAGTTTAACACCAAGAGTTTAAACACAAGAGTTTAACACCAAGAGTTTAAAACACCAAGAGTTTAAACACCAAGAGTTTAACACAAGAGTTTAACACCAAGAGTTAACACCAAGAGTTTAAACACAAGAGTTTAACACCAGAGTTAAACACCAAGAGTTTAAACACCAAGAGTTTAAACAAGAGTTTAACACCAAGAGTTTAAACACCAAGAGTTTAAACACCAAGAGTTTAACACCAAGAGTTTAACACCAAGAGTTTAACACCAAGAGTTTAAACACCAAGAGTTTAAACACCAAGAGTTTAAACACCAAGAGTTTAAACACCAAGAGTTTAAAACACCAAGAGTTTAACACAAGAGTTTAACACCAAGAGTTTAAACACCAGAAGAAACACCAGAGTTTAAAACACCAAGTTTAAACACCAAGAGTTTAACACCAAGAGTTTAAACACGAGAGGAAACGACAAGAAGATAGTTTCATTGGGTTTGGAATTTTAAACACCACTTTGAACGTTTTTATTCTGAATTTTTTGATTTTTTTTTTTTTTTCTATATGTTTCAAATTGGTCTGGACCTGGACTAAACCAGGTCTAAACCAGGTCTAAACCAGGTCTAAACCAGGTCTAAACCAGGACTAAACCAGATCTAAACCAGGACTAAACCAGGTCTAAACCAGGTCTAAACAGGACTAAACCAGGACTAAACTAAACCAGGACTAAACAGGTCTAAACCAGGTCTAAACCAGGACTAAACCAGGATTAAACCAGGACTAAACCAGGTCCAAACCAGGACTAAACCAGGTCCAAACCAGGACTAAATCAGGTCTAAACCAGGTCTAAAACAGGTCTAAACCAGGTCTAAACCAGGTCTAAACCAGGACTAAACCAGGACTAAAACAGGTCTAAACCAGGACTAAACCAGGTCTAAACCAGGACTAAACCAGGTCTAAACCAGGACTAAAACAGGTCTAAACCAGGTCTAAACCAGGACTAAACCAGGTCTAAACCAGGTCTAAACAGGTCTAAACCAGGTCTAAAACAGGTCTAAACCAGGTCTAAACCAGGTCTAAAACAGGTCTAAACCAGGTCTAAACCAGGTCTAAACCAGGTCTAAACCAGGACTAAAACAGGTCTAAACCAGGTCTAAAACAGGTCTAAACCAGGACTAAACCAGGTCTAAACCAGGTCTAAACCAGGTCTAAACAGGTCTAAAACCAGGTCTAAACCAGGTCTAAACCAGGACTAAAACAGGTCTAAACCAGGTCTAAAACAGGTCTAAACCAGGTCTAAACCAGGTCTAAACCAGGTCTAAAACAGGTCTAAACCAGGTCTAAAACAGGTCTAAACCAGGTCTAAACCAGGTCTAAACCAAACCAGGACTAAAACAGGTCTAAACCAGGTCTAAACCAGGTCTAAACCAGGTCTAAACCAGGACTAAACCAGGTCTAAACCAGGACTAAATCAGGTCTAAAAGGTCTAAACCAGGACTAAACCAGGTCTAAACCAGGTCTAAAACCAGGTCTAAACCAGGACTAAACCAGGTCTAAACCAGGTCTAAACTAAACCAGGACTAAAAACAGGTCTAAACCAGGACTAAAACAGGTCTAAACCAGGTCTAAACCAGGTCTAAACCAGGTAAACCAGGTAAGGTCTAAAACAGGACTAAACCAGGACTAAACCAGGTCTAAACCAGGTCTAAACCAGAAACTAAAACCAGGATTAAACCAGGTCTAAAACAGGACTAAACCAGGTCTAAACCAGAACTAAAACAGTAAAACAGGTCTAAATCAGGACTAAACTAGGACTAAACCAGGTCTAAACCAGGTATAAACCAAGGACTTAAACCAGGTCTAAATCAGGTCTAAACCAGGTCTAAACCTGGTCTAAACAGGTCTAAAACAGGTCTAAACCAGGTCTAAACCTGGTCTAAACTAGGAAACCAGGCTAAAACCAGGTCTAAACCAGGTCTAAACAGGTCTAAACCAGGGTCTAAACCAGGACTAAACCAGGTCTAAACCAGGTCTAAACCAGGCCTAAACCAGGTCTAAACCAGGTCTAAACCAGGTCTAAACCAGGTCTAAACCAGGTCTAAACCAGGACTAAACCAGGTCTAAACCAGGTCTAAAGATTGGGATGAGAGGAGCTGGAGCAGTGGGAGGACGTGTTCAGTTTAATCTGGTAAATGTGGAGGATAATGATGATATAAACAAACATCAGAGTCATTTCCCGATCAACGTCTAATGCAATTTTACATTTTTGTTGCATTTCCACTTCACAATAATCATCCTCTTCCTCCTCCTCCTCCGTAATGACCAGAACCATTATTAAATTATATCATCTTCTATATTTGACACTCGACTCGACTCGACTCGACTCGACTCTTTACACTTGGTTCTCAAAATCAAATTTATTCCGTAGATTTTGTTTAGAGATTTTAACCTTTCAGTGGATTTATTTATTGCTCTTGTTCTGTGATAAAACTGAGTGGTGTTAGTCTAAATGAAAGAAACTAGGACTAAAACAGGTCTAAACCAGGTCTAAACCAGGTCTAAAACAGGTCTAAAACAGGTCTAAACCAGGACTAAACCAGGACTGTACTAGGACTGAAGCAGGACTGAACAAGAACTAAAACAGGACTAACCGGAACTGAGTATCGGCACAGGCCCGAATTGGTTCTCTCTCTCTCAAGTCCAAGATTAGTCCTGGTTTAGACCTGGTTCAGTCCTGCTTTAGTCCTGGTTCAGTCCTGGTTTAGTCCTGGTTTAGTCCTAGTTTAGTCCTGGTTTAGTCCTAGTTTAGTCCTGGTTTAGTCCTAGTTTAGTCCTAGTTTAGACCTGGTTTGGTCCTGCTTTAGACCTGGTTTAGACCTGGTTTAGTCCTGGTTTAGACCTGGTTTAGTTCTGGTTTAGTCCTGGTTTAGTTCCTGGTTTAGACCTGGATTAGTCCTAGTTTAGTCCTAGTTTAGACCTGGTTTGGGTCCTGCTTTAGACCTGGTTTAGACCTGGTTTAGACCTCGTTTAGTTCTGGTTTAGTTCTGGTTTAGTCCTGGTTTAGTCCTGGTTTTAGACCTGGTTTAGTTCTGGTTTAGTCCTGGTTTAGTCCTGGTTTAGTCCTGGTTTAGTCCTGCTTTAGTCCTGGTTTAGTCTGGTTTAGTCCTAGTTTAGACCTGGTTTAGACCTGGTTTAGACCCGCTTTAGTCCTGGTTTAGTTCTGGTTTAGTCCTGGTTTAGTCCTGGTTTAGTCCTGGTTTAGTTCTGGTTTAGTTCTGGTTTAGTCCTGGTTTAGACCTGCTTTAGTCCTGCTTTAGTCCTGGTTTAGTCCTAGTTTAGACCTGGTTTGGTCCTGCTTTAGACCTGGTTTAGACCTGGTTTAGACCTGGTTTAGTCCTGGTTTAGTCCTGGTTTAGACCTGGTTTAGTCCTGGTTTAGACCTGGTTTGGTCCTGCTTTAGACCTGGTTTAGTCCTGGTTTAGACCTGGTTTAGACCTGGTTTAGACCTGGTTTAGTCCTGCTGATGTTCAGTGACGTTAAAAGTCGCCTGCACGAAATTGGAAATTATTTACCGTTGCAAAAAACTGTGGTATTGGACTGGTATCGATATCGGCGAGTACATCAAGACCAAGTATCGGTAACGGTTTCAGAACAAAACTCGTTAGTATAAAGGTTAAAAAAAACGGTTAAATGGTTAAAAACAAGCAGACAAAGATGAAGAAGATGTAGTAAAAGAGAAAACACAGACAGAAGTGTGTCTAAACCAGGACTAAACCAGGTCTAAACCAGGTCTAAACCAGGTCTAAACCAGGTCTAAACCAGGTCTAAACCAGGTCTAAACCAGGTCTAAACCAGGTCTAAACCAGGTCTAAACCAGGTCTAAACCAGGTCTAAACCAGGTCTAAACCAGGTCTAAACCAGGTCTAAATCAGGTCTAAACCAGGACTAAACCAGGACTAAAACAGGTCTAAACCAGGTCTAAACCAGGTCTAAAACAGGTCTAAATCAGGTCTAAACCAGTCTAAACCAGGTCTAAACCAGGACTAAACCAGGTCTAAAATCAGGACTAAACTAGGACTAAACCAGGTCTAAATCAGGTCTAAACCAAGTCTAAACCAGGACTAAACCAGGACTAAACAGGTCTAAACCAGGACTAAACCAGGACTAAACCAGGTCTAAACCAGGACTAAACCAGGACTAAAACAGGTCTAAATCAGGTCTAAACCAGGTCTAAACCAGGTCTAAACCAGGTCTAAATCAGGTCTAAACCAGGACTAAAACAGGTCTAAAACAGGACTAAAACTAGGACTAAACCAGGTCTAAACCAGGTCTAAACCAGGTCTAAACCAGACTAAACCAGGTCTAAACCAGGTCTAAACCAGGTCTAAACCAGGTCTGTGTTTTGATCCGTTACCTGCTCGTGGATGATCTCCGACAGCTCTTTCACCATCTCTTTGAAGTTGGACTTGAGGCCCTCGTGATACTCGAACTGATCCTCTTTGATCAGACGCTCGTTGATGTCCAGGGCCACGCTGCAGGCCTCCACGAAACGCCTGGAACGGAAGAACAACAAAAACAAAAAAAGAAAGGTTTAACGCCATACTGTGGACTACAGCCCGACCGATATGGATTTTGCTGTGGCCGATATGAAACCGATATAACGGGAGTTGGAGCTGCAGATATAATCGCCGATATATTTAGTGATGTAAAAATTCACTTTAAATCTTGAATTGTTTAAAAAAACTCAGGTTTGGCTCTGGTGGATTTTAAATTGGGTTTATTTAGGCAACATTTATTGTTATTCTGCCTCTTTACATCATATTTACAGACAGTAGGTCAAACTAATGGCATTTTTGCATCACATTCTAGACACTAGTGATGGTTTTTCCAGTTCTTTTTAGAGAACCGGCTCATTTGGCTCGGCTCACTAAAAGCTGCTGGTTCTTTTGTCTCCCAAGTGGCTCTTCAGATTGTTTTGTTGCAAGCAGGACTAAAGCAGGACTGAATCAGGACTGAACCAGGTCTAAACCAGGACTGAAAAAGGACTAAACCGGGACTTATTTATTTTATGCTAAACTACAGTCAGAATATGCTCGTTTTTTTTTTTTTTTAATTTTCTTTAATCCTACGTACACGCAAATTTCTCAAAGTTTCGTTTTTAGCCGCTGCCGCTGTCAAACCACGAGTCTGTACGCGGCGTGAAGAGAAAAAAAGTGAGAGAAAGAGAAAACACGGCTCCCAATAAGGATCAGGCTCCCGTCGTTCCCTTCAAAAGAGCCGGATTCTAAGAGTCATTTCGTTTGCGACGGACCCATAACTAGTAAAGAAAATAGCGCTATTATTCTTTAGCCGTAAATACGTGCGCGCCGCAGGTAATTAATTATATGCGCAAATGTCATAATTCACACGTCTGTTCACAGCTCATTTACATATCAGTGCAGGTCCAGTAGCAAATATACGGCCAATATAGTCACTTTAGAACAGACCAATAGAAAACAGTCTGTTTATGTGCGGGAGCTACAGCAGCTAACCCATAACAAATGACAAAAAACTAGCTTCAGAGTCGACATATTTCCAACACTCACCGCCTCACACAGGCTCCTCCCACATCACAAATCTGCACTAATAAATGTCCTTTTAATCCAGACTCAAACCGATTGTCCGTAAAAAGAAAAATAATCTCAGTGTTTGGATCTGTGTCTGCAGGTGTAAACAAACACACGTGAGTGACGCGACTCTGTGGTGTGTTCAGGGACAGTACGGACACACAGACAAATGACTCCGTAGATAAATACTGATGTGGAGCCACATATTAGGACATTTATCTGTCTGTAAATTGGATTAAATGAACAGAATGTAGAGAGTCTAAGCTTTATAACGAGGTATAACATGCCCACGTGAAATATCGGCCCCATATCAGCGAGCATATCGGCCGATAGCCGATATGCCTAAAGTTGCCCATATCAGCCGATAATATCGGCCAACCTATAATCGGTCGGGCTCTAGTGTCTGGGATGAAGGAAGTCTGTGAGTCCCTGCTTAGACTGATGCCCCGGGACCTGACCCCAGATAAGTGGAAGAAAATGGATGGACGGGATCTGGGCTCGATGCCGAAATCGCCCAAACTGTGAAACTCAGACACTGAAGATGAAGAGTTTGATGGATTTGTGGAAGACGAATGAACTGAAAAAGTGAGTGTACAGGTGAGTTTCTGCTGGGAATTATTTTGGTCGGCGGCAAGAAACACTAATTCAAAATGACGGACGGAGCGAGAAAGCACGTAAAGGATATTGATCCCGGTTATTGATCCACTCTAACGGCAGACGACCCAAGACCATTTGACCAGAAATTGGTCATAAGCAGGGACGGGCATTCGATGAAATTTTCTTAATCGATCGTCGGAGAATTTACGATCAATTATCGATTAACGTTTTCATATTATTAAAATGATCATCATTATTATTACTATCTGCACTAATCTGCATAAATAAATTCAACTTTACGACATATAAAACATAACGACTCTAGATCCACATCAGCTGTTTGACATTATAATGTGTTTAATTCAGTTTTGTTCAAATCTCACAGAAACAAAACTTAAAACCACATCACTAATTTGCATAAACTAAGAGAAGATAAAACTCCAGCTCTTGTGTCGCTGATGTGGTTTCAACTTCTGTCGGATTAAAAGACATGACTCAGGTGAATACAGGTCAGTGTGACCAGATTTGTGTTTGTCAAAACCAGGACAGCGTACGGGGGGAGGGGGCGGGGCCTCGTCATCCACATTGAGCGACTCTCACCTGGTAAAACTTTTTCCCACTGGACACAGAAACATATGTGCTGCTTTATCCACTGTGCACATGGACTCACACTTGTCCCAACGCAACGGAAAGTGTGGAATTTCTTGTACAAATCATCGTTAAATCCACATTTGTGCTTCGGTTCGTTACAGACTGACCCACTGTTTGTGTCTCGCTCCTTCTGATGCAGAGACACATGTACACACCTGTTTGGTCACGACACACAACAACCTACATTCAGTTTGTCCATTAAAATGAACGTAATCGATGAAATTCTTAATGATCAACTATCGATTAATCGATTAATCATGCCCATCCCTAGTCATAAGCATCGACGAACGCCAAATCACCCTTTTCAACCCCGACAAAAGGTGGACAAAACCAAATTTCTGGTCAGAATCACCAACTACCTGGACAAATATTCACTTGGGCGATATCCACAATGACTTGGTGGAAACTCCTGGGCCATTCACAGCAGAAAAGATGAAAACCTCCAAGAGTCTCGATGTGTTGTTGAACTTGTTGGAGTCCACGGTTTGTTAGGATCTTCTACGTTTGCTCTGCGGAATGTTTGAAAGTCGTTTAATTCACCGTTAGTGGTTCTTTTCACTCAGAATACGAAAAAGACATTTTCCTTCTTCCGTGCTTCTATTTGTGCGTCCGATAATGCAGCAGGAATTTACCATTATCGGGGATAAATACGCGAGGTTACGCACTGTGTTTGACGCTATCGTGTTTCTTGCCTCCGACCAAAATATTTCCCAGCAGCAACGCGGGCTTTTAATAACAATGACGTCAGCTGAAACTCGCCTGTTGGTTTGGATTTTATGTGTTACAACTGAACAACTAAGCCCCGATGAAGACCAGTTAAAGGTTGTATAGAGGATTTTTAAGGGAAAAGAAACACAGCGACAGTTCTTTTTGAAATGTTGTGCATGTGTGACACCACCTTCCTCAGTGGAAACATCTCCTCCCGCCTCTTTACTCTAGAAATCACACTTGTTTACAGCCAGTGCGCGTTCAGAATCACTGTTGAAGTGACCTGACTAGAAATAATTTAGCGACCGACACGTCAGTTTTTAGACTCTTTATCTGCTTCATTCGCTGGAAGAGATCTCCAAGAATCACCTCAGTTTGGCTTTGTTCATTTTCTCCTTCTCTTCTTCTTTCAGTGACGTCAAAAACTGACTTTCTTTTGTGGCGAACAGGTCGTTGATTCTCGTCCGCCATCGCAACAAACTTTGTGTGAAATGCGTGGAAGCTACAGTTTTAAAAAGCCTCTAAAGTCAGTTACACTCGAAACGTAGGGAGCTTGATTGACAACCTAACGGCCAATAGATAAAGAGGGAGCCTCGTTTTCTGTTGGCTGATGTTTATCTGGCCTCAACGCGTCCACAGTTGATGGATTTTCATTCTTTTTTTTTTTTTTTGGTCATCATAATTACAAGGCTGCTGCATCTCTGTAATGATATTTTAAACTTTCATTGACAATTTGTAACAAAAAAAAAATCCTCCATACAACCTTTAAGGTCGAAACATTTCGGCTTTGGCCATTTAAATAAAGGCCTTTTAACTATATTTTTCCTCGTGCGATTTTTTACTTTTTTTTTCCTTCTTTGGAATGCCTGGAGTCCGTTGTGTTTTAGTTACAACTGAACAATGTTTTTATGAGTTGAATAAAGTTGGACTGTTTTGTTTCGCTTAATACGCCTTATAATCCAGTGCGTCTTATAGTCCAAAAAATACGGTAGTTTTGTTTTAAGGCAGCAAAAATCAGGTACAGTGTCTTTAATTTACACAAACGAAAACGAAAGCAAAAAAGAATAAGAGGAATTACCTGAAAATATCCTTGAGCTCTTTGACCTTCTTGTTCCCGGAGTGACCTGACTTCGTGTCGTCCAGGAAGACTCGAGCGTACGCCATGGGACCTGCGTTCACCTGGACAGAGCATTAAAAGTGATTTAGAGCAATTTTACACTGTACGTAGTGTTGGGGAGTAACAGATTACATGTACCGGAGTTATGTAATCAGAGTATAAATGATGAGTAACTGTATTCAGTTACAGTTACTGTTTCAGTGAGTGGTAATTGGATTACAGTTACTTTGTTGGAATAAATGGATTACACGGCGGGATTTTCCTGTTTTCACATTTTGGGCTAAACCAGGTCTAAACCAGGACTAAAACCAGGTCTAAACCAAGTCTAAAAGCAGGACTAAACTAGGACTAAACCAGGTCTAAACCAGGTCTAAACCAGGACTAAACTAGGACTAATCCAGGACTAAACCAGGTCTAAACCAAGTCTAAAAGCAGGACTAAACTAGGACTAAACCAGGTCTAAACCAGGTCTAAACCAGGACTAAACTAGGACTAAACCAGGACTAAACCAGGTCTAAACCAGGTCTAAAAGGCTAAACTAGGACTAATCCAGGACTAAACTAGGACTAAACCAGGTCTAAACCAGGTCTAACCCAGGACTAATCCAGGACTAAACCAGGACTAAACCAGGTCTAAACCAGGTCTAAAAGCAGGACTAAACCAGGATTAAACCAGGTCTAAACCAAGTCTAAAAGCAGGACTAAACTAGGACTAAACCAGGTCTAAACCAGGACTAAACCAGGACTAAACCTAACAGTAGGTGAACATTATTTCAGGCAGCAGTGTCTCATATAAAAAATCAATTTCTCTATCAATAATATTTTTAATATGTTTAAGTAAAGTCTGGGCTTCTTATTTTCTTTTATCAGATAAAACAAAACATCTCATGTTCAGATCCTCGTCTTTGCTTCTCCTTTGCTTTTCTACAGTAAAAAAAAAAGTCTGTTCATGGAGACTTGGGCTCAACAAACAATTTGAAGAGAACAAACATTAATTTTCAGGATGTGGTTGGTGCATTCGTGTCGTTTTAAAAAAGCACGACAATATCAAGTAATCCAAAGTATTCAGATTACGTTACTCACTTTAAGTACTTTAATGGATTATGTTACTGTAACAAACAGGCTGGTTTGTTACCCCAGAACCACACTTAGCACCTTCACCCTTCACTTTAAAACACTGCACTTTCCTTGCACACAGCACTTTTAACATATTTGCACATCACAAAATAAATTGCACACAATTGGTTTTTAAAAAATATTTATTGTCTTTCCTTTAACCATTTTTTATTCCTGAGGCACAGTGGCACTTTAATTGGAAGTTGTTTTGTCCCTGGAGGAAAAGGGAGACAATAACAAATTACATTTTAAATTGACTTTGTGCAATAAATATGGTGCAATATCTGTTTTAGAATGTTTTTAAGTGTTGATGTGTTTAGTGCATTTTTATGTGTTTTAATGAACGGTGGATCTGCTTTTACTTACCTCCCCTTTTTATCTTCTGTCCAGGTGTGAAAAGAGTCCCCCTGGGAAACGAGCTCCCTCTTTTATGGTTCCGGGCTGGACCACGTGTAACATTTTGTACGGGGGTTTTAGGTTTGGTGTTTTATTGGTTTATGGGTTTTAACATTTAATTGGTGTAATGGTTTTAGGGTTTTATGTATATAGTTGGTGGTTTTAATAGTTATCTGGGTTTTGGGTTGTTTTATGGAGGTTTAGGTTTTAGTTTTACGCTAATGATAATTTTAACCATCCCTGTTTTAGCATAGTGGTTTTATCCAATCAGTAGGACCGGCATAAAAGGCGCCTTCAAACATCAGTCTGCGTTCTGCTGCTGGAGAGGAAACTGCTGCCTGCCTCCGTTTTTTGCACCCTGCACTTTTTTGCACTTGCACTTTTGTAATCATTGAAAAAACAAAAGTAAACTGTGGACCACAAGTACCGGTCTGTGTCTGGATTTGTTTTTTTACCTTGCTCACTGAACCCCAAGCCGCTCACGGTCAACCGACGTTACAGTTACAAACTACATTGTGGGGGATGTAATCTGTAATCTGTAGGGGATTACATTTTAAAAGTCGCCTTCTGTGCAGTGAGTTTGGAGGAAGTTACCTGGACGGAGACGCAGCCCTGCAGTTTGAGCTGGAGCTGGATCATGTCGACCTCCTGGCTGGAGCAGAGTTTGGTGAGTTCGGCGGTTCGAGCCTTCATCTCGTCGATGGCCACGTCCACGGGTTTGAGGTCCACCTGCTTCTCGCCCACCACCTCCACGCGCTTCTTCACGTACGGGAAAGTGCTCGCCGCTGGGGAAAAAACACAGAAAGAAAGAAGATAGATGAGATTTGATGTTATGACTGAACCAGGACTGAACCAGGACCGAAACAGGACCAAAACAGGACTAAAAAGGAACTAAAACAGGACTAAAACAAGACTGAACCAGGACTAAACCAGGACCGAAACAGGACCAAAACAGGACTAAAAAGGAACTAAAACAGGACTAAAACAAGACTAAAACAGGACTAAAACAGGACTGAACCAGGACTAAAAGAGGACTAAACCAGACTGAACCAAGACTGAAACAGGACTGAAACAGGACCGAAACAGGACCGAAAACCAGGACCGAACCAGGACTGAACCAAGACCAAAACCGGACTAAACCAGAGGACTAAACCAGAGGACTAAACCAGAGGACTAAAACCAGAGGACTAAACCAGAGGACTAAACCAGGACTAAACCAGAGACTGAAACAGGACTGAACCAGGACTGAAACCAGGACTGAACCAGGACTGAACCAGGACTGAACCAGAGACCCAAAACCGGACTAAACCAGAGGACTAAAACAGGACTAAAACAGGACTAAAACAGGACTAAAACAGGACTAAAACAGGACTAAACCAGGACTAAACCAGGAAACCAGGACTGAACCAGGACTGAACCAGGACTAAACCAGGACTAAACCAGGACTAAAACCAGAGGACTAAACCAGGACTAAACCAGGACTAAACCAGGACTAAACCAGGACTAAACCAGGACTGTACCAGGACTGTACCAGGACTGTACCAGGACTGAACCAGGACTAAAACAGGACTGTACCAGAACTAAAACCGGACCAAAACTGGACCAAACCAGAGGACTAAAAGAGGACTAAACCAGGACTAAAACAGGACTGAACCAGGACTAAAAGAGGACTAAAACTGGACTGAACCAGGACTAAAACAGGACTAAAAATAGGACTGAAACAAGACTAAACCAGGACTAAAACAAGACTAAAACAAGACTAAACCAGGAGTAAAACAAGACTAAAACAGGACTAAACTAGGACTAAAACAGGACTAAACCAGGACTAAAACAGGACTAAACTAGGACTAAAACAAGACTAAAACTAGGACTAAAACAGGACTACAACAGGACTAAACTAGGACTAAAACAAGACTAAACCAGGAGTAAAACAAGACTAAAACAGGACTAAACTAGGACTAAACCAGGACTAAAACAAAACTAAACCAGGACTAAACCAGGACTAAACCGGGTCTAAAACAGGACTAAACCACTGTTTTTTGATGGAGTTAGAGGCTTAAGAGCGCCACCTATAGCCCAGAAAATACAGTAGTTTATTTCTGTTTTGTGCCTTTTTTACTTTGTCACTCGATTCTATTTGGGGTTTAACTTTTGGGACACTTGTGTTTTAGTTTAATCGCTCGTTTTTTGGCGCAAATCTCGTTTTTTTTTGTTAATCCTGTTTTGTTTCTTAGTTTAGGTTATTTTCTGTAGACTTTAGTCCGTTTTGTGAATTTATCTTTTACATCCCTGTTAATTAAACCTTATTAAACATTATTTAATTTATTCCGTTCTCCGTGTTGGTTCTTTTGTCACTTCCCCTTGTCCTTCGCAGAGCTGGGTTGCAACAAAACTGCACAAAGATCAGGGGAATGTGCAATCGAACCTGCACACAGACTTGGGGAGTGTGCAGTTATTAATAGAAAACAGGATTGTGAAAGGGTTTGTGTGTAAAGAGTCACTTAAAGGTCGTGTTGGTGAATCACTCTTGGTTACACTTCTTGGTCTCTCAGGCTGCGTTCAGGCTGCAGGGCTTAACGCTCAATTCCGATTTTTTTGTGAAATCCGATGTTTTTTCGAGGTCGTTCACATTTCCAGTTAAATGTGACTTGTCTGGTTAGGTTAGGTTAGGTTGCTTTATTCGTACCCGTAGGTAAATTTGCTTTGCAGATTTAAGAGCACTGTTGGGCAAGTTACTTTAAAACTGTAATGTGTTATTTATTACTTATTACTGTCATTTCAAAGTAATTCGTTACATTACAATATTACTGCATTTAAAATGTAAGGCATTACATTACTATTGCATTACTTTAAGTTACTCTCACCAAAATAACTGCGAAAAAGCTGAACTTTTGAGCCGTATATGGACTGAACCAGGACTAAACAAGGTCTAAACCAGGACTAAACCAGAGCTGAACCAGGACTAAACCAGGACTATAACAGGACTAACCTCAGACTGATTCCAGGACTGAAGAGGAGGACTAAACCAGAAGTGAACTAGGACTAAAACAGGACTCACTGTGGGGACGGGCTCGAAGGTGACGCAGGAGAAAGGAGCGGCTCTGTACCTCACGGAGGTAAGAGCGGCTGTCGCCCGATCGCTCTTTATGGACCCTGCTGCTCGGGCTCACGGTCCTGATTTCAGCAACTATTTGCGGGTACAACACCCGGTGCAAGACTCTGTTACAGCGCGTAACTTCTACCTTCCTTCAACGTGTCCAGAAGTCCAACTTTTTGTGCGATGGTTTGCATCGTCCTCTGTCTTTTGGGTGTGAGCGCAGGAGACTTTGTCGGTGCAGAACGTTTCATCGACGTTGTGGATTTTGTCGGAGACAAAACTTGCAGACATACAGCACTTCAGAATCACACTGATACAGATTGAACATGTATTTAAATTTGGCAGCTGAACATATTCTGTACTGTTCAGGAGACAGGAGTCCCTCAGCCGATCAGGACACAGTGGGAGGAACACAACACGTGTTCATACACTAAAAACAAAAGGCATGCAAAATTGCACAAAAAAAAAATTCTAAAAATCAGCGAAACAGCGAGACCGCGAAAAGTGAATCGCGTTAGAGCGAGGGACGACTGTAAGCCAGGTCTAAACCAGAAGTGACCCAGGTCTAAACCAGAAGTGACCCAGGTCTAAACCAGGTCTAAACCAGGTTTAAACCAGAAGTGACCCAGGTCTAAACCAGGTTTAAACCAGAAGTGACCCAGGTCTAAACCAGGTCTAAACCAGGTCTAAACCAGGTTTAAACCAGAAGTGACCCAGGTCTAAACCAGGTCTAAACCAGGTTTAAACCAGAAGTGACCCAGGTCTAAACCAGGTTTAAACCAGAAGTGACCCAGGTCTAAACCAGAAGTGACCCAGGTCTAAACCAGGTCTAAACAGCGTAGAGTTCTGGGTCGGTCCTTTCGCCCGTGGTTAACTGAAGGTTTATCCGGCCGCGTCTCCGGCGTTTCACCGCTGCTGATTTCACGGTGATTTTAGCGAATTTCTATGAAGAAAAACCCACCACTTCAATCCAGGTTAAAAAAGCATTGTAACGCACGTTACTCACATTTGTACCGAGTAAAATATTACAATTTTCCCCCTGTAATGCCTTACATTACTGCGTTACAGCAAAAATCAACGCATTACTGTAATACATTACTTTTATAATACATTACTCCCAACACTGTTTAAGAGACAGGTTCCACATTTCACATTTCATTCATCCACAAAACACACATAAAAAACACGATAAAATGTTACAATAAAGTGTTACAGTGCTCCAGTGCAGAATGGTTTGTTCCATAAACAACCAATTAAAATCATCCAACACACTTGTCTAAAATCACAATAAATAAATCTTAAATATGTTAAAAACACAATCTTAAATAAATAGATTACAATTTATTCATGACACATTTTGTCTGTGACTCCAGTGTGAACATTAAACGGCCCAAAAGTGTCCCACATGTGACACTGGAGACACGACGACGTCAACCGCAGCGAGCGTCTCTGTGTTTACAGAAGTTGTCCAAACATGGACGCAGCATCGAGCACCTGGAGATTTTAAAGTTCCTCTCGTACCGGAGCCAGAACATGAACAACTTACTTGTTTTAAGGAGGAGGTTGAGAAGGAGAAGGACGAGGTTTTTGGTCGTGGTGTTTTGTGGGACAGAACGTTTGTGTGGATGTGGAGACGGAGCCAAGAGTGGTGAGTGGTGATGTGCTTCACTTCAGTGACACAGAGTTCATTAACAATTTTCGCCGACTTCAGCGCAGAATAGTGACGTTTGTGTCTTGTTGATAACGTGTAGGTGGATGAATGCACTTTGGCCGTTCACACTGAAGTCACATGTTAAAGATCAGATATGTATCAGTTTCAGGAGCACAGATCCAAGTGTCCTGGGTCACATTTGAAAAAATCGGATCTGTGTGGTTCAGACCATCATTAAAAGATCAGATACAGGAACATAGAAGCCAAAAAATCGGATTTGGGTCACTTCAGGCTGCAGTCTGAACACAGCCTAAGTCTTTCTTAAAAATATGGAGTGATGATGTGGAGCACAGAGAGTTTGGCAAATCGTTCCAGTCTGATGGCGCTTTGACTCTGAACGCTCTTCGTCCGATGACTTTGGAGGTCCCGGGTTTTACAAAGGAAGGACGGTCTAACTGTCTGAGAGAGTACTGCGATGAAAATGGAACAAAGTATCGCTGAAGGTAAGATGGACAGAAAAGAAAAATGCATTTAAAGATGAACTGAAACCAGTGAAAGCGCATTCTCGCATCAGGAGGGAACCGATCCAGAGTTTCACACAGAATACAATGGTGCGTGAGATATGGAGATTTATGATTATTGTTTCTCTCTTGGCACAAACTCCAAATAAAAACAAATTTTAAAAAATCGAATAAAATGCCTGAAAAATGTAAAAGAAAGCTCATTATTTTAAAGTAGAAGAGGCGGCGGGATTAAATCATTTTTGGGCCAATTTTGTGTTGTTGTTATTTCCGTTGCGATCGCGTTAATGTCATACGGACAACACTCTGTTCCGGTGGAGAAGAACGTAAATTGTTTACTGCCCAAAATAAACACACAAATGAAGTGAAACACATTTAGACCTCAGACAGATAAACATTCCTTAAGGATGAAGGATCATTTGAACCTCACTGACATCGTCTAATGTTCAGGACACAATGTTACTTCCATAATTGGACTTTGCTGTTGTGCTCTGCTTAGAACTGGTTTTGGAAAACAATTGTAAGAACAGTGCAACCAAACCCAAATATGAAAATGATTATTATTATTATTAGGCCCGAGCGCCATGGGGGCGTAGGGCCTATTGTTATTGTTCAGCAGTGTGACGCGGGAAGGCATGCAACACACACTCACACTCACATGTCAGTGGGCCGCCACAACGGCCTAATTGTTATTGTTCACTCAAAACGTAGGGCGCACTTGACCTCATGCACGCGAATGTCAAGTGCACCCGCGAAAACAGAGCGCGAAGCTCTCTCCCCTTATCAAACACTCAGTGCCACTCGATAGTGACACTCATGGCCTCCAATAATACAGACTGACATTGCCCAGTGCCAACTGTAATCGTTAACTCTCGTAAACGCCAAAAACGTGCATTGGGTATGTGAGTAATTGAAGAGGTCAATGACGAGCGCAACGCTCGGCCATATTGAACTGATTGTGCGACTCGGCGCCGAGGTCGCAATGTCCTGTCCTCGCATTTGAACGAACTCGTCCTCGGGCGTTTGACCCAGACTCACCAGAATCATTCTGTATCATCTAGACAAGTGCGACATTAAAAGTTGTTAAAAGCTTTTTAAAAGGTCAAACGGTGTTGTCATGGCAACGGTGCAAATTTCGCGTTCGTTTTTGCGGCTCGCCATCAAACTTCGACAAGTGATAATTCGCACAAACTGTGGCTGATTTAACTCAAACTTTAATCGTTGGTTGACACCCCGACCCTGAATAGATTCATATAAGAAAATCTGAAATGGGTGCAATAGCGCCCCCTAGGGAGATTGTATGGAACAATAAAGTTTAACTTTTTTGTAGACATACAAAATTTAGTACAGACGTTCGTGACATGGTCTTGATGAAAAAAGTCAATGACGCCTACACTCCATCTCCCATCGTGTTGCCATGGGAACAGGTCAAAACTCAGTCCTCGCTAATGGGACGTCACAACGAAAACTTTGATGTACTCAAACCAAATTTGGTGCACAGATGCGTCATGGGAATAGGAACAAAAAAGTATATTGTGACCACGCCCCCCTGCCAAAACAGAAGTCCGCCATCTTGGATTTAAAAAAATCTCAACACATACAGAAATTGAGGAAAAAGGGATAGGGTTCGGTTAAGATTAGGGGTCAGGGTTAGGTTCGGGGTAAGGCTAGGGTTTGGAATTCAGGTTAGGGCTAGGGTTCGGTTTTGGGTTTGGGTTAGGGCTAGGATTAATTTTAGGCCTAGGGTTAGGGCTACAGGTAGGAGTTCAGGTAGGGTTTGGGGTTCGTGTAAAGGGGTTAGTGTGAATTTACGAGTTAGATCAAGGGGTAAGGTGCATTCGTGGGGCACGGCATGTGCAGGGCTCTGCGTGGCCGGGATGCGGTGTGGCGTGGGCTCGAGCGTAGCCCTCGCTCGAGCGAGGGCCGATCATCGCCGCTTGCGGCTATATTTATTATTGTTATTGGATTATTTTTATGACCCATTCTGTAATGTTTAGTTTTGTTTAGTGTCTACAAGCTACAGTATTAATGGGTCCGGTCAACTAACTGCATAACAAACTAACTAACAAACAAAAAAACTAACTAACTAACTACCTAACTAACTACATAACTAACTAACTAACTAACTAACTAACTAACTAACTACTAACTAAACTAACATAACAACTACCTAACTAAAACTAACTATAACTAACTAACTACTAACAAACTAACTATAACTACTAACTAACTAACTAACTAACTAACTAACTAACTATCAAACTAACTACAACTAACAAACTAACTAAACTAACTAACTAACTAAACTAACTAACCTAACAAACTAACTATAACTAACTAAACTAACTAACTAACTACATAACTAACTAACTAACTAACTAACTAACTAACTAACAAACTAACTATCAAACTAACTACCTAACAAACTAACTAACTAACTAACTAACTAACTAACTAACTAACTAACTAACTAAACTAACAAACTAACTACTAACTAACTAACTAACAAACTAACTAAACTAACTAACCTAACTAAACTAACTAACTAACTAACTAACTAACAACTAACTAACTAACAAACTAACTAAAACTAACTAACTAACTAACTAACTAACTAACTAACTAACTAACTAACTACTAACTAACTAACTAACTAACTAAAAAACTAACTAACTAACTAACTAACTAACTAACTAACTAACTAACTAACTAACTAACTAACTAACTAACTAACTAACTAACTAACTAACTAACTAACTAACTAACTAACTAACTAACTAACTAACTAACTACCTAACTAACTAACTAACTAACTAACTAACTAACCTAACAAACTACATAACTAACTTCCTACCTACCTAACTAACTACGTAACTAACAGACAAACTAACTAACTACCTAACTACCTACCCACCTCCCAGACTAACTAAGTAAGTAAGTGTCCGTACTTGTGAGTATGATCCTCTTCTTGCACTGCTCCTCCACTCCTCCGTGCTTCTTCCCCGACAGCGTGTACGGCGACTCGAACACAAAACGGTTTATATTGTGACATTTTTCAAAGTCCGTCTTCTTCTCCGGAGCCTCCTTCTCCTCGAAGTACGGCTTCACGAACGTCACCTGCACGTACGCGAACTTCGGGTCCAGGTCTTTGGGGTTGACCTGAGGGAGAAGAAAAAAAAAGAGATAAATCAGTGTTTCGTCGTTTAAGTTTGTGGATTTTGTTAAAGATTAAGACTGGATTTAAAGTGGATTATATGAGATCATTTTGTAAACAAGTAAAGCTCTACTTAAAAAAACATGAAGGAAAGTGATTTGAGAACAAATACAAAAGTTTTCATGTGGATTTTCTTTTCCAAATCATCTAGATTTTCTTTTCCAAGTTTAATCCAAATTTTAGCCCAATAAAAATGAATAAAATGTTAGTGCCATGAGAACTGTTTTGGACTCTGATGACTCAGAGATCGGCCTCCTTCTTTACTCCTGGTTTAGTCCCATATTTGTCCCTTTTTAGTCCTGGTTTAGTCCAGGTTTAGTCCTGGTTTAGACCCGGTTTAATCCCAGTTTACTCCCAGTTTACTGTTTTAGACCCAGTTTACTCCTGGTTTGGTCCCAGTTTAGGCCTGTTTTAGTCCTGGTTTATTCCTCGTTTAGTCCCAATTTAGTCCTGGTTTAGTCCTTGATTAGTCCCAGTTTAGTCCTGGTTTAGTCCTAGTTCACTCCTGGTTTAGTCCTGGTTTAGTCTCGGTTTAGTCCCAGTTTAGTCCAGGTTTACTCCTAGTTTAGTCCTGGTTTAGTTCTGCTTTAGTCCTGGTTTAGTCTCGGTTTAGTCCCGGTTTATTCCTGGTTTAGTCCTAGTTTAGTCCTGGTTTAGTCCCGTTTTAGTCCCAGTTTAGTCCTAGTTTAGTCCTGGTTTAGTCCAGGTTTACTCCCAGTTTAGTCCTGGTTTAGTCCTGCTTTAGTCCTGGTTTAGTCCTGGTTTACTCCTGGTTTAGTCCCAGTTTAGTCCTAGTTTAGTCCCAGATTAGTCCTAGTTTAGTCCTAGTTTGATCCTGGTTTAGTCCTGGTTTACTCCTGGTTTAGACCTGGTTTAGTCCGTTTAGACCTGGTTTAGTCCCGGTTTAGACCGATCTCCTGCTGGTGCCCAGAGTCAAGACTAAACCAGGACTAAACCGGGACTAAACCAGGACTAAACCAGTATTTCATTTCTACGCAGTTAAAACACAGTAAAGTTCTGTACGACTGAAAGGCTTTATTAAATTTCTCTCTTACAGTGATCTATCTTGTTAGTTTAGTCCTGGTTTAGTAAGTCCTGAGTTTCCTGTCCTAGTCCTGGTTTAGTCCTTTTAGTCTGTTTCCTGTTTACCTTTTACCTGGTTTAGTTTTTACTCCTGGTTTATCCTGGTTTAGTCCTGACTTTTTCTCCTGGTTTAGTCCTAGTTTAGTCTCCTGTATATTCCTGGTTTAGTCCTGTTTAGTCCGGTTTAGTCCCAGTTTTAGTTTAGTTCTAGTTTGTCCTAGTTTAGTTCTGGTTTAGTCCTCGTCCCGGTTTACTCCTGGTTTAGACTCAGTTTACTCCTGGATTAGACCTGGTTTAGTCCTGGTTTAGGCCTTGTTAAGTCTCAGTTTATTCCTGGTTTAGTCCCAGTTTAGACCTGGTTTAGGGACTGATCTCCTGCTGGTGCCCAGAGTCAAGACTAAGACCAGTCAGGGACTAAACCAGGTCTAAAACAGGTCTAAACCAGGTCTAAAACAGGTCTAAACCAGGTCTAAACCAGGTTTAAACCAGTATTTCATTTCTACGCAGTTAAAACACAGTAAAGTTCTGTACGACTGAAAGGCTTTTATTAAATTTCTCTCTTTTCTTTTAACGTTTTCTTTTGTGATTCATGTTTTTATTTGTCTTTCTTTGTCTGTTTTGTTTCCTGTTCAATTGTAAATGTAATTAAATCCCGTCGCTGGTTTGAGGAAACAGACAGAAAGTGACCGAGAATAAACTAAAAATCACTGAAACTGTGTTCAAAATAAAATTAAAACGTATTTGTGTGATTAAAGAGAATAAAAGTCGGTGCAAAGATGAACTCTGAGCCGACGTCTGAAGAGAATCGCCGAGGTCACAGGAGGACGTGACATGTTTTTATTTTAGTGTGGTATGTTTTTGTTATTATTATTAGAAAACATTCCGACATAGTTTTTATTTTATTGAACTCTTCCTCATTACATCGTGATCTTGATCTTGTTTCTCTGGTTTCAACACAAATCAACACATTACCCCAGTTTAGTCCTGGTTTAGTCCTGGTTTAGACCTGGTTTAGTCCTGGTTTATTCCTGGTTTAGTCCTGGTTTAGACCTGGTTTAGACCTGATTTTAGTCCTGTTTTAGTCCCGCTTTACTGTTTTAGTCCCAGTTTAGTCCTGGTTTAGTCTCGGTTTATTTCTGGTTTAGTCCTGATTTAGTCCTGGTTTATTTCTGGTTTAGTCCTGGTTTATTTCTGCTTTAGTCTCAGTTTACTCTCAGTTTAGTCCCGGTTTGATCCCAGTTTACTCTCGGTTTATTTAGTCCCAGTTTTCTCCTAGTTTAGTCCTAGTTTAGTCCTGTTTTAGTCCCGGTTCACTCCTAGTTTAGTCCCAGTTTACTCCCGATTTGGTCCCAGTTTACAGTTTTACTCCCAGTTTGGGCCCAGTTTAGTCCCAGTTTAGTCCTGGTTTACTCTCAGTTTAGTCCGACTTTAGTCCCAGTTTACTCTCTGTTTAGTCCCAGTTTACTTCCAGTATAGTTCCAGGTTTAGTCCAGGATTAGTCCTAGTTTAGTCCCACTTTACTCTCGGTTTAGTCCCAGTTTAGTCCCGATTTGGTCCCGGTTTAGTCCTGGCGTTGGAGATGGTTCATGTTAAACTTTACACGAACACTAGATTTAAATCCTCGTCTCCTCGCTTTGTGGCGGTGAATTATTTTGCTGAGCATTGACCTCGACACAGAACCAATCATTTAAAAACGACGACGAAAAAGGCGACGGCGGCAGAGTCGACGTGGAACTAAACTTCACCCTTAAAATTTGGCTTTAGGAGCAGTTTTTTTTGCAATTTAGGAGTAAAAAACGTGGCTTTGATTGTCTCAAAATCGTGTTGTCTGAGCTAAAAAACATTTTTATCGAGTGGCCTTCCTTTGATTTATTCTTTATTTATTTGTATTCTATTTTATCAGTTTATTTATTCTAATTTATTTAATTTTTTAGATCATTTCTTGTTTTTATGCTCCTTTTGAATGTTATTTTTATTGTATTTTGCTTTATTACTATCCTCTTGACTAAAATGTATTAAATGTCTCTAAACTCCGGCTGTTTTGTTGTTTGATTTTCGTACCTTATTCGAGTCCTGAATGATCTTGACGTTTTCAGGCCCAAACTTTTCTCCGTAGAGCGTCAGGAGCCTCTGGGAGATCTCGGACAAACCCGTCAGCTTTGGCTCTTTGTAAATGTATTCTTTACCGTCCTCCTCCTCGAAAAAACCCTGTGACAAAAAGAAAAATGACACTAGAGTAAGATTCTCTTTTTACTTTTACTGATGGAATAACATGTGTTGTAAATATAATATAGTTTTACACCGACCAAGAAGGAATTTATAAAGAAAAACAGTTTTGCACAATTTATACACACAGGATTTCAACATAATAAACCTGTTTTCTTATATTTTTATTTGTCAACTAATAATCTCTGTGTACATTAGCAGAGTTTTGGCCATGGAAGTAGAATAAGATCTGAAATCAAGTTGGTGTTGGGTTCGGTCAAGTGGTAACGGAGGGAAACAGGGTCAGATTTTTGACATTCAAATGTCTCTTATTCAGAAACTAGAGGAACTATTGAAATAAGTAAAGTATCAGAATGTAGGAAAGAGTTACACTCCAACAGGGTCAAGTTAAACCTGTGATATTCTTTCAAGTTGTTGACAAAAAATTTAAAAACTCATGTCGGTAATGGAGGGAATGAAATATGCAGCACTTTTTGGGCAATAAATCCAAACAGTGAAAACTCTTGGTTCTCACTTACAAATCCTTAACAAACTGGTTTGAATATTTGCTTCATATAGTTTTCTACCATATGGTACAAGATTAGGGTTGAAAAACCTCTTACTTTTTTTTTTTCTAGAGTGCTTTTCCACTTTCAAGGCTCAAAGCGCTTTACAACAAGGAACCACTCACACACCAGTGCACACAGACACTGTGGGCAAGGTGTCTTGCCAAAGGACACAACAGCAGCATTCATCTGTGGGAGCTGGAATCACACCAGACCAGCCAACCTGTGGGTCAGTGGATCTGAACACTCAACCTGTGATGGTTTATGTTGAGAGCTGGATTTGAACCACCAACCTTCAGATCAGTGGGCGAATGCTCCACCAACTGAGCTACTGCCGCCCCTTCCGCTGCCGCTCTTATTTTTTGACTCATGAGATTTTTAATTAAGAAAGGTCATGGTAACGGAGGGAAAAGTAACAGAGGGAAAATTGTACAAACAAGTAGAAGGTGCAGGATTTTACATCATTTGTCGCTTTTTTCTTCTGAAAACTTTAATATTACTTCAAAATGAAAGAAACAATTTCTATAAAATATGTCAGTCCTTCCAAGAACATTTTTATCATTTTAAATAATTTTTTTTTTTAAATCCTGTATCCTTCATCAACAGTTCAAAGATGGAATAACACAAGATATGATGAAATACATCCATTTATTTACATGATTTTTGGGTCTTTGAAATTTGGGAAATAATTTTTGTTCCATGTTTCATACATGGTCTGTTTAAAACATATGGAACTTTAGAACCAAAAATGGAACAGAAAAAAGGTCAACAGTTTCATAAACTAGAGTACATATGTATCTGTTCAATACAGTTTTATATCAGATGAATTAACTTGTACTTTTGGCCTTGCTTGTTTACTTCTGCTTGACTGGGCCCAGTTGTATTGTTTTCAGTGGCCTCTGTGCTTCATCATTTTCTTCCTGAACATTGGCCTGTTTCCACGGCGCACGAGTGAGTTTGTGCAGTTTGTGTGTTTACATTCCACCACGACGTGCAGCTACACAGAGGCTCGACTCTTTAATATCCACGGGGGAAATCTGTCCGTGTTTGGGGCAGTGTTTCCTGCAGCGGTTTTATATTTAGATTCATTCTCGCCTTTCGTTGGCACGGAATCGCCCCAGTGGTATTTTCCAAACACTGGGGACGTTGTGACTTCAGCAGATCTGCTCTCACTACGACACTCCACACAAGTTGTTTTTTCTGGCCAAAAATCTGAAGATTGAGTAAAAGTTCATGTTGAAACTGTTCGTGCTGAACTTTACTTTCTGAAACGTTTTGTTTACTGTTTACAAGGAATTTATTTTTTATAATAGTTCATACATTTGCTGCTTATTTGAGAATATTTCATTTAATAATAATAATAATAATAATGCATCAGGTTTATACAGCGCTTTTTTGGACACTTTACAGAGCATTATTCATTCACTCCAGACCCGGTGGTGGTAAACACACACACCACTTTCATACTAGGCACTGTGGGTGAAGTGTCTTGCCTAAGGACACAACAACAATTGGCTCCTGATTTTCCCACTAGTCTCCCACCCAAGTACCGTATTTTCCGGGCTATTAGACGCGCTCTTAAACCTCTCAGGCTCAAATTAATTTTTAGTATCAGGAAAAATCTGATATTTGGGGAAAATTATAATATGGGGCAGTAATATACAATCCTGACTTTTTTATCCTTTGTAAACGAAAAAAGTATTTTGCACTTCTGGCAGGTTGTTTGCGTGGAGTCATTCTTGCACAGTCTGCATCGTCCACGTTTATCGGCATGGATGGAGAAAAGGCTCTTGAGTAAAAAAAGCTCATAAACTATGGATGTGGAATAAGTAGGTAATTGGAATTTAGCTGTTGCAAATCTGCAACGTCTGCCTGGAGAGGGTTAAACCTCTAACTCCATAAATAAATGACTGCGCGCTCCTAACCCAATCTCTGCGATTTTTGGTGCCTCCCCTGTTTCAAATGTGCCCAATGCGATGAAACGGGCCGTAGCATTTACCACCTCGCTGGCCCGAAGGCTGATTTTACTTAATTGGAAACTTCCCCTTTTCCCCCGACTCGTCTTCACTGGGTTTGTGAAGTGCTGTACAATCTTAAACTTGAAAAACTGAGGTTCTTCTCACTCAGAGGCTCAGTTAAATTATTCCATGCTGCCTGGGACCCTTTTTACATCACATTGACTCTTTAACTCAGGCAAGTCCAAACTATGGCTCGGGGGCCAAATGCGGCCCTCAGACAAATTTTTCTTGGCCCTCTGACTTCCAGGTGAATTGGCCCAAATTACCTTACCCTGAAAAATAAACTTTTGATTGCAAGTTTTTTTTTAAATCTATCTTGATAAAGCAAATATTTAATATTTAGTTTGTGGTTTTAAGGATTTTAGCATGAAGAAAGTCTGATGCTTCGTTCTAATGTGTTAAACATGCACAAATTTCAATTATTCCCTGTACTGAGCGTCAGTCTGTGGCCCTCGATCGTGCCTCTGCTTCGTCTGTGTTTAGATACGTGGCCCTTGATGAAAAATGTCTGGACACCGCTGCTTTAACTCTTCCTCAGGATCTGGAGGATGTCTAAAGTATAGAAAATAATTCTTTCTCTCTATTCCTTCTTTCCTTTTTTTTTTTTTCTTCCTATCCCATGTTTTTCACCTCTATGGGCTCCTTTTCTTCTTTCGCATCCCTACCTCTTACTTTTTAATTTATTTTTAAATCAGTTATTTATTTTTTTAATAATAACTAATAATTGATAACTAATTAATTAATTTATTAATAATTATTAATATTTATTTACTATATATATATATATATATATATATATATATTATTTATTATTTATATTTATTTACTACTATAAATTTTATTAGCTTAAAATAAATAACTATTTTAATTTTTTATTTATCTGTTTTATTTAAATTTTTATTTTGGGTTGTTTGGCCGGTGGGGGGGATGGGTGGGGGTGGGGGGGGCGTTGACATTCAGATGTGTCCTCTGCTGTCATATCTATAATGGTATTATTCAATACATTGCACTGTGTTTGGTTGTTAATGTTAAAAATGTTCAATAAACAAAGTTGGAAAAAAAAAAAAAAAAAAACAACGACTGCACGACACAATCCAGAGCGCCCCATACACAAATCCACTTCAGTACGACTTCAGTAAACTACAAAGCCGCAACACCCGCAGAACACGCAAACACACACGGAGCAGACAGCGACCGCACGGCGAAAAAACACCCGCAGACACACTCATCACTCCACGCCCACGAGGAACGGAACAAAAAATCCATTTGCTGCGCTCTACGGGAGAATTATTTCCGGGCCCAAGCTTCCAGGAGCCGCAGCACCAATGAAGCCGCTAATCGATCTCGCTCGCGGACAGACGACGAAAGCTTTATCCCGTTCTCCAGTTTTTATTATAGATCCAAGGTTTTATGGGATTTTTTTAATGGAATTCCCACAGTTTTCAACCACGACAAATCACCAAAGTGAGAAGAAATAGTAAAATGTTTTGTGAAATCTTCATCTTAACTGTGACTGAACCTGTCGTCGTCACTTTCAGACCTTTAAACGTGCTCATGGTGTTGTACCTGTCCGTAGAAGGCCACTCTGAAGTAGGTCCCCAGGAGCCGGCGCCCGGACTGGATCACCTCCAGGATCTTGTTGTAGGCTCGGTGGAGGGTGTCGTACAGGCGGCTCAGTTTCTGGAAAAGATGAACAGAAGATCTTGAATTACACTTAAAGAAAACGTATTACGCTTTTGTAAACTTTGATTAACCTGCCACATTTACTTTAAAGTGGAAATAAGAGAATGAAAAAACAAAACTATTTTCTTCATTATTTTTCTCCCAAAAAAAAAGAAAAAACAGATAATGATTCGTTTTTTCAGTTTTCGATTTTGTGTTTAAATAACGACCATTTCCTGTTTACGTGATTTAAACTGTGATGCCGGACTGAAACCAGGACTTAGACTGGGACCAGACAAGGACTGAGTCCAGGACCAGGACCGGGACTGAGACTGGGACTGAGACTCAGACCGGGACTGAGACCGGGACTGAGACCGGGACTGAGACCGGGACTGAGACCGGGACTGAGACCGGGACTGAGACTGAGGACTGAGACCGGGACTGAGACCGGGACTGAGACTGGTACCAGATCAGAACTGAGACCAGGTTTGAGATCGGGAACAGGACCAGGACTGAGACCGGGACTGAGACCACGACCAGACCGGGACTGAGACCGGGACTGAGACCGGGACTGAGACCGGGACTGAGACCGGACTGAGACCAGACTGAGACCGAGACTGAGACGGGACTGAGACCGGGACTGAGACCGGACTGAGACCAGGACTGAGACCGAGACTGAGACCGGGACTGAGACTGGGACTGAGACTGAGACCGGGACTGAGACCGGGACCAGATCAGAACTTAGACCAGGTTTGAGATCGGGAACAGGACCAGGACTGAGACCGGGAACTGAGACTGGGACCAGACCAGGACTGAGTCCGGGACCAGACCAGGACCAGACTGTGATTGAGACCAGAACTGGGACCAGGACTGAAACTGGGACCAGACCAGGACTGAAAACGGTTCAGTCCTGGTTTAGTCCTGGTTCAGTCCGTTATCCGTTTTTTCATTTTTCATTTAAACACAAAATCGAAAAGTGAAAAAAACAACGAATCATTATCTGTTTTTTGATTTTAGTTCTTGAAGAATGAAGAATGAAGAAAATAGTTGTTTTTTCGTTTTCTTATTTTTGGTTTTATTTTGAAAAACAAATGAACGAACGACCCGCGGCTCGCAGACGTTTCCTGTACCTCGTAGTCGTGTCGTTTCTCATAAATGGGAATGAGGAGTTTGGCGATGTGCGTGATGAGCTCATAGCGTTCGGCTTTCCACAGCGCCTCCACACACACCTCCAGATGTTCCACCAGCACCTCCTGAAATGGACTCGGATGTCAGTTCGGCTGCAGCAACACTCTCTGGTGTAAACACGAACGCGGCGACAATAAAAAAAATAAAAATTAAAAAAAGGGGCCGACCTCAGAGTAGTAGACGTCCTGCATGCCGGTGTCTTCCTTCATCGCTGCCTCCTCGTCGATGTTAAACGTGATCTTCTTAAAAGCTGCGAGTCCACTGGGGAACAGCTCTGGAAGATGGAGAGAAAGAAGTTTATTTTACACTCTGAGAACCACTTTAAAATGAAGTGAATATGGTTTATAATTCTTTAAAGCACAGGTGTCAAACATGCGGCCCGGGGGCCAGATCTGGCCCTCCAAGACCTTTAATCTGGCCCTCGGCTGATTTTCTACTAAAATATTTGAATTATATTTTCTATTAAAATCTTGTTAATTTTCTGTGGTGTTTATCACAGCAGCGTCTCCAGCGTCTCTGTACGTGGCCCCTCCCACCAGAGCAGCACAAATGAAGACTTGTCTCTTTCCAAACGCTCTTAAAGGACGATCGTTTTGACTGTTGACCGTGACACCCTCATCAGAAAAACGTCCAACATGAGAAAAGTGGAGCCGAGTGCAGGATTTTACAACAAAAATGGACTTATTCCTGTTTACAGACAAGTTCATGTTAAAACTTTGTGTTGAAATTGTATTTTTCTTAAAGTTTCAGGCTGTTCATAATATTATAATATTTTGTAAAAGAAAGAGTTCATTAATTAAAAAGAGATTTCTGTAATAGATTTTTGTTTCTCTGCACAAATATTTGAACTTATTGTTATTTTTGAGTTTTCTGATCCGGCCCCTTTGGGATCAAAGTAGGTTGGATACGGCCCCCGGACCAAAATGAGTTTGACACTCCTGCTTTAAAGGTTGTATAGAAGATTTTCCAAGGAAAGAGGAATGCAACGACTGTCCTTTTTTAAATGTCGCGCTTCGCTCTTTTTCCCCGTCTCTTCTTTCGGCAATGTCTAAAACTCACTTTCTTTTGCGGCGAACTGGTCGTTAATTCTTGTCTGCCATTCAAACTAAATTTGTGCAAACTGAGAGGAAGCTACAGTTCGAAAAAGATGCCAAGAACCGCTAAACATGAACCGCGAACATAAACCACGCAAACCCAGCCCATCGGCAAGTCAGAAACGCTAGAAACGTAGGGAGTTTGATTGACAACCTAACAGCCAATAGATAAAGAGGTACCCTTGTTTTCTATTGGCTGATATTTATCTGCCCCCACCACGTCCACAGTTGATGGATTTTCATTCTTTTTTTTGGTCATCATAATTACAAGGCTGTTGCATTTCTATAATTCTATTTTGAACTTTCATTGACAATTTGAAACACACACAAAAAAAATCCTCCATACAACCTTTAAAGGGCCTATACTCTGTAATTTTCTGATCTACCGTATGTTATAATGTTGTTTCCTCGTCACAAACACAACAGAAGAACCTTTAAACAGACGTAATACACTTTTTTAGTCTTATTTTAATCTCAACTTCCACCCAAATGTCACCCAATAATTCGCAAAATCAAACATAAACGAAATGCTCAGCCTCCAGACAGTTTAACTTTATAGAAACCCCTGAAAATCAAAGTGAAATAACGACGTGTCAGGCTGGTCTATTTTGGCAAAATTTAATTTCTGTAACTCAAAATGCTTCTTAGACTCTTCGGTGGCTCCACGTTCTTGTGTTCATGTTTGACAAAGTCGCAGTTCGTTGGTGTTTTGTGTGGTCCTCTCAGATCTGCGTGAGAACATCACCGAGCTCCTGTCGAGTCCGAGGAGAAACCTGGAGCGTCTGATGGACTCAAACATAAGCTGCGTTCAGACTGCAGCCTGAAGTGACCCAAATCAGATTTTTTGGCCCCTATGTTCCTGTATCTGATCTTTTAATGTCAGTCTGAACCACACAGATCCGATTTTTTCAAATGTGACCCAGGACACTTGGATATGTGCTCCTGAAACTGATACATATCTGATCTTTTGACATGTGACTTCAGTGTGAACGGACAAAGTGCATTCATCCACCTACACGTTATCAACAAGACACAAACGTCACTATTCTGCGCTGAAGTAGGAGAAAATTGTTACTGAACTCTGTGTGACTGAAGTGAAGCACATCTCCACTCACCACTCTTGGCTCCGTCTCCACATCCACACGTTCCTTTCAACGGACTGAACCACAAAACACCACGACCAAAAACCTCGTCCTTCTCCTTCTCAATCTCCTCCTTAAAACAAGTAAGTTGTTCATGTTCTGGCTCCGGTACGAGAGGAACTTTAACATCCAGAACATCCAGAACATCCAGAACGCTGCAGCTCGGGTCCTGACTCGAACTAGGAAGTACGAGCACATAAGTCCTGGTCTCAGGTCTCTGCTCTGGCTCCTGTGGCTCAGAGACTTTAAAGCAGCTCTACTTGTACAAGTGTCTCCATGGCCGAGCACCAAAGTCCATCTGTGACATGTTAGTGTTGGGAAGGTGACTTTTAAAATGTAATCCCCTACAGATTACAGACCCCAAAATGTAGTTTGTAACATAATCCATTAAATTACTTCAGGTGAGTAATGTAATCTGAATACTTTGGATTACTTGATTTGCTGTAGAGAAGCAAAGACTTGGATATCGTAACATAAGATGATTTGTTTGCTAAAAGAAAATAAAAAGCCCAGACTTTACTGAACCAAATTAAAAATATTATTGATAGAAGAAACACGCAGCATGATTTAATCCTGGTTTAGTCCTGTTTTAGACCTGGTTTTAGATCTGGTTTAGATCTGGTTTAATCCTGGTTTTAATCCTGGTTTAGATCTAGTTTAGGCCTGGTTTTAGTCCTGATTTAGTCCTGGTTTACACCTGGTTTAGTTATGAGTGGAATTACCAAAAAAAACAAAAAAACAAAAAAAGGGATACAGCCCAAAATGTGAAAACAGGAAAATCTCTCTGTGTAATCCATTTATTTCAACAAAGTAACTGTAATCCAATTACCACTCACTGAAACAGTAACTGTAACTGAATACAGTTACTCATCATTTGTACTCTGATTACATAACTCCAGTACATGTAATCTGTTACTCCCTGACACTGGTGACATGTTAGTGTCATATGAACATCTCACACTCTGAGGAGCTCAGGGACCAACTCCTGCTGGTGCCCAGAGTCACGACTAAACAAGGGGAGTCAGAGTTTCAGGTTCATGCAGCTAAAACCTGGAACAGTCTGAACATGTGAGACAGACTCTTCTGTGACGCTGTTTAAATCCAGACTCAAAACATTTCTGTTTAACTGTGCAAATAACTGAAAGGTTTTCATTCCGCACTCTTCTCTCCAATTTATGTCTCTCTTTTTTTAATTTTAATCTTCATGATTATTTATGTTTTGATTTGTTTTTATTATGATTTTAATGTATTTCTTATTCTGTAAAGCACTTTGAATTACTTTGTGTACGAATTGTGCTGTACAAATAAACCTGCCTTGCCTCACGACCCTGTCCAGCTCTTCTAGAGGAACTCCCCGTCTCCTGAAACCTCCTCATGTTCTGGAGATTGTGCTGGAGACACATTAAATCTTCTTACAACGGCCGTCCTGGAGAAGTTGGACAATCTGTGCAGCTTCTGTAGGTTCAGGAATGTCCCCAGTCGTGATCATCACTGTCGCCGAAGCAGCACGAGTGGGAAATCAGCCAAAAAACAGAAAGCGGAAGAAACTCGAAACGACCTCTACATGCAAAACCAGTTCTGTTTTTTGGGCTGTGTCACTGTTGCCGCTCTAGTGCACCTGTCACTCATTTCCATTAATAACCATTTCTAAGATATTGCCCTGTCCTAATTTGCATCGTTATCCGACATGTTTTTATTTATTTTTTCACATTGAGACCGAGACAGCAGATAAACCTCTTCAAGTTTTTGATGAGAGAACAACATTATAACACGGTAGAAATCTCCAAAAAGTCAGTCAAAAACATTCTTAAGGCATATATGTGTCGTTAAAGGAAAATAAATTGCGCTCAGAAGTGGTTTGGATGAGCTTAAGATTTCTGCCTGATAACACGCCGCGGCCGTTTTGTGTTTGCTTTTGTCTTACGTCGGGGATTTCCTGTGTTTCCTGGTGCGTCAGGTGGAGCCGCGAGCACCGCTGACACGTCTGACAAGAATCTAACTGAACTGCACAGCGGCAGTTTGAGGCATGCAAATCATTCTTCTAATTCTTTGTGCAGAACGTTGTGCATAACATTCGAAGAAAAAAAAGAATGCCTTACTTTTTCTGTGCAGGTATTCGGCGACCAGAGCGGCGATGTGGACGTAGCACATAGCGGCCTGTAAAGAGACGAAGCAGGATTAAAAAAATATATACAGACATTGTTGGAGAAACTGTGGACAAACATCAGTGAGACATTTTCACATATTCTGGCAAAGTCCCAAGATTGACCCTCACTGCAGGGGTCCCACCGGACCGCAAAAGCGTGGACTGTCCCTCCCTTCTGTAGGTCTCGTGGACCGTTCGTCCCGTATGTCGCGTGGACCGTCCGTCCCTTCCGTACGTCACGTGGACCGTCCCTCCCTTTCGTACGTCACGTGGACCGTCCCTCCCTTCTCTATGTCGCATGGACCGTCCCTCCCTTCCGTACATCGCGTGGACCGTCCCTCCCTTCCGTACATCGCGTGGACCGTCCCTCCCTTCTGTACACTGTCGAGACCGTCCCTCCCTTCTCTATGTTGCGTGGACCGTCCCCTCCCTTCCGTACATCGCGTGGACCATCCCTCCCTTCTGTACATCACGTGGACCGTCCCTCCCTTCTGTACGTCACGTGGACCGTCCCCCCCCTTCCGTACGTCACGTGGACCGTCCCCCCCTTCCGTACGTCGCGTGGACCCTTCCCTCCCTTCTGTACATCGCGTGGACCGTCCCTCCCTTCTCTATGTCATGTGGACTGTCCCCCCCCTTCTGTACATCGCGTGGACCGTCCCTCCCTTCCGTACATCGCGTGGACCGTCCCTCCCTTCTGTACGTCGCCGTCCCCTCCATTTTGTACGTCGCGTGGACCGTCCCTCCCCATACGTCGCGGAGACTTTCCCCCCGTTCGTGCGTCGCATGGACCATGTGTGTCTCTCCTCATTATGTCGCGCAGGCCACACCTCTAAACCAGAACTAAAACAGGATTAAACCTGGTCTAAACCAGGACTAAACTAGATCTAAAATAGGTCTAAAACCAGGTCTAAAACAGGTCTAAAAACAAGTCTAAAACAGGTTAAAAAAGATTTTAAAATAAGTCTAAAATAGGTCTAAAATAAGTCTAAAACCAAGTCTAAAACAGATCTAAAAACAAGTCTAAAAGAGGTCAGAAACCAGGTCTAAACCGGGTCTAAAACCGGTCTAAAACCAGGACTAAACCAGGTCTAATCCAGGTCTAAATCAAGTCTAAAACTGGTCTAAAACCAGGACTAAACCAGGTCTAATCCAGGTCTAAATCAAGTCTAAAACTGGTCTAAAATCGGCCTAAAACAGGTCTAAATTAGGACTAAAACAGAACTAAAACCAGGTCTAAACCAGAACTAAAACAGATTTCGCCTGGACCAAACCATGCTGCGGTTTATTTTATTTTATTTTTATTTTTTTGGTTAAGTCTGGTGATTTATTCTGTTCTACAATAATAATCATTTGTGTATGTAAATATGTGATATACACAGTGTTGGGAAGGTGACTTTTAAAATGTAATCCCCTACAGATTACAGATTACACACCCCAAAATGTAGTTTGTAACATAATCCATTAAATTACTTAAAGTGAGTAATGTAATCTGAATACTTTGGATTATTTGATATTGTCGTGCTTTTTTAAAACAACATGAATGTAACAACCACATCCTGAAAATTCATGTTTGTTCTCTTCAAATTGGCCCTGGTTTAGACCTGATTTAGACCTGGTTTAGTCCTGGTTTAGTCCTGGTTTAGTCTTGGTTTAGACCTGGTTTAGTCCTGGTTTAGACCTGGTTTAGACCTGGTTTAGACCTGGTTTAGACCTGAAATAGTCCTGGTTTAGACCTGGTTTAGTCCTGGTTTAGACCTGGTTTAGACCTGGTTTAGTCCTGGTTTAGACCTGGTTTAGACCTGGTTTAGACCTGGTTTAGACCTGGTTAGTCCTGGTTTAGACCTGGTTTAGTCCTGGTTTAGACCTGGTTTAGACCTGGTTTAGTCCTGGTTTAGACCTGGTTTAGACCTGGTTTAGACCTGGTTTAGACCTGGTTTAGTCCTGGTTTAGACCTGGTTTAGTCTTGGTTTAGACCTGAAATAGTCCTGGATTAGACCTGAAATAGTCCTGGTTTAGACCTGGTTTAGTCCTGGTTTAGTCCTGGTTTAGTCCTGGTTTAGACTTGGTTTAGTCCTGGTTTAGACCTGAAATAGTCCTGGTTTAGACCTGGTTTAGTCCTGGTTTAGACTTGGTTTAGTCCTGGTTTAGACCTGGTTTAGTCCTGGTTTAGACCTGGTTTAGTCTTGGTTTAGACCTGAAATAGTTCTGGATTAGACCTGAAATAGTCCTGGTTTAGACCTGGTTTAGTCCTGGTTTAGTCCTGGTTTAGTCCTGCTTTAGACCTGATTTAGACTTGGTTTAGTCCTGGTTTAGACCTGAAATAGTCCTGGTTTAGACCTGGTTTAGTCCTGGTTTAGACCTGGTTTAGTCCTGGTTTAGACCTGGTTTAGTCCTGGTTTAGACCTGGTTTAGTCCTGGTTTAGTCCTGGTTTAGTCCTGGTTTAGTCCTGGTTTAGACCTGGTTTAGTCCTGGTTTAGACCTGGTTTAGTCCTGGTTTAGATCTGGTTTAGACCTGGTTTAGTCCTGGTTTAGTCCTGGTTTAGACCTGGTTTAGACCTGGTTTAGACCTGCCTGGTTTAGACCTGGTTTAGTCCTGGTTTAGACCTGGTTTAGACCTGGTTTAGTCCTGGTTTAGACCTGGTTTAGACCTGGTTTAGTCCTGGTTTAGACCTGGTTTAGTCTTGGTTTAGACCTGAAATAGTCCTGGATTAGACCTGAAATAGTCCTGGTTTAGACCTGGTTTAGTCCTGGTTTAGACCTGGTTTAGTCCTGGTTTAGACCTGGTTTAGTCTTGGTTTAGACTTGAAATAGTCCTGGTTTAGACCTGGTTTAGTCCTGGTTTAGTCCTGGTTTAGACCTGATTTAGACTTGGTTTAGACCTGGTTTAGACCTGAAATAGTCCTGGTTTAGACCTGGTTTAGTCCTGGTTTAGACCTGGTTTAGTCCTGGTTTAGACCTGGTTTAGTCCGCCGTGTAATCCTCCATTTATTTCAACAAAGTAACTGTAATCCAATTCCCACTCACTGAAACAGTAACTGTAACTGAATACAGTTACTCTACAAAATCTACAAAACAACATTTATGTACAAAATAAAATAAAATAAAAATCGCTGGACTAAGACACCGTGAGACTTTGGCAACATCTGGTCTTAAATCTGGACAGACACTTGAAACAGTAAAGTCTACGTGGTCTTAAGATAAAGTCGTTAACTAAAGTGACTTTGTAATGGAAAAAATATCTTTAAAAGCACAACAGAGATAAAATCAATCGTTTGTTGAAAAGACCACCATTGTCGGGCCACTGACCCGCGTCGCTGCGTCAACAAAACATCAAACCGTCTGAACATAACATCACGTAAAAGTTTCTAAAAAAAAACAAAAACCACTCAAGTTATTTTTAAGCACGTCCAGGACCCGGGAGACGCCGGACGGACGGACTGTGTCTCTGGGAACGTGACGGGAACGTGACGGGAATCACACAGTGTGGGGTTTTTGTGTTCAAAAAAAAAAAAAAAAAATGAAAAAAACTGATAATGATTCGTTTTTTCAGTTTTCGATTTTGTGTTTAAATGAAAAATGGAAAAAACGGATAATGGACTAAACCAGGACTAAACCAGGTCTAAACCAGGTCTAAACCAGGACTAAACCAGGTCTAAACCAGGACTAAACCAGGTCTAAACCAGGTCTAAACCAGGACTAAACCAAACCAGGTCTAAACCAGGTCTAAACCAGGACTAAACCAGGACTAAACCAGGTCTAAACCAGGTCTAAACCAGGACTAAACCAGGTCTAAACCAGGTCTAAACCAGGACTAAACCAGGACTAAACCAGCTAAACAGGTCTAAAACCAGGACTAAACCAGGTCTAAACCAGGACTAAACCAGGTCTAAACCAGGTCTAAACCAGGACTAAACTAAGTCTAAACCAGGACTAAACCAGGTCTAAACCAGGTCTAAACCAGGACTAAACCAGGTCTAAACCAGGACTAAACCAGGACTAAACCAGGACTAAACCAGGTCTAAACCAGGACTAAAACCAGGTCTAAACCAGGACTAAACCAGGTCTAACCAGGTCTAAACAGGACTAAACCAGGTCTAAACAGGTCTAAACCAGGACTAAACCAGGTCTAAACCAGGTTAAACCAGGTCTAAACCAGGACTAAACCAGGTCTAAACCAGGACTAAACCAGGACTAAACCAGGACTAAACCAGGTCTAAACCAGGACTATTTCAGGTCTAAACCAGACTAAACCAGACTAAACCAGGACTAAACCAGGACTAAACCAGGTCTAAACCAGGTCTAAACCAGGTCTAAACCAGGTCTAAACCAAGACTAAACTATAGGACTAAACCAAGACTAAACCAGGTCTAACCAGGTCTAACCAGGTCTAAACCAGGACTAAACCAGGTCTAAACCAGGACTAACCAGGTCTAAACCAGGACTAAACCAGGACTAAACCAAGACTAAACTAAACCAGGACTAAACCAGGACTAAACCAGGTCTAAACCAGGTCTAAACCAGGACTAAACCAGGTCTAAACCAGGTCTCAAGTTATTTTGAAGCACGTCCAGGACCCGGGAGACGCCGGACGAACGGACTGTGTCTCTGGGAAAGTGACGGGAATCCCACAGGAGCCGGAGGAAGTTTGTGTAGAAAGGGAAATCTGGGAATCTGGGAGCTCGGATTCAGGTGGAGTTTAAACGACGAGGGTCTGGACGGAAAACGCAAAAGTGGCATCACGTTTTCAGGTTTTATTCCGCGTTTAGACGATGTTTTCGGGAGGAAATCTGCGTGCACACGGTGACGCAAAAGTGTGTGGAATTCGATTGGGTTTGTGACGTAAACGTGTGCGCGACGTGAGCAGATCTAAACTCGTTTTTCAAAATAAAACCAAAAATAAGAAAATGAAAAAAAAAATAACAAATTTCTTCATTATTTGTCTCTAAAATCAAAATGACAAAAACAGATAATGATTCGTTTTTTCAGTTTTCGATTTTGACCGGACTGAACCAGGTCTAAACCAGGTCTAAACCAGGTCTAAACCAGGTCTAAACCAGGACTAAACCAGGTCTAAACCAGGTCTAAACCAGGACTAAACAGGTCTAAACCAGGACTAAACCAGGTCTAAACCAGGTCTAAACCAGGACTAAACCAAGTCTAAACCAGGACTAAACCAGGAAACTAAACCAGGTCTAAACCAGGACTAAAACAGGTCTAAACCAGGTCTAAACCAGGTCTAAACAAGGTCTAAACCAGGTCTAAACAAGGTCTAAAGCAGGTCTAAACCAGGACTAAACCAAGTCTAAACCAGGACTAAACCAGTCTAAACAAGGTCTAAACCAGGTCTAAACCAGGTCTAAACCAGGTCTAAACCAGGTCTAAACCAGGTCTAAACCAGGTCTAAACCAGGACTAAACAGGTCTAAACCAGGCTAACCAGGACTCTAAACCAGGTCTAAACCAGGTCTAAACCAGGACTAAACAGGTCTAAACCAGGACTAAAACAGAAACCAGGTCTAAACCAGGTCTAAACAGGAAGTCTAAACCAAGTCTAAACCAGGACTAAACCAGTCTAAACCAGGTCTAAAACCAGGATAAACCAGGTCTAAACCAGGACTAAAAGGTCTAAACCAGGACTAAACCAAGGACTCTAAACCAGGTCTAAACCAGGTCTAAACAGGTCTAAACCAGGTCTAAACCAAGGTCTAAACCAGGACTAAACCAGGTCTAGGACTAAACCAGGACTAAACCAGGACTAAACCAGGTCTAAACCAGGTCTAAACCAGGTCTAAACCAGGTCTAAACCAGGACTGGTCTAAAACCAGGTCTAAAACCCAGGTCTAAACCAGGTCTAAAACACTAAAACAGGACTAAAACAGGTCTAAACCAGGACTAAACCAAGGACTAAACCAGGTCTAAACCAGGTCTAAACTAAACTCTAAACCAGGTCTAAACCAGGTCTAAACCAGGTCTAAACCAGGACTAAAACAGGTCTAAAACCAGGGTCTAAACCACTAAACCAGGACTAAAACCAGGTCTAAAACCGGGTTTAAAACAGATCTAAAACAGGTCTAAACCAGGACTAAATCAGGTCGGAAACCAGGTTGGAAACCAGGTTGGAAACCGGGTCTAAAACAGGTCTAAAACCGGGTCTAAAACAGATCTAAAATAGGTCTGAAACCGGGTCTAAAACAGGTCTAAAACAGGTCTAAACCAGGACTAAACCAGGACTAAACCAGGACTGAAACTGGGTCTAAAACAGGTCTAAATCAGGGTCTAAAACAGGTCTAAAACAGGGTGTAAACCAGGACTAAACCAGGTCTAAAACAGGGTGTAAACCAGGACTAAACCAGGTCTAAAACAGGATTTAGCCAGGACTTAACCACGCCACGCAGACCATTAATAGTTCCTCCTCCCAGACGCCGCCGTGATATTTTGAGGAGACTAAACATCTAAAACTGTTTATATGCTTGTTTTAGACACTTGTTAGAACTTGGTCGCCGCCGCCGCCGCCGCCGCCGCCGCCGCCGTCGCGGTGACTCCTTACCTCGGACAGGTCTCCGTTCTTGAGGTGCGCCCGGGCCATGCTGTCGAGCCACGTCCTCCTGAGCTCGGGCGTGCTGGCGTAGGACCGGGCCAGGCTGTACTGCAGGTCCAGGAGCATCTCGGGGTCCTTCTCGTGCTCCTTCATCTGCGCCGTGGCCATCAGCACCGTGCGGATCCGCTTGGTCAGGCCCTTCACCTCCGACGGGAACGCTGTGGACTGAACACCGCGCGGAGTCAGGAGTGAGGCAAACATATAAATATCGAAATATTAAAACGTCCTGATTAAAGTGACCAGACGTTCGTTTTGAGCCCAGATTTATACAAAAAAACACTAATTTGTCTTAATTTTATACATAAAAATATCAGTATTATGCCGGGTTTTTTTTGACACGCCGTGGTCCTCCCTACAACAACTCAGATAATACTCCCTACGACTGTACAACAACTCTGATAATACTCCCTACGACTGTACAACAACTCTGATAATACTCCCTACGACTGTACAACAACTCAATACTCCCTACGACTGTACAACAACTCACCCTTATGTAGCATTTAATACTCCCTAAAACTGTACAACAACTCTGATAATACTCCCTACGACTGTACAACAACTCAATAGTCCCTACGACTGTACAACTCACCCTTATGTAGCAGATAATACTCCCTACAACTGTACAACAACTCTGATAATACTCCCTACAACTGTACAACAACTCACCCTTATGTAGCATATAATACTCCCTACAACTGTACAACAACTCAGATAATACTCCTACACTGACAACAACTCTTATGTAACAGATAATACTCCCTACGACTGTACAACAACTCAGATAATACTCCCTACGACTGTACAACAACTCTGATAATACTCCCTACGACTGTACAACAACTCTGATAATACTCCCTACGACTGTACAACAACTCTGATAATACTCCCTACTACTCAACACGACTGTACAACAACTCAGAACATACTCCCTACGACTGTAAACAACTCTGATAATACTCCTACAACTGTTACACAACTCTGATAATACTCCCTACAACTGTACAACAACTCTGATAATACTCCCTACAACTGTACAACAACTCTGATAATACTCCCTACGACTGTACAACAACTCAGATAATACTCCCTACGACTGTACAACAACTCTGATAATACTCCCTACAACTGTACAACAACTCTGATAATACTCCCTACGACTGTACAACAACTCTGATAATACTCCCTACAACTGTACAACAACTCTGATAATACTCCCTACAACTGTACAACAACTCTGATAATACTCCCTACAACTGTACAACAACTCTGATAATACTCCCTACGACTGTAAACGACTAAACAAGGACTAAACAAGGACTAGACCGGGACTAAACAAGGACTAGACCGGGAGTAGACCAAGACTAGACTGGGACCAAACCAGGACTAGACCAAGACTAAACAAGGACTAGACCCTGAATAGACTGAGACTAAACCACGACTAGACCAGGTCTGATCCAGTGTCATTAGTGGAGTATAAATATAAACACACTCCAGTCGTCGAGTCGATCTCCTCCTCTGAGGTTTTATGTCATAAAAACACTCAAGTCTCTCAGTCTGGTCTGACATCGTTTCGGGAAAAGACCAGGACCGGGCTCTTGTTTCCAGGGCAACGGACGCGCGTCAAGTATTTCTGTCCCGTTCGTCCGCGGCCTCAAAGACGAGCGTCGGGGGCGTCTAAACTCAAATGCAAAGGCTCCAAATAGAGACGTCAAGGCGTTTTTTTGAACGGCCCTTTAAAGGTTGTATAGAGGATTTTTTAAGGGAAGTGAAATACAGCGACAATCGTTTTTTAAATGTTGTGCATGCGTAACACCACCATCCTCCTCCACAGCTCCTCAGTAGAAACACCTCCTCCCGTCTCTTTACTCTAGAAATCGCACTTGTTTACATCCACTGTGCGTTCAGAATTACTGTTGAAGTGACCTGTTGAGAAATATTTTAGCGACCGACGTGTCAGTTTTTAGACCCTTCGTCTGCTTCAGTCGCTGGAAGGAATCTCCAAGAATCACCTCAGTTTGGTTTTGCTCCTTTTCTCCTTCTCTTCTTCTTTCAGCGACCACAAAAACGGACTTTCTTTTGCGGCGAACCGGTCGTGGATTCTCGTCCGCCATCGCAACAAACTTTGTGCGAATTGCGAGGAAGCGACAGTTTGAAAAATCCTCTCAGAACCGCTGCGTAAACCACGTAATCCCCGCGCGCCGGCGAGTCACTTACACTAGAAACGTATGGAGTTTGACTGACAACCTAACAGCCAATAGATAAACAGGGAGCCTCGTTGTCTATTGGCTGATGTTTATCTGGCCTCACTACATCAGATTTTCATTCTTTTCTTTGTTGGTCACCATAATTTCAAGGCTGCTGCGTCTCTGTAATGGAATTTCAAACTTTCAACGAAAATTTGAAACTAAAAAGAAAAATCCTCCATACAACCTTTAAGCTCCCTCACGATTCAATACGATATACGGCTCACGATACGCGCGATCCTCTGTGATATACGGCTGTTTTTCAAGGCCCAAATACATTTTAGTATTTCTTTGTTACACCACAACTTACGCAAAGTTATTGTGTAATACAATACTACTGAAATAAGCTCCTTAATTGCTCTGTGGTCACAAAAAAAACAAACAAAAAAACATTGATTATACTGATAGAGCAGCTCCTAAAAACAACACTGAGTCACTCCTCCCTGGAAAACCGCAGAAGACGCGATTCGAAGGAAAACGGATGAACTGGTTACGCGCAGACAGACGAGCGTCACACCTTCATACAACTGCTGGAAGCGGGATATCAGATAATACTCCCTACGACTGTACAACAACTCAGATAACACTCCCTACGACTGTACAACAACTCAGATAATACTCCCTACGACTGTACAACAACTCAGATAATACTCCCTACGACTGTACAACAACTCAGATAACACTCCCTACGACTGTACAACAACTCAGATAATACTCCCTACAACTGTACAACAACTCACACTTATGTACAACAGATAATACTCCCTACAACTGTACAACAACTCACCCTTATGTAGCAGATAATACTCCCTACAACTGTACAACAACTCACCCTTATGTAACAGATAATACTCCCTACAACTGTACAACAACTCACCTTATGTAACAGATAATACTCCCTACAACTGTACAACAACTCACCCTTATGTAACAGATAATACTCCCTACAACTGTACAACAACTCAGATAATACTCCCTACAACTGTACAACAACTCAGATAATACTCCCTACAACTGTACAACAACTCACCCTTATGTAACAGATAATACTCCCTACAACTGTACAACAAAACTCACCCTTATGTAACAGATAATACTCCCTACAACTGTACAACAACTCACCCTTATGTAACAGATAATACTCCCTACAACTGTACAACAACTCAGATAATACTCCCTACAACTGTACAACAACTCACCCTTATGTAACAGATAATACTCCCTACAACTGTACAACAACTCAATGTAATAATACTCCCTACAACTGTACAACAACTCACCCTTATGTAACAGATAATACTCGACGTCACACCTTCATGGCCTTGTCGCTGTTGGCAAAGTTGTTGATGATGGAGAGAGATTCCTGGAAGCGGGAGCTGCCGGTGAGCGCCACGTCCGAGATCAGCTGACTCACCGCGATGATGATCTGAAGAGATGAAAAGAAGAGAAAGAGAAAGTCAAGACACGATGGATGTTTTCAGTCTTAAAATAGCAAGACATTTCAGATTTTTATCTTATTTTCATGTAGTACGCTCACTGAAAACTATTTTTTGTGGTCCTCAAACAATCCGTGTGTCATTCGTTCAATCTAAAACCAAAAATAAGAAAAAAAAACAAACAAAAACAAAAAACTTTTCTTCATAATTTGTCTCCAAAACCAAAATTTAAAAAAAAAAAGGATAATGATTCGTTTTTTCAGTTTTAGATTTTTTGTTTAAATGAAAAATGGGAAAAACGGATAAAGGACTAAACCAGGACTAAACCAGGTCCAGGACAAGACCGGAACCGTATCAGGGCTGAGACCAAGACTTAGACCGGGACCAGACTATTACTGAGTCCAGGACTAGGACCAGGACTAAGACCGGGACTAAGACCAGGACCAGATCAGGACCAGGCCGTGATTGACACTTGGACTGAGACCGGGACCAGATTTGGACCAGACTGGGACTGAGATTGGGACCAGACCAGATCAGGACCAGACCAGGACTAGGCCGCGATTGAGACTTGGACTGAGACCGGGACCAGACCGGGACAGAGACTGGGACCAGACTTGGACCAGACTGGGACTGAGATTGGGACCAGTCCAGGACCAGGCCGCGATTGAGACTTGGACTGAGACCAGGACCAGACCGGGCCAGACCGGGACCAGACTGCGACTGAGACTGGGACCAGATCAGGACCAGACCAAGACAGAGACCAGGACCAGACTGGAACCAGACTGGGACTGAGACCAGGACCAGACCGGGACCAAACCGGGACTGAAAATGTTTCAGTCCTGGTTCAGTCCATTATCCGGTTTCTCCATTTTTCATTTAAACACAAAATCAAAAACTGTAAATCATTATCTGTTTTTTCATTTTGGTTTTGGAGACAAATAATGAAATTTTATTTTTTCATTTTCTTATTTTTGGTTTTATTTTGAAAAACAAATGAACGAATGACACACGGATTTTTGTGCAAAGGTTTGTGTAACGATATCCAAGTCTCACAAACCGATATTGTCACGATACGATATTTATTGAGATATTTTGTGGCGGCTGTGAACAAAACTGTGAATATTCTACTTTTTCCTCTTAAAATGCCTTGACAAGATTTAATCCAAAGAACTAAACTTAAAAGTGTTAGAACTGTTATTTCTTCTTGTCGTCTGCGCTGAAATGGAGCAAAGGATCATGGTCTATGTAGTTCCCTCTGTGTTTTTTTTTTAATCTAGTGTTGCACCATAACTCTTCATTTAAGCAAAGACACTTGTAATTCGATATTTTGTGATGGTCCACGATATTATTGTGAGAACTTTGACGATACGATATCACGATATTTTGGTTATAGTTACATCCCTAGTGGCCACAGCTTTTGAAAAAAAAAACGAGTTCATTAGGTCACAAAGAGCTTTAGACTTGCAATAAAAAATAATGCAACATAAAATAGTTAAAATAAAATAATAAAATACTACTACTACTACTACTACTACTACTACTCCTACTACTAATAATAATTAAATAATTAATAATTAAATTAATAATAATAAAATAAATACAATAGTTTTGCGTTAACGTATTAATAACACAATATTTAATATTTAAACTAATAAAGTTAAATAAATGTCAAAAAAATAAGACATAAAGTATTATTATTATTATATATATTATTTTTATTTACATATTTTACTTTATTTAATTTTTTAATCAATTCATTTATATTTTATTATTTTTCTATGTATTTATTTATTTTCTACCCTATTATTGTTATTATTTTTATTTTTTTTTTGGTTGTATGTTGACCTGTGTTAATAACGTGGTCAGTTGTTCATGTGAAAAATTTTTATTGTCTGAAAATTAATAAAAATATTGAGGAAAAAAATAAAATAAAATAATAAGACATAAATTATTATTATTATTATTATTATATTATTTTATTTTTTTTTTATTTACCTATTTTACTTGATTTAATTTTTTTAATCAATTAAGTTATATTTTATTATTTTTCTATTTATTTATTTTCTACCCTATTATTGTTATTATTTTTATTTTTTTCGGTTGTATGTTGACCTGTGTTTATAACGTGGTCAGTTGTTCATGTGAAAATTCGTTATTGTCTGAAAATTAATAAAAATATTGGGGGGGAAAAAAAATAAAATAAGAAATAAAGACCAAACCAAAGCATTTTATAGGGTAATTTTGTCGGGTAATAAATAACAGAGAAGCTCCTGACACGGTCACTTACTTTCATCCAATCAGGAATGTGGCTTTATCCAAATAAAAGCTACAGAAGGCATCCAAAACACATCGAGGCATGTGTAAACAACGCATAAAATGAACCTTTATTTGGATATAACACTGGAAGACCTAAATTAACCTCTCTGAAGGAACGTTGTTTGTAAAAAATCCCGGGAAAAAAACGGTTGACACTGTGCAGGCCAAAGGGATAGAACTACATGACACTGGCCACGTTTACATGATGTTTTTTAATTCCGAATTAATAGTTCTGGATGAAATTTATATTGAAATAATAAATCTAAAATGAGGTTTACATGGAAAACTCGTTAAACCCTCTTTATTTAATTCTGCTCAGCGTCTCGGGGTGGGGAAGGGTTCTGTATTTACGTCTGAGAAAGAAAAACACACTTCAGCTGCTCCCGGTTTTTCTGTCGCCTCGGTTTGTCGTTACGCCACGGACACAAACGCGATCCAAACTTTTTTCTGTAATTGCTAAATGATGATAAAAATTTGCTTGGAACGACTGACATATTTTATAGAAATAGTTTCCTTTCATTTTGAAGTAATATTAAAGTATTCGGAATAAAAAAGCCACAAATGATGTAAAATCCTGCACCTTCTACTTGTTTGCACAATTTTCCCTCCGTTACTTTTCCCTCCGTTACCATGAACTTTCTGAATAAAAAATCTCATGAGTCAAAAAGTAAGAGGTTTTTCAAAATAATCTTGTACCATATGGTAGAAAACTACATGAAGCAAATATTCAAACCAGTTTGTTAAGGATATGGAAGTGAGAACCAAGAGTTATCACTGTTTGGATTTATTGACCAAAAAGTGCTGCATATTTCATTCCCTCCGTTACCGACATGAGTTTTTACATTTTTTGTCAACAACTTGAAAGAATCTCACAGGTTTAACTTGACCCTGTTGGAGTGTAACTCTTTCCTACATTCTGATACTTTACTTATTTCAATAGTTCCTCTAGTTTCTGAATAAGAGACATTTGAATGTCAAAAATCTGCCTGTTTCCCTTCGTTAACACTTGACTGGACCCACCACCAACTCACTTTCTCATTTTCATTAGGAAGTAAGTGTTTACATCAGACATGTCAGACTCAGTATATACATGTGTATTAGAGCCGCCGCCGCACACAGATCGACTATAGAGACATTATTTATTTAAATGTTGTTATTATTTTATATTTTTCTTGTTCTGGATTCAATGTTTAAGCAAAACTTTTATTAAACATTTAATTGAATAAGAAAAGGTTTAACATTACAGATCTCGTAAGAAGAGAAAACACGCAGATGGTGTTTAAATGTTTCAATAAATATTTAGTCTGGCCCACGACTTAGTCCCAATTTTTTATTTTGAGTTTGACACTCCTGGTTTACATGGGCTTTTTAAAGCAGAATAAATTTTCCTCTTATCCGGGGTCGGGTCATGGGGGCGTCAGTCTAAGCAGGGACTCCCAGACTTCCCTCACCCCAGACACTTCCTCCAGCTCCTCCAGGGGGACATTCCCAGTCCAGCCCAGAAACTTAGGCTACGTTCAGACTGCAGGGCTTAACGCTCAATTCCAATTTTTTTGTGAAATCCGATGTTTTTTCGAGGTCGTTCACATTTCCAGTTAAATGTGACTTGTATGTGACTCCAGTGTGAACATTAAACGGCCCAAAAGTGTCCCACATGTGACACTGGAGACACGACGACGTCAACCGCAGCGAGCGTCTCTGTGTTTACAGAAGTTGTCCAAACATGGACGCAGCATCGAGCACCTGGAGATTTTAAAGTTCCTCTCGTACCGGAGCCAGAACATGAACAACTTACTTGTTTTAAGGAGGAGATTGAGAAGGAGAAGGACGAGGTTTTTGGTCGTGGTGTTTTGTGGTGAGTGGTGATGTGCTTCACTTCAGTCACACAGAGTTCATTAACAATTTTCACCTACTTCAGCGCAGAATAGTGACGTTTGTGTCTTGTTGATAACGTGTAGGTGGATGAATGCACTTTGGCCGTTCACACTGAAGTCACATGTTAAAGATCAGATATGTATCAGTTTCAGGAGCACATATCCAAGTGTCCTGGGTCACATTTGAAAAAATCAGATCTGTGTGGTTCAGACTGTCATTAAAAGATCAGATACAGGAACATAGAGGCCAAAAAATCGGATTTGGGTCACTTCAGGCTGCAGTCTGAACGCAGCCATAGTCCCTCCAGGTGTCCTGGTTCTTCTCTGGGGTCTCCTCCCGGTGGGTCATGCCCAGAACACCTCAGCACTTGAGGGAGACGTCCAGGAGGCATCAGAACAGACGTCCTCCCCTCAGCTGCTCCTCTCCACATGGAGGAGCAGCGGCTCTACTCCGAGCTCCTCCTGTGTGACTGAGCTCCTCACTTTATCTCTAAGGGAGACGCCCAGACGCCCTGCGGAGGAAACTCATTTGTGCTGCTTGTATCTGCGATCTCGTCCTTTCGGTCATTACCCAAAGCTCATGACCAGAGGTGAGGGGAGGAACAAAGATAAATAATGACGGTAAATCAAGAGCTTCACCTTTGGGCTCAGCTCCCTTTTCACCACAACGGTCCGATACAGCGACCACAGAATCAATTTTTATTCAGAATTAAATCATTTTTAATAAAGCTCTCATGTAAACGTGGCAAATATCTCCGAAGTGAGTCACGGAGCAGTAAGTGGGCGAGGCTACACACTCAGACATGTTCCTCTGTCGTGATTTTTTAAAAAAGCAACCACTAAATTTAAAATCAGGTCCAACCCCCTTAAACGGAGAAAGAGGAACATCCATTCTGATGACTGATATATACAGTTGGAGTCTGATAACACGTGGGTTTTGATAAGAGGAGGTTTCTGTTTCGTGTCCGGACGGGGCCTCACCTGCAGGTGCGTGCGGAGGAAGGTCTTCCTCTTGGTGTACTCGTAGTTGTTCCTCATGAGCAGGTAGAGCAGAGCGGACGACTCGGCCCTGAGCAGCGCCAGTTTGGAGACGCAGCACTTGAGCACCTCGCAGCACAGAGCCTCACACAGAGTCACGCGGCCTTTGAACAGCACCAGCGGAAACTGAAACACACAAAACATTCAGTCACTTTTTTCACACTCAATTTTTAGAAATATTACAGTGAAGGAAGAAGAACTCAATTTTGTAAAAGTAAAAGTATTTCACACAGATTTTTCGATTTAAAGGTTGTATAGAGGATTTTTTTAAGGGAAGAGAAATACAGCGACAGTCCTTGTGCGCGTTCAGAATTACTGTTGAAGTTTCCCGTCTAGAAGTAATTCAGCGACCGACGCGTCAGTTTTTAGACCCTTCGTCTGCTTCGGTCGCGCCATCGCTGGACGAGATCTCCAAGAATCACCTCAGTTTGGCTTTGCTCCTTTTCCTCTTCTCTTCTTCTTTCAGCGACCTCAAAAACGGACTTTCTTTCGCGGCGAACCGGTCGTGGATTCTCGTCCGCCGTCGCGACAAACTTTGTGCGAAATGCGAGGAAGCGACAGTTCGAAAAAGCCTCTAAGAACCGCTGCGTAAACCACGTAATCCCCGCGCTCCGACGAGTCAGTTACACTAGGGAGTTTGATTGACAACCTAACAGCCAATAGAAAATGAGGGAGCCTCGTTTTCTATTGGCTGATGTTTATCTGGCCTCAACACGTCCACAGTTGATAGATTTTTGTTCTTTTTTTTTTTGGTCATCATAATTACAAAGCTGCTGCGTCTCTGTAATGGTATTTTAATCTTTCACTGACAGTTTGAAACTAAAAAAAAACCTCCATACAACCTTTAACAAAGCTTCAAATGTGCTGATTTTGATTCAGATTTGTGTAGAATTTTAGTTTTTATTTGTATATTTTTGTTGTTTGCTCAAAGTGTGTATGTGTGAAAAATAAACCCGCAGGATTTTCAGCGGGTTTCAAACTAAAATAAAAAAAAAATACTTTGGTTTTCAGTCCTGTTGTGTTACGGTGAGATTGAGCTGATGAAGGATTTGTGATGCTGAAACGTTGTGCCAATAAATTTCATGTTCGGAGCTTTGAAAGAGTGTGCGGACTTTTAATTATTTCTGTTTATCTAAACCAGGACTAAACCAGGACTAAACCAGGTCTAAACCAGGTCTAAACCAGGACTAAACCAGGTCTAAACCAGGTCTAAACCAGGACTAAACCAGGACTAAACCAGAACTAAACCAGGACTAAACCAGAACTAAACCGGGACTAAACCAGGTCTAAACCAGGTCTAAACCAGGTCTAAACCAGGTCTAAACCAGGACTAAACCGGAACTAAACCAGGACTAAACCGGAACTAAACCAGGACTAAAAGCAAAACTAAAACCAGGACTAAACCAGGTCTAACCTAGGACTAAAACCAGGTCTAAACCAGGACTAAAGCAGGACTAAACCAGAACTAAACCAGGACTAAACCAGGTAAACCAGGACTAAACCAGGACTAAACCAGGTCTAAACCAGGGACTAAACCAGGTCTAAACCAGGACTAAACCAGGTCTAAACCAGGACTAAACCAGGACTAAACAGGACTAAAAAGGACTAAACCAGGTCTAAACCAGGACTAAACCAGGACTAAACCAGGTCTAAACCGGGACTAAACCAGGTCTAAACCAGGACTAAACCAGGTCTAAACGAGGTCTAAACGAGGTCTAAACCAGGCCTAAACCAGGTCTAAACCAGGACTAAACCGGAACTAAACCAGGACTAAACCAGAACTAAACCAGGACTAAAAGCAAAACTAAAACCAGGACTAAACCAGGACTAAACCAGGTCTAACCTAGGACTAAAACCAGGTCTAAACCAGGACTAAAACCAGGACTAAACCAGGACTAAACCAGGACTAAACCAGGTCTAACCTAGGACTAAAACCAGGTCTAAACCAGGACTAAACCAGGACTAAACCAGGACTAAACCAGGTCTAACCTAGGACTAAACCAGGACTAAACCAGGACTAAACCAGGACTAAACCAGGACCAGCTCTAGCACGTATCTCGCGTCTGGTTTTTTACGAATTCAAACTTTCTGAATGGGAAAAAAAGTCTCGACCTAAACGGCGGGAAAATAAAAAGCGTGTGAGAGTGTGAGAGCTGCTGCGGCGGGTCGGGGCTCGACGTTCCTCGTTCCTCGGAGCCGAGTTTCCACATCAACACGCAATAAGTCGTGAAGAGCAAACAAGTGACAGCCTGTTGTCGAGTGTTGTTTCACATCGCCTGGAAACAAACGCAACAAGAATGTGGGCCGCGCCGTGACCCCGTACGACGAGCGCGCGTGTGTGTGTGTGTGTGTGTGTGTGTGTGTGTGTGTGTGTGTGTGTGTGTGTGTGTGGGGCGGGTCACATACCTTGTTGATGAAAGCTCTGAGGGCGGCGAACACGTGTCTGACGGCCGCCTCCGATTGGCCGACGCGGAGAAACGTGAGGTAGACGTCGAACACTTTCTTCATGAGCGCGTTGTGACCGTCGTTTTCCAGCAGCTGAGTCTGGACACGTTTCACACCACAGAAACAAAACAGACGTAAACTGTTAGAGCTTCTGAGGTTTTGTTTGGGTCTCGAAGACGTTCGGTCCAAGTCCTTGTTTTTTACAAGTATCGAGTCTCTGACCTCAAGTCCGAGTCAAGTTCCAAGTCAAATCCAGGCAAGTCCAAGTTGAATCTCAAGTCACGGGCCTGTAAGTTCAAGTCAAGTTCAAGTTGTCTGCTTCAAGCTTCAACCAGGACTAAACCAGGACTAAACTAAACCAGGACTAAACCAGGACTAAAACCAGGACTAAAACCAAGTTTAAACCAGGACTAAACCCAAGTTTAAACCAGGACTAAACCAAGTTTAAACTAGAAAAGCAGTCAGAGAGTGCAGACCTCCGCCAAGGACTACAGTCCCCCTCATATTAATTGTGTTTTCCATAAATATTTGTCTCGTGATTTGACGACCTTTAGAAACGGCTCGGTTTTTCACATTTAAACAGAGACTGCGGTAGGTGGAGCCACTACAACCCACACTAGACTGACCAATAGGATTCAAGGATATGTTTTCGCCGATTTTTTCCGAAGTTAATTGAAATAGTGACGATGGTAGCTTCCGGAAAAAACACAACACGAAACACGAGCAATGGAAAGATCGCGGCGCACAGTTTTAGAAATAATGAGGAGCGGACGTATTTTATGGATAAGTTTAGAGAAAGTGACTTTTATAGATTTCAAAGTGATGATGTTGAAGTTGATTATAAAGTGGAAAACAGCGACAGCGACGGACTTTCGGGGAGAAGGTGAGAATGTCGCTGATGCGTCTGTGTGGAGTCCTGCGATGTCCAAAACAACTATCTGAGCTTTATACTCGATTATGAACCAAAATTGCCCTGAAATCTGGATGTTGCCCAGGCGAGTCCTTTAAAATATTTCAGTCTTTTTTTCCAAGATGCGATGTTAAACAGAATCACTACAGAAAAAAACGTTTATGTGGAGCTCTGCACACGAGAAAATAACAAAGATGACAAATACTGGACACACACTGACGAGGAAGAGTTTTATTATTATATTATTATATTATTAATAAGCTAAATTAGTTGAATAAATTAAATAAGTTGAATAAGCTAAATGAGTTGAATAAGTTAAATGGAAAAATTATTGGGTGCACACAGGTGAACAACAGGTAAAAACAGGTGAACACTTGGCTCTACTGTATCTGGTGATATGAAATCTGTTTAAATACTTTGACAAAGTATATTTTTTAATTTTTTTTATGAATATAGTTCTCAGAACATGTATATATCAGATGCTGAATGTAGTTTTTTGTTTTCACCTGACCAGGTAAACTCTCATTTTCAGTGAGCTGTTATAAACCTGTAAATGAGTTGAATCACATTTAAACATCCAGAAATGAAGAGTTCAGAGTCTAAAGTTTCCAGAGATACAAATATGTCTGTGTTACAATTAAGTTCATGAGTGTAAAAATCATTTAGAATCACTCGTGGAAGTCTGTTTTCTTTTATGCAGTTATGCTCTATGGGCAGAACTAGTAACATATGTCTGGGTTGTTCCTAGTACAAGTCCAGGGGGGAAAGAGTTAAAGGTACAGGGGTCGTCGTCAAATGTCGTCTTCGTTGGGGAAAGAGTTAAAGCTGCACTAAGGGTCTTTTAACGGAGAGATCGAGAGCCAGTTCTCTGTCTTTAAAAGCATGTGGTTTGGAGCAGAGTTCAGATTTTGGAGGAAGACATTTTTTAGCATTTTTAAATTTTGTTTATTTTGTAATTCCAAATAAGCTCAAACGGGCCGGTCAGAGTCGATCAAAGGACCGCACGAGGCCCACGTCTGTTCCAGAGCTTTTAAATTTAAACCATTTGACTTTTGACACTTTAAAACATTGAACTATTATTGAATCAGTTTAATCTGGTTTGCACTTGTGTATTTATCAGAGGGTAAAGTCTTTTGTGCGTTCGTGAAAATCGTTGCTGCGCAGTGTTGGGAAGGAGACTTTTAAAATGTAATCCCCTACAGATTACAGATTACACACACCAAAATGTAGTTTGTAACATAATCCATTAAATTACTTAAAGTGAGTAATGTAATCTGAATACTTTGGATTATTTGATTTGATGTAGAGAAACAAAGACGAGGAAATCTTCACATAAAATGTTTTGTCTGATAAAAGAAAATAAAAAAGACCAGACTTTACTGAACCAAATTAAAAATATTATTGATAGAAGAAGAGGAAACACGTCCACAGCAGGATTTAGTCCTGGTTTAGACCTGGTTTAGACCTGGTTTAGACCTGATTTAGTCCTGGTTTAGTTCTGATTTAGACCTGATTTAGTCCTGATTTAGTCCTGGTTTATTCCTGATTTAGTCCTGATTTAGACCTGGTTTAGACCTGATTTAGTCCTGGTTTAGTTCTGATTTAGACCTGTTTTTTTTCCTGATTTAGTCCTGGTTTAGTTCTGATTTAGACCTGGTTTAGACCTGGTTTAGTCCTGATTTAGTCCTGATTTAGACCTGGTTTAGACCTGATTTAGTCCTGGTTTAGTCCTGATTTAGTCCTGGTTTAGTCCTGGTGTAGACCTGTTTAGTCCTGATTTAGTCCTGGTTTAGTCCTGGTGTAGACCTGGTTTAGTCCTGATTTAGTCCTGATTTAGACCTGGTTTAGTCCTGATTTAGTCCTGATTTAGTTCTGATTTAGACCTGATTTAGACCTGGTTTAGTCCTGATTTAGACCTGGTTTAGACCTGGTTTAGTCCTGATTTAGACCTGATTTAGACCTGGTTTAGACCTGGTTTAGTCCTGGTTTAGTCCTGATTTAGACCTGGTTTAGACCTGATTTAGACCTGATTTAGACCTGGTTTAGTCCTGGTTTAGACCTGATTTAGTCCTGATTTAGACCTGGTTTAGTCCTGGTTTTAGACCTGATTTAGTCCTGTTTTTAGACCTGGTTAGTCCTGGTTTAGTCCTGGTTTAGTGGTTTAGACCTGGTTTAGACCTGGTTTAGACCTGGTTTAATCCTGATTTGTCCTGGTTTTAGACCTGGTTTAGTGCTGATTTAGACCTGATTTAGTCCTGGTTTAGTCCTGATTTAGACCTGGTTTAGACCTGGTTAGTCCTGGTTTTAGTTCTGATTTAGACCTGATTTAGACCTGGTTTAGACCTGGTTTAGTCCTGGTTTAGACCTGGTTTAGTCCTGTTTTAGACCTGTTTAGTGGTTTAGTCCTGGTTTAGACCTGGTTTAGTCCTGGTTTAGACTGGTTTAGTCTAGTTTAGACCTGAGGATTTAGCCTAAATGTAAAAACAGTAAAATATTTCTGTGTAATCCATTTATTCCAACAAAGTAACTGTAATCCAATTCCCACTCACTGCAACAGTAACTGTAACTGAATACAGTTACTCATCATTTGTACTCTGATTACATAACTCCAGTACATGTAATCTGTTACTCCCTGTCGCGGCGTGAGCGGACGTCACGTTGTTTACCTTGAAACACTGCGTGAAGAGAGCGAGCACGTCCAGCACGCTCAGACACACCTCCACCGCCATGTTCCCCTCCAGCAGAGCCTGATGATGCACCTCTGCTTCAGACAGACCACTGCCTGCACAAACACACAGAAAAAACACTGATAATACTCCCTACGACTGCGCAAAAACTCACCCTGATGTAGCAGATAATACTCCCTACGACTGCGCAAAAACTCACCCTGATGTAGCAGATAATACTCCCTACGACTGCGCAAAAACTCACCCTGATGTAGCAGATAATCCTCCCTACGACTGCGCAAAAACTCACCCTGATGTAACAGATAATACTCCCTACAACTGTGCAAAAACTCACCCTGATGTAACAGATAATACTCCCTACAACTGCGCAAAAACTCACCCTGATGTAACAGATAATACTCCCTACAACTGTGCAAAAACTCACCCTTATGTAACAGATAATACTCCCTACAACTGTGCAAAAACTCACCCTTATGTAACAGATAATACTCCCTACGACTGTACAACAACTCACCCTGATGTAACAGATAATACTCCCTACAACTGTACAACAACTCACCCTGATGTAACAGATAATACTCCCTACAACTGTGCAAACTCACATGTACAGATAATACTCCTAACCAGGACTAAAAGCCAGACTACTAAACCAGACTAAACCAGGTCTAAACCAGGAAACTGAAACCAGTTTAAAAACCAGGATTAACAGGGACTAAACCAGGACTAAACCAGGTCTAAACCAGGACTAAAACAGGACTAAAACCAGAAACTAAAACAAGGACTAAACCAGGACTAAACTCAAAACCAGGAACTAAAACCAGGACTAAACCAGGTCTAAACCAGGACTGAACCAAGTTTAAACCAGGATTTAACAAGGACTAAAACCAGGACTAAAACCAGGACTAAAATCAGGTCTAAAATAGGACTAAACCAGGTCTAAACCAGGACTAAAACCAGAACTAAAACCAGGTCTAAACCAGGACTAAACCAGGTCTAAACCAGGACTAAAACCAGAACTAAAACCAGGACTAAACCAGGACTAAAACCAGGACTAAAACCAGGTCAAAACCAGGACTAAACCAGGACTAAAACCAGAACTAAAACCAGGACTAAACCAGGACTAAACCAGGTCTAAACCAGATCTAAACCAGGACTGAACCAAGTTTAAACCAAGATTTAACAAGGACTAAAACATGGGAAGTTTATTTTGACGCCGCGTGTTTATTTCCTGTCTTTCCCCTGGTAAAAACCTTGTGTGTTTGACTCTGTGGGTGTTACACTGTCAGACTGGGTAAAATGGAAGTTTCAAAAGCTGCGCGGCTGCTGCTCGTGTTGGGCTTTGGTGTGAATTGGGGGTAAGAAAGGGAAAAATCGTGGTGTTTTTATTTATTTTTTACCCATGTTGAGAGTGAGGGACGCTTCCATAAACTGGTTGATCTTGGTTTGCATGAGGCTCGCTCTGTTACAGCGCATGACCGGCATCGTCTGGGACTTTCTCTCCGAAGAAAACAGCTTCGACAAACACACGTCCTGACCCCTGTGAAAGTACAAAACCACCATTCATACGAAATGAATAAGTCAGGAATTTATTTATTTATTTGGAAAAGAGAGACTCTTACCGGCCAATGTTCCTTTTCCCCAGATATCGAAACTGAACGACACAAACCCTGAGAGCACGAGAACAATGAGCACAGTGTGTTTGCTGAGGGTTCACCACCCGCTTGTCTCTTTGTCTTGAATACTTCACAACTGGTTTTAAAGGTTGTATAGAGGATTTTCCAAGGAACGAGAAATCCAGCGACTGTTTGTCCTTTTTCAAATGTTGCGCATGCGTGAAACCACCCCCCCTCCCCTACAGCTCCTACGTAGAAACGCCTCCTCCCGCCTCCTCCTTACGCCAGAAACAGGTTTGTTTACAGCCGGTGCTGCACATGACTTGTAAACAACTAACTACAGTGTTGGTTAGGCAAGACGGAGAAGTGAGGAGCGGGGGGAAGAACGAAACGGGGAGCGAGGAGAGGAGCAGGAAAGGGGTGCAGAGAAGGTTGCGCGGAGATTCAGTGCGAATGAACTAGCTACAACACGCAGCAGCAAGCGGACTCTTTCTTTGCCTTGAAAATTACGTTTTCAGACATAGGATATCGCTTTCGTGTCCTGAAAAACGTTTGTCTAGCTCTTGGAAATAAAGTACGTTTTCATAATAAGCAGAAGTTTCCTGTCCAGGAGTAATTTGTGGACCAGTGCGTCAGTCTTTAGACCCTGCGTCTGCTTCAGTCGCGCCATCGCTGGAATGAATCTTCAAGAATCACCTTAGTTTGGCTTCGCTGCTTTTCCCCTTGTCTTCTTCTTTCAGCGACCTCAAAAACGGACTTTCTTTTGCGGCGAACTGCTCCTGGATTCTTGTCGCCATTGCAACAAACTTTGTGCGAACTGCGAGGAAGATATAGGTCAAAAAAAGCCGCTAAGAACTGTTGCGTTGGTGGAGTAAACAGCGTCTGTGCGTCTTGCGTCTGTGGACTGTGTGACAGTCGTACGTAAACCACGTACCGGCGGCGCAGGCAAGTCAGTTACGCTAGAAACGTAGGGAGTTTGATTGACAGCCTGTCAGCTCACAGATAACGAGGCAGTGTCGTTATCTATTGGCAAATGTTTAGCCCCACCACGTCCAGAGTTGATGAATTTTTATTCTCTTTTTTTTGGTCATCATAATTACAAGGCGACTGCATCTATAATCTATCATTGACAACTTGAAACAAAAAAAAATCCTCCATACAACCTTTAAATAATCCATGTGTCATTTGTTCATTCCTTTTCCAAAATAAAAATAAGAAAATGAAAAAACAACAATTTTCTCCTTTATTTGTCTCCAAAACTAAAATGAAAAAACAAATAACGATTCGTTTTTTCAGTTTTTCATGACTTATACGATGCCAGACTGAACCAGGACTGAACCAGGATTAAAATAGGACTAAAACAGGACTAAACTAGGACAAAAACTAGGAACTAAACCGGTCTCAGTCCCCGTCTCAGTCCCAGTCCCTTTCTCAGTCCTAGTCTGGTCCCGGTCTCAGTCCCTGGTCTCAATCCCAGTCTGGTCCCGGGTCTCAGTCTCGGTCTCAATCCCAGTCTCAGTCCCGGTCTGATCCTGGTCTCAGTCCCCGTCTTAGTCCCGGTCTCAGTCCTGGTCTCAATCTCAGTCTGGTCCCGGTCTGATCCTGGTCTCCGTCCCGGTCTCTGTCCCGGTCTTGGTCTCAGTTCTGGTCTCAAGTCTGGTCCCAATCACAGTCCTGATCACCTAAAGAGTCCTGATACTCAGTCCTGGTTCAGTCAGTCCTGGTTCAGTCCGTTATCTGTTTTTTCCATTTTTCATTTAAACACAAAATCAAAAACTGAAAAAACAAATCATTATTTATCTGTTTTTTTCATTTTGGTTTTGGAGACAAATAATGAAGAAAATTGTTGTTTTTTTGTTTGTTTTCTTATTTTTGGTTTTATTTTGAAAAACTACTGAACAAACAACACACAGATTATCATTTTATGCTTTTTTCAGACACAAATGGTTTAATAATGAGATAATTTATGATTTTACCGTTTTGTTTTGACCGACCTCGGCTGGTTATTAAATAAAGATAAAATTCTAAAATTCTAAACAAAACTCACTCCAGCAAACTGAGAAAGTTCATAACATCTTGCGGGTTGATTTTGTTCCAGTAGGCCATCAGAGTATCTGTGTGCAAACAAAAACAACACGTCAGCCGTCGTCTTCTGTAACAAATTAAATAAATAAACGTTGTGATGGTTCGTTGTGTGTTTTCTCGTGGTGTTGTGTTGTGTGTAAAGGGCCGTTCACACCAAAGCGTCAAAAAACACCTTGACGTCTCTATTTGGAGCCTTTGCATTTGAGTTTAGACGCCCCCGACGCTCGTGTCTTTGACGCCGCGGACGAACGGGACAAAAATACTTGGAAAATACCCTGGAAACAAGAGCCCGGTCCTGGTCTTTTCCCGAAACGATGTCAGACCAGACTGAGAGACTTGAGTGTTTTTATGACATAAAACATCAGAGGAGGAGTCCTGGTCCGGTCCTGGTGTAGTCCTGGTCTGGTCCTGGTGTAGTCCTGGTCCGGTCCTTGTTTAGTCCTGGTGCGGTCCTGGTGTAGTCCTGGTCCGGTCCTGGTGTAGTCCTGGTCCGGTCCTGGTGTAGTCCTGGTCCGGTCCTGGTGTAGTCCTGGTCTAGTCCTTGTTTAGTCCTGGTCCGGTCCTGGTTTAGTCCGGGTCTAGTCCTTGTTTAGTCCTGGTCTGGTCCTGGTTTAGTCCTGGTTTAGTCCTGGTGTAGTACTGGTTTAGTCCTGGTGTAGTCCTGGTGAAGTACTGGTTTAGTCCTGGTGTAGTCCTGGTGTAGTACTGGTTTAGTCCTGGTCTGGTCCTGGTTTAGTCCTGGTTTAGTCCTGGTGTAGTACTGGTTTAGTCCTGGTCTGGTCCTGGTTTAGTCCTGGTTTAGTCCTGGTCTGGTCCTGGACTGGTCCTGGTCTAGTCCTTGTTTAGTCCTGGTCTGGTCCTGGTTTAGTCCTGGTCCGGTCCTGGTGTAGTCCTGGTCTAGTCCTTGTTTAGTCCTGGTCCGGTCCTGGTTTAGTCCGGGTCTAGTCCTTGTTTAGTCCTGGTCCGGTCCTGGTGTAGTCCTGGTTTAGTCCTGGTTTAGTCCTGGTGAAGTACTGGTTTAGTCCTGGTGTAGTACTGGTTTAGTCCTGGTGTAGTACTGGTTTAGTCCTGGTGTAGTCCTGGTGAAGTCCTGGTTTAGTCCTGGTGTAGTACTGGTTTAGTCCTGGTGTACTCCTGGTGTAGTACTGGTTTAGTCCTGGTGTAGTACTGGTTTAGTCCTGGTGTAGTACTGGTTTAGTCCTGGTGTAGTCCTGGTGAAGTCCTGGTTTAGTCCTGGTTTAGTCCTCGGTGATTGTGGTGTATATATTTATTCTCTGTTCATGTTTGTGGTTCTGGGGTTTTTCTTCCTGATAATAACGTCGCTGCGTCTCTGGATACTCGTCCCTGATTGGTCGACGCGAAAAGTTCAGCATTTTCAACTTCTTGACGCTGACGCCAAAACGCAGGACGCTCTAGTCGCGCGTCCACATCGACTTTACGTAGAAACTGGACACTTTGAGGCTTTGGTGTGGTTGGACCTTTAGAGCCTCTCACCTTCTGACAGGGTCTTGGCGATGTGCAGGAAGCAGAGGAGAAGACCCTTGATCTCGTACACGCCCAGTCTGCCCACAGGGGGCGCCGCACTGCAGCTCATGGTGGAACCTCGCCTCTGCAGCTGCACAAACGCACAACAGAAACATAAACACACACATAAACACACACACAAACACACAACAGAAACATAAACACAAACATATAAACATAAACAAAAACACAAACACACAACAGAAACATAAACACACACACATAAATATAAACACACACATATAAACATAAACAAAAACACAAACACATGAACATAAACACAAACATATAAAGATAAACAAAAACACAAACACACAACAGAAACAGAAACACACACATAAACACACACACAAACACACGCACAGAAACATAAACACACACATATAAACATAAACAAAAACACAAACATATAAACATAAACAAAAACACAAACACACAAAAGAAACATAAACACACACATATAAACATAAACAAAAACACACAACAGAAACAAAAACAAAAACACACAACAGAAACATAAACACAAACATATAAACATAAACAAAAACAAAAACACACAACAGAAACATAAACACAAACATATAAACATAAACAAAAACACAAACACACAACAGAAACATAAACACACACATAAACACACACACAAAAACATAAACACACAACAGAAACATAAACACAAACAAAAACACACGCACATAAACATAAACACAAACATATAAACACAAAAACACAAACATATAAAGATAAACAAAAACACAAACACACAACAGAAACAAAACACAAAACACACAACAGAAACAGAAACACAAACAAAAACACACGCACATAAACATAAACACACACATATAAACATAAACACAAACACACAACAGAAACACAAACAAAAACACATGCACATAAACAAAAACACAAACATATAAACACAAAAACACAGAACACAAACATAAACACACACATAAACACAAACACATAAACAAAAACAAATGAACATAAACAAAACCACACACAGACATGAAAAAAAAAACACACACATTAACATACACAAAAACACAAACGCAAAAAACACGCACACACACGTAAACATACACAAAAACACATATACAAAAACACAAACACATAAACATAAACAACACAAAAACACAGACGCATAAAGATACACAAAAACACACACATAAAAACAAACAAAAACACACACATAAACAAAAACACACACACACAAACACGCACACATAAACACACATGAAACACACACAAATAAACAAAAACACAATTACATAAACATACACAAACACACAGAGAGACAGTAAACATCACCAGAATAATCACACAAGTCAAGAATTGTGTGCTTGTTTTCATGTTTTGTTTTTCAAAATTCCATATAAGACAGATAATACTCCTACAATTGTACAACAACTCACAATGTAACAGATAATACTCCCTACAACTGTACAACAACTCACCTTATGTAACAGATAATACTCCTACAACTGTACAACAACTCACCCTTATGTAACAGATAATACTCCCTACAACTGTACAACAACTCACCCTTATGTAACAGATAATACTCCCTACAACTGTACAACAACTCACCCTTATGTAACAGATAATACTCCCTACAACTGTACAACAACTCACCCTTATGTAACAGATAAATACTCCCTACAACTGTACAACAACTCACCTTATGTAACAGATAATACTCCCTACAACTGTACAACAACTCACCCTTATGTAACAGATAATACTCCCTACAACTGTACAACAACTCACCCTTATGTAACAGATAATACTCCCTACAACTGTACAACAACTCACCCTTATGTAACAGATAATACTCCCTACAACTGTACAACAACTCACCCTTATGTAACAGATAATACTCCCTACAACTGTACAACAACTCACCCTTATGTAACAGATAATACTCCCTACAACTGTACAACAACTCACCCTTATGTAACAGATAATACTCCCTACAACTGTACAACAACTCACCCTTATGTAACAGATAATACTCCCTACAACTGTACAACAACTCACCCTTATGTAACAGATAATACTCCCTACAACTGTACAACAACTCACCCTTATGTAACAGATAATACTCCCTACAACTGTACAACAACTCACCCTTATGTAACAGATAATACTCCTACAACTGTACGTATTTTTTTTAATATTTTATCATTTTTTTTTTTTTAATTTCTTTTTTTTTTTTTTTTTTTTTTCCACAATTTCCACGTCAAAATCTGCGTAGAACGAACTCATTGTCTGGAGTTCCCGGGTCCATGAACAGTGATCCTCTGGAGTCCTCTCGTCTCACGTGTCCGTTCAGAGTCATCGCTCCTGATAAAAAAAAAAAAGTAAATAATAAATGGAACTACTAACGAAACAAGAAGCACGAGTTGATTAGTTTGTTTTTCTTAGGGCGGGACACAGGAGCAAATACTGTTATCAAAAACCAGATGTAAAAGACAGAAAAAAAACACACTGCGATAAGGATAAAACTAAAGCCGCTTCCTGATATCTGTAATCGCTTTAAGATGTTGAAGTTACAGTTTGCTGGACTCTTTATCTCCTTCGTTCTAGATTAGTGACTCACTGCGCCGCCACACCTCAGGTCGCACCCTCAGGTCCTCAGGTCAGGGCCTCTTGATGGATCTGCCCCCAGCCCTTGCGTGACTCAGACTCCACTGACGGTTTTCAAAAGCAGCTCCCGACTCTGACGTTTAGCCGAGATTTTAGTTGACCGTGTCTGTAATTCCTCTGTTCTTGTACAAGTTGTAGAAATAAAGTCTCACTTACTTAAATTTCTTATTCGTTTTTAGTAGAGATCGACAAATATGTTTTTTTCATGTCCAATCAATTTATGGATCTATAGTTTTTAGCTGCTGCAAAGTCTGCGGCCCCGAGTCTCCATGAACAGACTTTTGTTTGCTGTAAAGTAACAAAGACTAGAATCTTAACATAAGACGTTTTATCTGCTAAAAGAAAATAAAAAGTCCAGTCTTTCCTTAACCAAATTCAAAATATTATTGATAGAGAAATGATTTTCATACGAAATCACTGCTGTTTTAAAGTATGTCCACCTACTGTTAGTGTCATATTGTTTAGACCTACTTTAGTCCTGGTTTAGTCCTGGTTTAGACCTGGTTTAGTCCTGGTTTTAGTCCTGGTTTAGTCCTGGTTTAGTCCTGGTTTAGACCTGGTTTAGACCTGGTTTAGTCCTGGTTTAGTCCTGGTTTAGACTCATTTAGACCTGGTTTAGACCTGGTTTAGACCTGGTTTAGACCTGGTTTAGACCTGGTTTAGTCCTGGTTTTAGTCCTGGTTTTAGACCTTTTAGACCTGGTTTAGACCTGGTTTAGTCCTGGTTTAGTCCTGGTTTAGACTCTTTAGACTGTTTAGTCCTGTTTAGACCTGGTTTAGACCTGGTTTAGTCCTGGTTTAGGTTTACCTGGTTTAGTCCTGGTTTTGGTTTAGACCTTTTAGACCTGGTTTTAGACCTGTTTTAGACCTGGTTTGGTTTAGTTTAGTCCTGGTTTAGTTTAGACCTGGTTTAGTCCTGGTTTAGTCCTGGTTTAGATTTGGTTTTAGACCTGGTTTAGACCTGGTTTAGACCTGGTTTTAGACCTGGTTTAGACCAGGTTTAGACCTGGTTTTAGACCTGTTTTAGACCTGGTTTAGTCCTGGTTTAGACCTGGTTTTAGACCTGTTTTAGACCAGGTTTAGAACTGGTTTGGATCTGGGTTTAGACCTGGTTTTAGTCCTAGTTTAGTCCTGGTCTAGACCTGGTTTAGTTTAGACCTGGTTTAGTGTCTGGCAATGAGTGGAATTACCATTAATTTTACTGTTTGAAAAGAAGTGGGACAAAGTGTCTCTTTATAAACTCAGACCCTCTAAAAGTAAAACTCATAATATTGATGTAAAACACTGACTTCCTGTACAGACTCATTACACCAACTGTACCCATCACCAATCCCCATGAACACATTTTTGTACAAGAAAAAGTGGAAGTAAAAAGGCTGGAGACCAACCGGACGTCTTCAGCAGCAGAAGTTTATTTAACATCAATAATCCGGCCCGGGGGGACTTGAAAAGTGAACATAGTGTGATGTCAAAAGTGAACACAGTGTGATCTTTGAGTGTTCAAGTCCCTCGGGGCTCGTATTATTGTTGGTAAATAAACTTCTCCTGCTTAAGACTCCAGTTGGTCTCCACTCTTTCTTGGACAAGCTGAAAACATTATACACAACTTTATATTTACTCAGTTTCTTTGCGACTGCTGAAATGAGAAGCTCTCTGGAATTTTAGTTTTGTAAAAGGAAGATCTCTGGAGAAAAACGGTGTTAGACCTCTGCTCTAGGCTTTGTCGTTTTGCAATCAGCCACGATCTCTGTCAGCTCAGATAAATATCACAATGAGTGCGTTTACATGCACATCAATAACCCGGTTATGATCGGGTTTTTTCAGTATCCCGGTTTCTTGATGGTGCATGTAAACGCAGTAACCCGGTTTCAGTAACCCGGTTATGGCAGTATCCCGGTTATTAGAAACCGGGTTACTGTAGCTGGTTTATTCCGATAGTAACCGGGATACTGTGGCATGTAAACGCAGTATCCCGGTTACTGCAACATAAAGTTGAGTCGCATGCGTCCAAAAGACACTTTCCAGCCTTTCACCACAACAGTAGTGACATAAATAAATTGACCAACATAAATAAAGTGACCAAACGAGTGAAATGACTGTAAAATAAAGAGCTGCGCTAAACCTGCACTCGTACAATCCTGCACTCGTACGACTGCACTCGTGTGACGCTGAAAAGCTAAAACATGAACTATCTCCTATACTCTATACGCACAGAACACACTTACCATCATCAGCACCTCTTCTGTCACAGAAATAACACACATAATCCACAGAGTCGTGTCATTTAGTCCAAAAGAAACTGATCACATCAGCGGCGCAAGGAGCGAGTTGTTTTTATCGCCGCTAACAGTTTATGCTAATTAGCCAAACGGTCTTAAGTTTCGTTTCTGTAAAACATAAACAAATGTGATCAGAGCTGAATTATCTGATCAAACGGGCTGATGTGTCTATAGTGTTTATGGTTTATATGTTGTAAAGTTGAGTTTATTTATGCAGAAGATTTTAATGAAGAATCTGCACAGTGGATTGTGGGAGATCTCGTAGCTCCTTAGCTTCTTATGCTAAAGGAGCTCACGGTTTGTATTTTTCCTGGTTTATGAAATTGATTTAAGTTAATTTTTGCGCCTGCGCATTTGTAAGATTATGTCAAGAAACCGGGATACTCCATTTGATCATGTACACGCGGATATGAGTGTCCCGGTTTCTCAGTGCGCATGTAAACACAGTAACACGAATACTGACATAACCGGGATATGGATAATAACCGGGTTATTGATGTGCATGTAAACGCACTCAATATATCAGAGGAAATGTCATTTGGCTCAGCCCTAAATACAATACCGTATTTTCCGCACTATTAGGCGTCATTAAATGGTCTATTTTCGAACTTTTTTCACAAATAAACCACGTGGGACTTTAAAGGAAACCCAACAGTGTGATGGGTGAGTGGTTTTGTTTGTTTGTTCGTTCACGGTGACTCTGGGACACGCTGGATTGTCGTCGTGTTCGCAGTGACTCGGTTGTTCAGTCGTGTCTAGAAGCGCACGTTGCTCTCGCCGCTTTTTCGGTTCGTTCGTCAGGGCAGTTTTGGTTCATAATCGAGTATAAAGCTCAGATAGTTTGTTTGGACATCGCAGGACTCCACACAGACGCATCAGCTGCATTCTCATGTTCGCAAGTTTCACTCTCTGTAAGTCCGTCACTATCGCTGTTTTCCACTTTATAATCAACTTCATCATCACTTTTGAAATCTATAAAAGTCACTTTCTCTAAACTTATCCATAAAATACGTCCGCTCCTCATTATTTCTAAAACTGTGCGCCGCGATCTTTCCATCGCTGTTGTTTCGTGTTGTGTTTTTTCCGGAAGCTACCATCGTCACTACTTCGATTAACTTCGGAAAAAATCGGCGAAAACATATCCTTGAATCCTATTGGTCAGTCTAGTGTGGGTTGTAGTGGCTCCACCTACCGCAGTCTCTGTTTAAATGTGAAAAACCGAGCCGTTTCTAAAGGTCGTCAAATCACGTCTTTAGTGAAACAGCGGAGGAGTCAAAACACGTCATTAAAGGTTGTATAGAGGATTTTTTTTTAAGGAAAGAGAAATCCAGCAACAGTCCTTTTTCAAATGTAGTGCAAGCGTGACACCACCTTCCTCCTCCACAGCCTCTAGAAATAATTTAGAGACCGACACCTCAGTTTTTAGACCCTTTGTCTGCTTCAGTCGCGCAGTCACTGAAAGGAATCTCCAAGAATCACCTCAGTTTGTCTTCGCTCCTTTTCTCCTTCTCTTCTTCTTTCAGCGACCTCAAAAACCGACTTTCTTTTGCGGCGAACTGGTCGTGGATTCTCGTCCAACATCGCAACAAACTTTATGCGAACTGCGAGAGAGCCACAATTAGAAAAAGCCTCTAAGAACCGCTGCATAGTTACCTTAGAAACGTAGGGAGTTTGATTGACAACCTGACAGCCAATAGAAAATGAGGCAGCCTCGTTTTCTATTGGCTGATGTTTATCTGGCCTCAACACGTCCACAGTTGATAGATTTTCTTTCTTTTTTTTTTTGGTCATCATAATTACAAGGCTGCTGCGTCTCTGTAATGGTATTTTAAACTTTCATTGACAATTTGAAACAAATAAAAAAATCCTCCATACAACCTTTAAGGAAAAACGGGGCTCGTCAAATGTCGTCTTCATGGGGAAAGAGTTCGTCTAATATCCCGGAAAATACAATACTTTAACAACAATAACACGCTTTGTTGAATAAGCCACAGATTCAGTATCATTGTTTATAATTGGAGGAGTTATGGAGGAATTACACAGTTCAAATATACATTAAAATCAAGAGCTAAATTGCATAAAGCCACATTTCCCTCGGCTAATGGGAAATAAATATTAGATTGTTAATGGAGGGAAGTAAACAGGAAGAGGCCGAGTTTACCGTGGTCCACAACCGAGCTGATTCTCCTGCTGTCGGAGGAACCGGTGGAGATCAGGTCGTCTCTGGAGCCCTGACGCCAAAACAGAAAAAAAGAAGGTTAGTGAGCTCCAATTATACATCGACTGTTCAGTAAAATAAAGCGACTGTTGATGTTTGAGGGTGAGTTTTAATCGTGTGGACATTTTCGTTTCAGTTTCGTTTTCAGGGATTTTAATTTGTTTTTGTAAAGTTGTGATTTGAGCTTTTAGACGGCTGAAAAAACAACTTGAACTACAGAAACAAACGAGAAGAAGCAGAGTTGAAAGAAAGAAAGTTAAAAAAAAATCTGGTAAAATCTCAAAAAGGATGTGGAATATACAGAGATATGATAAACAGGGAAGGACTGAGACCAGGACCAGGACTAGGACTGAGACCAGGACCAGACCGGAACTGAGACAGGGACTGAGACCGGGAATGAGACTGGTACCAGGCCAGTACCAGACCGGGACCAGACTGGGACTGAGACTGAGACCAGGCCAGGACCAGACTGGGACTGAGACCAGGACCAGACCGGGACTGAGACCAGGACCAGGACCAGACCGGGACCATACCAGGACCAGTTCGGGACTGAGACCAGAACCAGACCACGACCAGACTGGGACTGAGACTGAGACCAGGCCAGGACCAGACTGGGACTGAGACCAGGACCAGACAGGAACTGAGACCAAGATCAGACCGGAACTGAGACCGGGACCAGACTGGGACTGAGACAGGGACTGAGACCAGGACCAAACCGGGACCAGACCGGGACCAGCCCAGGACCAGAGCGGGACTCTGACCAGGACTGAGACCGGGACTGAGACCGGGACCAGACCGGGACCAGACCGGGACCAGACTGGGACTGAGACCAGGACTGAGACCGGGACCGAGACAAGGACTGAGACCGGTTTAGTCCGGGTTTAGTCCTGGTTTAGTTCTGGTTTAGTCCTGGTTTAGTTCTGGTTTAGTCCTGGTTTAGTCCCGGTTTAGTCCTGGTTTAGTCCTGGTTTAGTCCGGTTTAGTTAGTCCTGGTTTAGTCTGGTTTAGTCCTGGTTTAGTCCTGGTTTAATTTTTTTCCATTTTCCATTTAAACAAAAAATCGAAATCAGAAAAAAACAAATCATTATCTGTTTTTTCATTTTGGTTTTGGAGACGTTTTCCATTATTTTGGTTTTATTTTGAAAAACGAATGAATAATATAGATCGTTAAGCCAGCAAACAGTGAGAACACAGTGATCCGATCTTTTTTTCAGCGACGGTTTACCACAGAAATAACAGTAATTGATCAAATTAAGGCGTCCAACACGGTGGTCACGATCCCAAGCCCTATTCCAGTATGATCACGTCCCAGAGCTTAAAGGTTGTATAGAGGATTTTTTTAAGGGAAGGGAAATACAGCGACAGTCCTTGTGCGCGTTCAGAATTACTGTTGAAGTTTCCTGTCTAGAAGTAATAGACCGACGTCAGATTTCATCGCTGGACGAGATCTCCGAGAATCACCTCAGTTTGGCTTTGCTCCTTTTCCTCTTCTCTTCTTCTTTCAGCGACCTCAAAAACGGACTTTCTTTCGCGGCGAACCGGTCGTGGATTCTCGTCCGCCGTCGCGACAAACTTTGTGCGAAATGCGAGGAAGCGACAGTTCGAAAAAGCCTCTAAGAACCGCTGCGTAAACCACGTAATCCCCGCGCTCCGACGAGTCAGTTACACTAGGGAGTTTGATTGACAACCTAACAGCCAATAGAAAGTGAGGGAGCCTCGTTTTCTATTGGCTGATGTTTATCTGGCCTCAACACGTCCACAGTTGATAGATTTTAGTTCTTTTTTTTTTTGGTCATCATAATTACAAAGCTGCTGCGTCTCTGTAATGGTATTTTAATCTTTCACTGACAGTTTGAAACAAAAAAAAAAATCCTCCATACAACCTTTAAACTATGATGAACATGTGTGATCTAAGAATGAATAAAAAGTCAAAAGAGTGAGTCTTACGTTGAGTCCGGGGCTGGAGTTGTACGGCTGAGCTGAGAGCTGCTTCAGGTTCTGGTACAACAGCTCCACCAGCGGCAGGTACAGGAGACAGATCCTCGCCTGTTGGTTCTTTAAAACATTTACACTGATATTAGTTACGGAACAATAAATCATTAATATTTCCAAGTAGTATTACCCTAAAGAACTACCCTGGAACTTAAGTTTGGACTAGACCAGGACCAAAACAAGTCTACACAGGCCTAAACTGGACTCAAACCAGGACCAGGACTGTGTGATTAAATAATGACCATAAGTATTTCCATCAACATCCACTGTTCATCTACATCTCCAAAGCTCAAAACGCTCTGTTCCACCTTGTGATGTCATGAAGCGGTGGTTTTAAGGCTCACAGCTCCTTTTACCTTCAGTTCAGTGGAGATCGGCAATTCCAAGGAATGACATCACAAGGTGGAACGGAGTGTTTTCAGTTTGAGAGATTTTGTGTTATTTTAAGTTCAGACCGCGGCGTCAAAAACGTCCTAGACGCCTCAATTTGGACGCTTATGCATTTGAGTTTAGACGGCCCCAGTTCTTGTCTTAGACGCCGTGGAAGAACAGAAGAAAAATATTTGACATGCGTCCGTTGCCCTGGAAACAAGAGCTCGGTCCCGGTCTTTTCCCGAAGAGAGACTTTAGAGTTTTTATTACATAAAACTATCAGAGGAGGAGATTGGGTCGGCGACTGTGGCGTATATATATTCATACTCCCCTAATGACGCTAATCCAGTCCTGGTCCAGTCCTGGTCCAGTCCTGGTCCAGTCCTGGTCCAGTCCTGGTCCAGTCCTGGTCCAGTGTGGTCATACCGGCTTGTAAAAGCCTGATCCTGTCAGATCTCAGACGCTCAGCAGGCTGGGCCTGGGTAGTACTTGGATGGGAGACCAGTAGGAATTCCAGGTGCCACAGTGAGGCGCCAGTGGAGCCAGTGATGGTGGTGGTCAGAGGGGCCGATGGCGCAGATTGGCAGCCTCGCTTCCGTCAGTCTGCCCCAGGGCAGCTGTGGCTACAGTAGTAGTTTACCACCACTGAGTGTGGAGTGACTGAATAATGAACTGTAAAACACTTTGGGGAACTTGAAAGGTGCAATATAAATGCAATCAATCAATCAATCAGTCCTGGCGATCGGCTCGGTGATTTATATTTATTATATTATATTTATCTGATTGGTCGACGCGGCGCGTCTGACGCAAAAAGTTCAGCATTTTCAACTTCTGATGCTGACGGCGACGCCCTGGACGTGTGTCTTGAGCCTTGATGCCAGAACGTTCAAGACGCTGACACCGGAAGAGGCACCGCAAACCCGTAGGACGCGTCCACGTAGACTTTACATGTGAACTCAACGCCGCGGTCTGAACGGGCCTTTAAACGTGTGAATGAAATGTTTGACAAGCATTTACGTCGAGCATCTTGTTATTTATTACAGATCTTTTTTATTTAAACAATATCGTACGTACATTCTGGGATAAGATTCTGCTTTATGGACTGGTTTCAATATGATCGTTGATCAATTCAGCAACAAACCTTCAAAATGTGACAAGTCGTTCCTCACCTTGAAGGCGGTGTAGCGGTCGTCCATGGCGTGTTTGATGAGCAGGTTCTTCATCACGCTCACAGAAAGCTGCCGGACCTCGGGGGCCTGCTGCAGGGCCTCGGCCACCTCCCTCAGCAGCAGACCCACCAGGAAGTGATTTCTGCAGAACTCCTCCGTCAGGTTGTACTCCAGACTCTGCTCTACTGTGACATTCAGCGGGAAACAACGTCAGATCACGACGTTTTGACACTTTAAAATACAGTCAGTCTACTAAAACATTTACTAAAATACTTAAAACACGTGTAATTAAACTTATCACTATTCGCTCTGCAGATTTAGAGACACACTGGAAGTTAAAGATGAACTATGTAACTTTTCTGGTATCTGCTTGTACATGTCGTTGCTTGGTTTCTTGGAATGTTGCACAATATGGCATTAAACTCATTTGTCTAAAGGTCGTCACACACTACAGGATTTTTTTAAACGTGCGACAAAAAACGAAAACCACAGACACGAGGAGAATCTGATGAGATAAAAGAAGTTCTAAAAGAAGTAGTAGTTATAAAAAAACTTATAAAAGAAGTAGTAGTACTTATAAAAGAAGTTATAAAAGAAGTAGTAGTACTTATAAAAGAAGTAGTAGTAGAAGTACTTATAAAAGAAGTAGTAGTACTTATAAAAGAAGTAGTAGTACTTAAGAAGTTATAAAAGAAGTTATAAAAGAAGTAGTAGTACTTATAAAAGAAGTAGTAGTACTTATAAAAAGAAGTAGTAGTAGTACTTATAAAAGAAGTAGTAGTAGTATAGTACTTATAAAAGAAGTAGTAGTACTTATAAAAGACTTATAAAAGAAGTAGTAGTAGTAGTAGTAGTAGTAGTAGTAGTAGTAGTAGTAGTAGTAGTAGTAGTAGTAGTAGTACTACCACTTGTAGTACTACCACTTGTAGTAGTAGTAGTAGTAGTAGTAGTAGTAGTACTTGTAGTAGTAGTAGTAGTAGTTATAAAAGAAGTTGTAAAAGATTTAGTAGTAGTTAAAAAAAGAAGAAGTAGTAGTTATAATAGTAGTAGTAGTAGTAGTTATAAAGTAGTAGTAGTAGTAGTAGTAGTAGTAGTAGTAGTAGTAGTAGTAGTAGTAGTAGTAGTAGTAGTAGTTATAAAAGTACTACTAGTAGTAGTTATAAAAGTACTACTAGTAGTAGTAGTAGTTATAAAAGTAGTACTAGTAGTAGTAGTAGTAAAAGTAGTAAGTAGTAGTAGTAGTAGTAGTAGTTATAAAAGTAGTAGTAGTTATAAAAGTAGTAGTAGTAGTAGTAGTAGTAGTAGTAGTTATAAAAGTAGTAGTAGTAGTTATAAAAGTAGTACTACTAGTAGAAGTAGTAGTAGTAGTAGTAGTAGTAGTAGTAGTAGTAGTAGTAGTAGTAAAGTAGTAGTAGTAGTAGTAGTAGTAGTAGTACAAAAGTAGTACTACTACTAGTAGTAGTAGTAGTAGTAGTAGTAGTAGTAGTAGTAGTAGTAGTAGTAGTAGTAGTAGTAGTAGTAGTAGTAGTAGTAGTAGTAGTAGTAGTAGTAGTAGTAGTAGTAGTAGTAGTAGTAGTAGTAGTAGTAGTAGTATAGTAGTAGTAGTAGTAGTAGTAGTAGTAGTAGTAGTAGTAGTAGTAGTAGTAGTAGTAGTAGTAGTAGTAGTAGTAGTAGTAGTAGTAGTAGTAGTAGTAGTAGTAGTAGTAATAGTTTACCATTTCCATGACTTAAACTGAGATGTCAAACTGAACCAGGACTAAACTGTTTTCAGCCCTGGTCTAAGTCCTGATCTAAGTCCTGATCTCAGTCCTGATCTCAGTCCTGATCTCGGTCCTGATCTCAGTCCTGATCTCGGTCCCGGTTTGGTCCCGGACCTGCTTTGGTCCAACATCACAGTTTAAGTCACGTAAACGGGAAACGGTCGTTATCCGTTTTTTTTTCCATTTTTCATTTAAACACAAAATCGAAAACTGAAAAAAAACGAACCATTATCTGTTTTTTTTTTATTTATTTTTTTTTTTTCATTTTAGTTTTAGAGACAAATAATGAAGAAAATTGTCGTTTTTTTTTTTTTTTTTTTCATTTTCTTATTTTTGGTTTTACATCGAAAAACGAACGAACGAACGACACACGGATTTTAAACGCTCACATACTGCGGAACATTCCAGACAAAGCAAATACGCTTCCGTCTAGACAAGCCGTCGACAAAAAAAATTTAAAATAAAAAAAAAAAAAACACCAGAAAATTTGCATAGTTCAACTTTAAACTAATAATCCAAGACGAGGCGCTTGGATGCTCCAGGTGCAGGTGACAGGTGCAGACTTGTATTCGATGGAAAATGCCAGATGAATATGTCTTTACACATAATAAAATAATAATAATAACAACAAACATCGTAATTTCATATCCTAAATTAAACGAGACGTGCTGATGGAAACATGGAGGAAATTGTTGTTTGCTGTTCCAACACGTCGGCGAGTAAAACTGACAGACGACGATCATAATCAAAACACTGACGGCAATTTGGAATCAACCGGGAGTGACTTTAAAACTGTAACGTGTTGTTTATTTATGACGTGTTTCTGTCGTTTCAAAATCATTTTTTTACATTATAATATTACTGTGTTTAAAATGTGAAATATGACACGATTATTGGATTAATTTTTAATTTACTGTCACCGAAATAAGTGCGAAGATGCTGAACTTTTGCGGCGTATACGGACTGAACCAGGACTAAACCAGGACTAAACCAGGACTAAATCAGGACTGAACCGAGGACTAAACCAGGACTAAATCAGGACTGAACCGAGGACTAAATCAGGACTGAACCGAGGACTAAATCAGAGCTGAACCAGGACTAAACCAGGACTAAACCGGGACTAAACCAGGTCTAAACCAGGACTAAACCAGGACTAAACCAGGACTAAATCCAGGACTAAACCAGGACTAGGACTAATCAGGACTAAACCAGGATAAACCAATACTAAACCAGGACTAAACCAGGACTAAACCAGGACTTAAACCAGGACTAAACCAAGACTAAACCAGGACTAAATCAGGACTAAACCAGAAATGAACCAGGACTAAACCAGGACTTAACTAGGACTAACCAGGACTGAACCAGGACTAAACAGGACTAAACCAGGACTAAACCAGGACTAAACCAGGACTGAACCAGGACTGAACCAGGACTAAACCAGGACTAAACAAGGACTAAACCAGGACTAAATCAGGACTAAACCAGGACTAAACTAAACCTAACCAGGACTGAACCAGGACTGAAACCGAGGACTAAAACCAGGACTAAACCAGGACTAAACCAGGACTAAACCAGGACTAAACCAGGACTGAACCAGGACTAAACTAAACCAGGACTAAATCAGGACTAAACCAGGACTAAACCAGGACTGAAACCAGGACTAAACCAGGACTAACCAGGACTAACCAGGACTGAAAACTGAACCAGGACTAAACCAGGACTAAACCAGGACTAAACCAGGACTAACTGAACCAGGACTAAACAGGACTAAACCAGGACTAAACCAGAACTAACCAGGACTAAACCAGGACTAAACCAGGAAAACCAGGAAAACCAGGACTTAAACAGGACTAAACCAGGACTAAACCAACCAGGACTAAACCAGGACTAAACCGGACTAAACCAGGACTAAACCAGGACTAAACCAGGACTAAACCAGGACTAAACCAGGACTAAACCAGGACTGAACCAGGACGCGCGTTACTCACATTTGTACACAGTAAAATAATACAGTTTTTTCCCTGTAACGCCACATTACTGCAAAAAAACAACACATTACAGTAATTTGTTACTTTTATAACACGTTACTCCAACACTGAGCGTAATGACACACATCCCGTCGTCTAAAATCACACGGACGGGAGAAGGAACGACCCCAGAGACTTAAACCAGTGAGGAAAACAAGAGATTTATTTATTTATAGTTTAAGTTTCTACTTCCTGTAAGAGTGTTTGGAAACAGGAAGTCCCCGAAAGCCAAGCGTTTAAAAAAAAGTCCATTTGACAGAGAGTTAGTGCAAAAGTTTCAGACCCGGGATTCAAATCCAGACCGTTTTCCGATATTGGAGGAATTGATTATTGTCAAACTTCATGGAAAACTCATCGTCATAATAACAATTTTAATTTAGCGACAACTGTAAACACCATTAAAGAGAATCTGTGTGTCGTTTGTTCATTCGTTTTTCAAAATAAAACTAAAAATAAGAAAAACAAAATGATTTCTTCCAAAACTCCAAAAAAAAAAAAAAAAAAACAGATAATGATTTTTTTTTTTTTTTTTTCAGTTTTTGATTTTGTGTTTAAATGAAAAAGGGAAAAAACGAATCACGGACTGAACCAGGACTGAACCAGGACTAAACCAGGACTGAACCAGGACTCAGGACTCAGGACTGAACCAGGTCTCAGGTCTGAACGGTCTCAGTCCCGGTCTCAGTCTTGGTCTGGTCGTGGTCTCAGTCATAAACCAGGACTGAACCAGGAGTATCAGGACTGGACCAGACCGGAACTCAGACCGGGACTGAGACTGAGACTGAGACTGAGACTGGGACTCAGACCGAAACTGAGATTGGGACCAGACCAGGACTGAGATCAGTTTAGACCTGGTTTAGACCCTGTTTTAGACCCTGGTTTAGACCTGTTTTAGACCCTGGTTTAGACCTGTTTTAGACCTGGTTTTAGACCCTGTTTTAGACCCTGGTTTAGACCTGTTTTAGACCTGGTTTTAGACCTGTTTTAGACCTGTTTAGACCTGTTTAGACCCTGTTTTAGACCTGTTTTAGACCTGGTTTAGACCCTGTTTTAGACCCTGTTTAGACCTGGTTTTAGACCTGGTTTAGACCTGGTTTAGACCCTGTTTTAGACCTGTTTTAGACCTGGTTTAGACCTGTTTTAGACCTGTTTTAGACCTGTTTTAGACCTGTTTTAGTTTTTAGACCTGGTTTAGACCCTGTTTTAGACCTGTTTAGACCTGTTTTAGACCTGGTTTTAGACCTGTTTTAGACCTGTTTTTTTAGACCTGTTTTAGACCTGGTTTAGACCTGTTTTGTTTAGACCTGTTTTAGACCTGTTTAGACCTGTTTTAGACCTGGTTTACCCTGTTTTAGACCTGGTTTATGCCTGTTTTAGACCTGGTTTAGACCCTGTTTTAGACCTGTTTTAGACCTGTTTTAGACCTGTTTTAGACCTGGTTTAGTCCTGTTTTAGTCCTGGTTCGGCATCGCAGTTTAAATCACGCAAACGGGAAACGATCATCATCCGTTTTTTCATTTTAGTTTTGGAGACAAATCATGAAGAAAATCGTTGTTTTTTTTCATTTTCTTATTTTGGTTTTATTTTGAAAAACCGAGTGACCGAACGACACACAGACTGGGCTCAAACACTTCTTCCCGGCGCTTGTATTTTGGCTGTAAAGTTGGTGACGTGGGTCTAAACGCCGGGTCTGACGGTCGTGAGCTGCAGCCTCGTTCAGAGCGTCCAGAGAATGAGCGGAGGTTAGTGGAGTGGACAGGACAGGACAGGTGCACAGGTGTCAGGACTGGACCAGACCGGAACTCAGACCGGGACTGAGACTGAGACTGAGACTGGAACTGAGATCGGGACCAGACCAGGACTGAGACCAGTTTAGACCTGTTTAAGACCCTGGTTTAGATCTGTTTTAGACTTGGTTTAGACCTGGTTTAGACCTGTTTTAGACCCTGGTTTAGATCTGTTTTAGACCTGGTTTAGACCTGTTTTAGACCTGTTTTAGACCTGGTTTAGACCTGTTTAGACCCTGGTTTAGATCTGTTTTAGACCCTGGTTTAGACCTGTTTTAGACCCTGGTTTAGATCTGTTTTAGACCCTGGTTTAGACCGGTTTTAGACCCTGGTTTAGACCTGTTTTAGACCTGTTTTAGACCTGGTTTAGACTGTTTTAGACCCTGGTTTAGATCTGTTTTAGACCCTGGTTTAGATCTGTTTTAGACCCTGGTTTAGATCTGTTTTAGACCCTGGTTTAGACCTGTTTTAGACCCTGGTTTAGACCTGTTTTAGACCTGGTTTAGACCTGGTTTAGACCTGTTTTAGACCCTGTTTTAGACCTGTTTTAGACCCTGGTTTAGACCTGTTTTAGACCTGTTTTAGACCTGGTTTAGACCTGTTTTAGACCCTGTTTAGATTTTTTAGACCTGGTTTAGATCTGTTTTAGACCTGGTTTAGACTGTTTTAGACCTGGTTTAGACTGTTTTAGACTGGTTTAGTTTTAGACCTGGTTTTAGAAGACCTGTTTTGTTTAGACCTGTTTACCTGTTTTAGACCTGGTTTAGACCTGTTTTAGACCTGTTTTAGACCTGGTTTAGACCCTGGTTTAGACCTGTTTTAGACCTGGTTTAACCTGTTTCAGTCTGGTTTAGACCTGTTTTAGACCCTGTTTTAGACGACCTTTTACTGTTTAGGTTTACCTGCCTGTTTAGACTTTTTACGTTTAGACCTGTTTTAGACCTGGTTTAGTCCTGTTTTAGACTGAGTCCTGTTTTAGTCTGTTCATCGCAGTTTAAATCACGCAAACGGGAAACGATCATCATCCGTTTTTTCATTTTAGTTTTGGAGACAAATCATGAAGAAAATCGTTGTTTTTTTTCATTTTCTTATTTTGGTTTTATTTTGAAAAACCAAGTGACCGAACGACACACAGACTGGGCTCAAACACTTCTTCCCGGCGCTTGTATTTTGGCTGTAAAGTTGGTGACGTGGGTCTAAACGCCGGGTCTGACGGTCGTGAGCTGCAGCCTCGTTCAGAGCGTCCAGAGAATGAGCGGAGGTTAGTGGAGTGGACAGGACAGGACAGGTGCACAGGTGTCAGGACTGGACCAGACCGGAACTCAGACCGGGACTGAGACTGAGACTCAGACTCAGACTCAGACTGGAACTGAGATCGGGACCAGACCAGGACTGAGACCAGTTTAGACCTGTTTAAGACCCTGGTTTAGACCTGTTTTAGACCTGGTTTAGATCTGTTTTAGACCCTGGTTTAGACCAAGTTTAGACCTGGTTTAGACCTGTTTTAGACCTGTTTTAGACCTGGTTTAGACCTGGTTTAGACCCTGGTTTAGACTGTTTTAGACCCTGGTTTAGAGACCCTTTTAGACTTTAGACCTGTTTAGACCTTTAGACCTGGTTTAGACCTGTTTAGACCTGTTTTAGACTGGTTTAGACCTGTTTTAGACCTGTTTAGACCTGTTTAGAAGACCTGGTTTAGACTGGTTTTAGACCTGGTTTTAGACCTGTTTTAGACCTGTTTTAGACCTGGTTTAAGACCTGTTTTAGACCTGGTTTAGACTTTTTTAGACCTGGTTTAGACCTGTTTTAGACCTGTTTTAGACCTGGTTTAGACCTGTTTTAGACCTGGTTTAGACAGACCTGTTTAGTGTTAGACCCTGTTTAGACTGTTTTAGACCCTGTTTTAGACTGGTTTAGCTGTTTTAGACCTGTTTAGACTGTTTTAGACCTGTTGTTTAGACCTTTTTAGACCCTGGTTTAGACAGAGACCCTGGTTTTAGACTGTTTTAGACCTGGTTTAGATCTGTTTTAGACCCTGGTTTAGACCTGTTTTAGACCTGGTTTAGACTTTTTAGACCTGGTTTAGAGACCCTGTTTTACCTGTTTTTAGACCTGGTTTAGACCCTGTTTTAGACCTGTTTTAGACCTGGTTTACTGGTTTAGACCTGTTTAGCCCTGTTTAGACCTGTTAGACCTGTTTAGACCCTGTTTCAGTCCTGGTTTAGACCTGTTTTAGACCCTGTTTTAGACACTGTTTTAGACCTGGTTTAGACCTGGTTTACGCCTGTTTTAGACCTGGTTTATGCCTGTTTTAGACCTGGTTTAGACCTGGTTTAGACCTGTTTTAGACCTGTTTAGACCTGTTTAGTCCTGTTTTAGTCCTGTTTTAGTCCTGGTTCGGCATCGCAGTTTAAATCACGCAAACGGGAAACGATCATCATCCGTTTTTTCATTTTAGTTTTGGAGACAAATCATGAAGAAAATCGTTGTTTTTTTCATTTTCTTATTTTGGTTTTATTTTGAAAAACCAAGTGACCGAACGACACACAGAGCGGAGGTTAGTGGAGTGGACAGGACAGGACAGGTGCACAGGTGCAGGTGCAGATGGTGCGTGGACGCGTCACCTACCTACTGGCCCAAAAAGCTCCGTCGCATATGGAATTAAATCTGACCAGAGAACAGGCAGAACACAAAAAAAAACAAAAAAAAAAACAAGGAGGAGGGGTAAAAACAAAGCAACTGGGAGGATCACTTGACATAATGCAAACATGCAGCATTTTTCACACGTGTTTCAGTGGGTTTCGTGAGGCGTGTTTGGTCAAATCGGTGACAGAAGAAGTGTTGGAGCAGCTCTGAGTGTGAAGAATACTGGTTAATAAAGGTCTGCTGTGATGGACGGGGTCAGGATGGTGAGTTATTCGTGTGGCTGGAAGCGTGAGGTGTTTTTTAAAGTGCAGATGACAGATTTTTATTATTCTCTAATTTTTACTTTGTGGAGTGGGTCGGTACCGGTGGCAGTTTGTAAAAAAATAAATAAAAATCTTTAAATGTACAGCTGAGTTCTGACAGAAATCCCTCCATCTGTGTCATAAATACACAAATTTAACTTCTTGGGTTCTTTTTAAAGACAATGCAGTAAAGTGTGTTTACCTTGTTGACATGTTTCGGCTGTTAGCTGCAAGCATCATCAGAACTGTCCCCGGTGTTGGTGGTGACGTGTCGTATCTCAGCTGTCGTTACTTCCTGTGGGCGTGGTCAGACCTGATGGACCTGCAGGTCGCTCAGACTGACCACGCCTCCCGTCGCCCGGTGTCTCTGGAGGAGGGTGTCCCAGGTGTGTGAAAGGAGGAACGCGCCGTCATCACGGTTAACGCTGTCCGTGCCTCGTTTCCTGATTTCACCGTCCTCCTTGATCCAGCGTTTGAACTTGTTGTTTTCCGATCCAATGTCCCGATCCAGAATGTGGTTGTTCCTTTTACAGTGTCTGATATGGAGGATTTTAGGTTTTCCTGTTCTGCTTTGTCTTTTTGTTCTGGTGAGTCTCCCTGACGTTTCCTTTTCGCATTCCTTTTGGTGTTCCTTTTTTCGGATGTGAAATGCCCGGCCTGTTTCCCCTATGTGTGATTTATTGCATGATTTGCATTGGATTTCGTAGATGGCGTCGCATTTTTGTTCTTGTGGGATTTTGTTGAGTTGTTGGTGGAGTTTTGTGTCTGGTTTTACTCCGGTGCTTCTGTTGTGTTTTTTCATGGCTCTGGATGGGTTTGGTTATTCCTCTGATGTTCGGTAGTGTGACTATGTTGTTACTTCCTGGACCTGGCAGGTCGCTCAGACTGACCACGCCTACAGGAAGTAACAACAGCCGAGATACGACACGTCACCGCCAACACCGGTGACACTTCTGAAGATGCAGCAGCAGCCGAAACATGTCAACAAGGTAAACACACTTTACTGTATTGTCTTTAAAAAGAACCTAAGACGTTAAAGTAGATAAGAAGACAAAAAGAACATCATTGGCTTAACACAAAATTCCTTCCAAAAATGCAATAAAATAGTGTTATCGAGATGCAGCAGCCTTGTAATTACGATGAACAAACCAAAACAAAAAAAAGAAAGAACGAAAATCCATCAACTGTGGACGTGGCGATTTCGTAATTTATCAGATTCAGAAAACTTTATTGATCCCATAAGGCAATTCATCAGCAGCATCTCAGCGCAAACACACCAAAAACACAAACAAACGCAAACTGTGTCAGTCCATCGCCGTCCACCAGTGCAACTCAAAATAAAAAACAAATTACAGTGTAAAACTTTCATAAAACTGCACCCTTAGAATTTAACAATTTAATAGCACAGGGCACAAAAGAATTAGAAAACTAACGCCATGAAGGCATCAGGATAAAATCAGGAGCCAGAGGATGGAGGAGCTGAGCCAGGAGACCCTTGGCCACAGGTGTCAAACATACGGTCCGGGGGCCAGATCCGGCCCTCCAAGACCTTTAATCTGGCCCTCGGCTGATTTTCTACTAAAATATTTTAATTATATTTTCTATTAAAATCTTGTTAATTTTCTGTGGTGTTTATCACAGCAGCGTCTCCAGCGTCTCTGTACGTGGCCCCTCCCACCAGAGCAGCACAAATGAAGACTTGTCTCTTTCCAAACGCTCTTAAAGGACGATCGTTTTGACTGTTGACCGTGACACCCTCATCAGAAAAATGTCCAACATGAGAAAAGTGGAGAATTTTACAAGAAAAATGGACTTATTCCTATTTACATACAAGTTATTTTTAAAATGTTGTGTTGAAATTGTATTTTTCTTAAAGTTTCAGGTTGTTCATAATATTATAATATTTTGTAGAAGAAAGAGTTCATCAATTAAAAAAGATTTCTGTAATAGATTTGTGTTTCTCTGCACAAATATTTGAACTTATTGTTATTTTTTGGGGTTTATATGACATGAGTTTTCTGATCCGGACACTTTGGGATCAAAGTCGGTTGGATACGACCCCCGGAACAAAATGAGTTTGACACTCCTGCCCTTGGCTTTGCTCAGCACCTGCTCCTCCCCCACAGAGTGCAGCTCCCTCAGTTTGACCCCTGTGATTTTCGAGCAGGTTTTAACAATGTTCTGAAGTTTGTTTTTATCCTTCACAGACAAGGATTCAAACCAGCAAATAAAAGAAAAAAGTAAGAAGACTTTCGATAAACTCGGATCGGGTGTTAGGTTGTCAGTCAAACTCCCAACGTTTCTAGAGTAACTGATTTACCGGCGTGCTTGTATCACGAGGTTTCTGTGCACCGTTTACTCGACCGACGCAGCGGTTCTGAGCGGCTTTTTCGAACTGTGGCTTCCTCGAAGTTCGCACAAAGTTTGTCGCGACGTCGGACGAGAATCCACGACCAGTTCGCCGCAAAAGAAAGTCAGTTTTTGAGGTCGCTGAAAGAAGAAGAGAAGGGGAAAAGGAGCGAAGCCAAACTGAGGTGATTCGTGGAGATTCCTTCCAGCGATGGCGCGACTGAAGCAGACGAAAGATCTCAGGAAGGACACGTCGGTCACTAAAATTACTTCTGGACAGGAAACTTCAACAGTAATTCTTTCAGCGATTCTGAACGTGCAGCTTTATGCATTTTAACACGTTTTATTTACATTCTTCCATTTTTGTCCGTTTATCCGGGGCCGGGTCACTGGGGCAGCAGTTTAAGCAGGGACTCCCAGACTTCCTTCACCCCGGACATGTCCCCCAGCTCCTCCAGGGGGATCCTGAGGCGTTCCCAGGCCAACTGAGAGACACAGTCCCTCCGGTGTGTCCCGGGTCTTCCCCGGGGCCTCCTTCCAGTGGGACATGCCCAGAACACCTCCCGAGGGAGACGCCCAGGAGACATCAGAGAGACATCAGAACAGACGCCCAGAAACATCAGAACAGACGCCCAGGAGACATCAGAACAGACGCCCAGAAGACATCAGAACAGACGCCCAGGAGACATCAGAACAGACGCCCAGGAGACATCAGAACAGACGCCCAGGAGACATCAGAGAGACATCAGAACAGACGCCCAGAAGACATCAGAACAGACGCCCAGGAGACATCAGAACAGACGTCCAAAAGACATCAGAACAGACGCCCAGGAGACATCAGAACAGACGCCCAGAAGACATCAGAACAGACGCCCAGGAGACATCAGAACAGACGCCCAGGAGACATCAGAACAGACGTCCAGAAAACATCAGAACAGACGCCCAGGAGACATCAGAACAGACGCCCAGGAGACATCAGAACAGACGCCCAGGAGACATCAGAACAGACGCCCAGGAGACATCAGAACAGACACCCAGAAGACATCAGAACAGACGCCCAGGAGACATCAGAACAGACGTCCAGGAGACATCAGAACAGACGTCCAGAAAACATCAGAACAGACGCCCAGGAGACATCAGAACAGACACCCCAGAAGACATCAGAACAGACGCCCAGAAGACATCAGAACAGACGCCCAGGAGACATCAGAACAGACGTCCAGGAGACATCAGAACAGACGCCCAGAAAACATCAGAACAGACGCCCAGGAGACATCAGAACAGACGCCCAGGAGACATCAGAACAGACACCCAGAAGACATCAGAACAGACGCCCAGGAGACATCAGAACAGACGTCCAGAAAACATCAGAACAGACGCCCAGGAGACATCAGAGAGACATCAGAACAGACGCCCAGAAGACATCAGAACAGACGCCCAGAAGACATCAGAACAGACGCCCAGAAGACATCAGAACAGACGCCCAGAAGACATCAGAACATCAGAACAGACGCCCAGAAGACATCAGAACAGACGCCCAGAAGACATCAGAACAGACGCCCAGAAGACATCAGAACAGACGCCCAGGAGACATCAGAGAGCATCAGAAAGAACGCCAGGAGACATCAGAGAGACATCAGAACAGACGCCCAGAAGACATCAGAACAGACGCCCAGGAGACATCAGAACAGACGCCCAGGAGACATCAGAACAGACGCCCAGGAGACATCAGAACAGACGCCCAGGAGACATCTGTTGTGTTGTGCCCTCATTTTATTATTTGTATTATGATAGAGACTTATGATTTGACCAATGGTGTGTAAGAACACTTGATCACGTGAGGCACAAAATTATGAATGGCCTGCACCTGTGAATAAAAGTGTGTGTCCGTGGAGAATGGGGTAACCACACAAAAAGAGAATACAAAGTGTACTGTGTTTTAATGCTCACGACAACGCTGCGTAAAAGGACCCTGCTAACAGGTTATGGGCCCAGAGTCATTTTACGCAGTTTGAGGAGCGGTCTCCAGGTGAATGTCGCGACGGTAAATGCGTGCACCTGAGTTCAGCCACTGACCGCAAACATGAGTAAAAACAGAGAAAAGGACACTGTGCCAAGCCGCTGGGGCAGACTCGTATTTCATGGCGATGAAAAAGGATACGAGCTGTGGGAGACAAAGTTTTTGGGCCACCTCCGTCTCCAAGGATTGAAGGACACTATTTTACAATCACCTGGTCCTGACGACGAAGATGATGACGAGAAGAATGCTGAGGCCTATGCGGAGCTTATCCAGTTCCTGGATGACAAGAGCCTGTCGCTGGTAATGCGCGAGGCGGTGGATGATGATGGACGCGAGGCGCTGAGGATTCTCCGGGAATATTACGCTGGCAAAGGGAAGCCAGAGAGTGATAAACTTGTACACTGAATTAACGTCTCTACAAAAGTCACCGATGGAAAATGTCACTGAGTATGTAATCAGAGCAGAGACTGCGATTACTGCGTTGCGAAGCGCAGGTGAGGCGCTCAGTGACGGACTTTTGATAGCAATGGTTTTAAAGGGGCTGCCAGAGACATTTAAACCATTTGCCATTCAAGTTTCTCAGAGTGAAGATAAAATGACTTTTGCGGAGTTTAAGACAAAGCTCCGGAGTTATGAGGACATTGAAAATATGCGTGCAACTGTGTCTGAGGACAACGTGATGAAGGCGAGAGCGCAATTTGGCACAAGGCGCGCACCAGAGAGCGCAAAGGACAGTGGCAATACGGACATTGAGTGTTATAAGTGTGGTGTCAGAGGCCACATAGCCAAAAGCTGTCCGCGCAAGCAGTGGTGCAGTCACTGTAAAAGTAACACACACAACAATACGACGTGTAGACGGAGGAAGCAGCGGGATAACGCACAGCGAGCGTCCGACGCGGAGAGCAAGGAATATGCTTTCCGGATAAGTGACTCGGAGATGCAGGTGCCAGATGTCAAAAGCAAAGGTTTGATGGTGGATGCGGGTGCAACGTCACATATCATCACAGACATCGCCAAGTTCAAGAGGTTCGATGCCAGTTTCCAGGCCGGGACGCATTGTGTGGAGCTAGCAGATGGCACCAGGAGCAACGGAGTCGCCAAGCACAGAGGGGACGCAGAGGTGTGGTTGGTCGACAGCAGGGGGCACCGTCTCAAAACAACGCTGAGGAGGGCCTTGTACATCCCAACTTATCCTCAGGATATCTTCTCTGTGAAAGCTGCCACCACGTGTGGAGCCACGGTGATCTTCAGTGAGAAGAAGAACGTTCTGCTACATAAAGACGGCACTAAATTTCCCATACATGTACACAACAAACTGTACTATCTGCACACATCAGAAAGTGACAGTGAAGACCAGTGTAACAAATGTCATGATTTGCAGACTTGGCATGAAATTCTAGGACACTGCAATTTTGCAGATATCATGAAATTAAGCATGTTGTAAGTGGTGTGGAGATTAAGAATGACAGATTAACAGACGCCCAGAAGACATCAGAACAGACGCCCAGAAGACATCAGAACAGACGCCCAGGAGACATCAGAACAGACGCCCAGAGACATCAGAACAGACGCCCAGGAGACATCAGAACAGACGCCCAGAAGACATCAGAACAGACGCCCAGAAGACATCAGAACAGACGCCCAGGAGACATCAGAACAGACGCCCAGAGAGACATCAGAACAGACGCCCAGGAGACATCAGAACAGACGCCCAGGAGACATCAGAACAGACGCCCGAGCCTCAGCCGCTCCTCTCAACGTGGAGGAGCAGCGACTCTACTCCGAGCTCCTCCCGTGTGACTGAGCTCCGTATCCGCGATCTCGTCCTTTCGGTCGTTATTTATTACTTTAATTTATGAGTTACTGCGTTTTATTGTATTATTTTCTCTGTGCCGCCCTTTGGAAATGGTCCTGTTTATAAAATGTGCTATAGAAATAAAGTGGATTGGATTGAAATACACTTCTCAAACTCATCGCGGCGATTCATTTGGATATAAAAATGCATTAGGAAAGTGAGTGACAACTTTGGACCACTGCAAACATTTTAAAATAACGTAGTTGTGTTGTTTTTTTTTACGTTTAAAGACAGTAAAAGTCATGAACAGCATGTTTAAACTGAGAATATTAAACAACATTTGTCCGTGTTTACAGTGCGGTTGTGTGTAATCGCTGTGCAATCCCCTCGGGCGCCGTCACACCTACAACTTTTGTCCAACAGTTAGTAAACATGTCACAGTAATTATGATAACGACTTAATACGAAAGCTGGAACAACACATTTAGAGGCTCAGTATTTATCTTGTGCGCAATTTTCTTTGGTTCTTTCGTAAGAGTGAGGAAATTTAGGGTGTTTTTGAGCTGTAAATGGTTGAATAAATGACCAAAAATGAAACTATGAAAAAATTTGGCAAGATTTGAGGCAAAATTGTGCATCTAATCACGTTAATCTGTCAATCTGTCATTTTGCACTTTAAAGGAAAGGCATGGACGCTGGGCTCTGGAGTGACCTTGTGCCCTCACCTTGCACCCTCTGCAGCTTGGTGCGCCCAAACGCCATGGGCAGGTTCAGCGGGATGAAATGCTCGTGGTTGCAGACGGTCATGAGGAATTCAAATTTCATCTCCGACAGCAGCTGGAACATCGGAGCAAAACATAAGCACAACACATGCAAAGACACATGCAAAACCAGAGCTGAATTTGCGTGTCAAAAGGGGAAGTATTATTTTGGACATCAAACGGACGTGGTGAACAATAGCTGTGTGTTTGTGTTTGACAAGGAAACAGACGTCTAATTCTGGAACAACACAACATTGTCAAGTGTTTGAAAAGCAGATTATAAATACAATTATAGGGATTCAGTCATGTAAAAATGTCCAAAAAGGCCGAAGCAAAAACAAAGAGACTTTTAAACTACATTTACTCTACAACTGCCACGTTTACATGATGTTTTTTAAATCTGAATTAATTAGGGATGTAATAATAATCAAAATATCGTGATATCGTATCGTCAGAGTTCTCACAATATATCGAATTACAAGTGTCTTTGCTTAAATTAAGAGTTATGGTGAACAGTGTCGGGGAGTAACAGATTACATGTACCGGAGTTATGTAATCAGAGTACAAATGATGAGTAACTGTATTCAGTTACAGTTACTGTTTCAGTGAGTGGGAATTGGATTACAGTTACTTTGTTGAAATAAATGGATTACACAGAGGGATTTTCCTGTTTTCACATTTTGGGCTAAATCCTTTTTTTTTTTTTTTTTTCTTTTCTCGGTAATTCCACTCATTGCCAGAAACTAAACCAGGACTAAAACAAGACTAAACCAGGATTTAACAGGACTAAACCAGGACTAACCAGGACTAAACAAGACTAAACCAGGATTTAACAGGACTAAACAGGACTAAACCAGGTCTAAACCAGGTCTAAACCAGACTAAAGGACTAAACCAGCTAAAACCAGGACTAAAAAGAACTAAAACAGGACTAATCCTGCTGTGCGGACCATGTCTCCTCTTCTTCTATCAATAATATTTTTTATTTGGTTCAGTAAAGTTTGGGCTTTTTATTTTCTTTTATCAGACAAAACTTCTTATGTTACGATTTCCTTGTCTTTGCTTCTCTACAGCAAATCAAGTAATCCAAAGTATTCAGATTACTTTACTCAGTTTAAGTAATTTAATGCATTATGTTACAAACTACATTTTGGGGTATGTAATCTGTAGGGGATTACATTTTAAAAGTCTCCTTCACAACACTGATGGTGAAGCAATAGATAAAAAAAGACAGAGAACTACATAGACCACAGGTGTCAAACATACGGCCCGGGGGCCAGATCCGGCCCTCCAAGACCTTTAATCTGGCCCTTGGCTGATTTTCTACTAAAATATTTTAATTATATTTTCTATTAAAATCTTGTTAATTTTCTGTGGTGTTTATCACAGCAGCGTCTCCAGCGTCTCTGTACGTGGCCCCTCCCACCAGAGCAGCACAAATGAAGACTTGTCTCTTTCCAAACGCTCTTAAAGGACGATCGTTTTGACTGTTGACCGTGACACCCTCATCAGAAAAATGTCCAACATGAGAAAAGTGGAGCCGAGTGCAGGATTTTACAACAAAAATTGACTTATTCCTATTTATACAAGTTAATGTTAAACAAGTTCATGTTAAAACATTGTGTTGAAATTGTATTTTTCTTAAAGTTTCAGGTTGTTCATAATATTATAATATTTTGTAAAAGAAAGAGTTCATCAATTTAAAAATAATAGATTTGTGTTTCTCTGCACAAATATTTGAACTTATTGTTATTTTTGGGGTTTATATGTCATGATTTTTCTGATTCGGCCCCTTTGGGATCAAAGTAAGTTGGATACGGCCCCCGGATCAAAATGAGTCTGACACCCCTGTTTTAGAGGACAGAGGTTTTGTGGTGCAAATGTATCAGTCTTTTTAACACATGTTGTTTTGAGAAGAAAAACACTTTATTATACAGTCCCCAGCCAACTTGCCGAACTACTTTCCTCAGCAACAAAACCGGCCAGGATCTGGGCTCACCGGACGCTTTCGGAGGTAAAGTCAGAGTGGATGCAACACACTGCTGACGGGGACGACACACAGATTCATGTCAAAAAACCTGAACTATCCCTTTAAGGAGAGATTTTTAGACTATGCCAAGGCACCATAAAGTCTCTCCTACATTTCATTTCAAAGATGCGAGCTGGAAATCCATGATAAAAAAGTTAAATCAAGATGTTACAATCATAATCAGCTCGAACTAAACGTATTTTAGTGAGCAGTTAAGGTTCTAAAAGCAACAAACTGAGATGGATAAAACGTTGGTGATGTGGGTAGAGTTTTTATCAGATCAGAGCCCACATCGCGGGTTCCAGATTAAACGGTTTTGGTTTGACTGTCGCCATCCAAACGTGTCCAGCAGGACGTCTGATGAGAGAGTTTTCTGATCCGGACACTTTGGGATCAAAGTCGGTTGAATTCGGCCCCCGGATCAAAATGAGCTTGACACCCCTGACATAGACCATGATCCTTTGCTCCATTTCAGTGCAGACGACAAGAAGAAATAACAGTTCTAACACTTTTGAGTCTTGTCAAGACATTTTAAGAGGAAAAAGTCACATTTTTAAAATTGTAGCTTTTTAGCCTCCACAAAATATCACAATAAATATCGTACAGAGAGATTTGGATATTGTTACATCCCTAATCGTGAGCTTTCCCACGATATCGCAATAAACATCGTACCGTGAGGTTCATACCGTGATGATATCGTATCGTGAGACTTGGACATCGTTACAGCCCTAGAATTAATTGTTCTGAATTAAATTGTTCTGAATTCAAATATTCTCCTTCGTGTTTACATGGAAATAATCATTCCGAACTGAGGTCCTTTCATCCATCCATTTTCTTCCTCGGGGGCATCAGTCTAAGCAGTGAACTCCCAGACTTCCCTCACCCCGGACACTTCCTCCAGCTCCTCTGGTGGGATCCTGAGGCGTTCCCAGGCCAGTCCAGAGACATAGTCCCTCCAGCGTGTCCTGGCTTTTCCTTTGGTCTTCTCCCGGTGCGACATGCCCGGAATACCTCTCCAGGGAGGCGTCCAGGAGGCATCCGGAACAGATGCCCGAGCCTCAGCTGCTCCTCTCGACGTGAAGGAGCAGCGGCTCTACTCCGAGCTCCTCCTGAGTGACTGAGCTCCTCACCCTGTCTCTAAGGGAGACGCCCAGACACCCTGCGAAGGAAACTCATTTGTGCCGCTTGTATTCGCGATCTCGTCCTTTCGGTCATTACCCAGAACTCATGACCAGAGGTGAGTGGAGGAATGAAGACTGACTGTAAATCGAGAGCTTCGCCTTTCGACTCAGCTCCTCTTCACCACAACGGTCCGATACAGCGACCGCATCACTGCACCTGTCCACCTGTCAACCTCACGCTCCATCCTCCCCTCACTCAAGAACAAGACCCCGAGATACTTGAACTCCTCCACTTGAGGCAAATCCGAGTTGATGTTTACATGGAAAAACACATTAAATCACCTTTTTTTTAAATTCCACTCAGCGTCTGGGGGCGAGGAAGGGTTCTGATTGGACAGGGACATGACAGTATCTACGTCGACCAGAAGAAAACACACACTTCAGCTGCCTGTCATCTCGGTTTGTCGTTACGCCACGGACACAAACACGATCCAAACTTTTTCCGCGGTGGTTCAGATGCTGTAGAATTGTCTCATCACGCTTTACGTCTGTCGGCCGAGGAAGAGGAGGAGGAGGGAAGAGTGTCGGAGAAGGGAGGAAGAAGACAAAGTGAGTGTGAGGCTGCTCTACCTCAGCCCACTCCCACATCCAGCTCACAATCCAAAGAGACGGGGAGGAAAGTCCGAAGACAGGACTGATGGAGCCGGATCGTCTGGATTGCGTCAGAAGAGCGACACAACGAGCATGAACTGAACAACCGCAATCATTTTTAAGAAGAATAAACATTTACATGATCCAGGAAGAAATTCGTCCGGCTTTAAAATAGGAAGAAACCACCCACTTACTTCGGAATTAAGTTTTGTTTCAATTAATAATTTTCATTAGAAATTAAGTGTTTACATGCTGTTTTTAAAGCGGAATTAAATTCTTTTTATTCGGAATTAAAGCTCTTATGTAAACGTGGCAACTGTTTGGTAACATTTATAAGAGTTGGTGCAAAATTTTTAAGTTTGACATTGAAACTGAAGTCTGCACAGCTGTAACCAACTGCACATTTATTGGATTTAGTGTTTTCCCTTGAAGAATGCTTTTTCCTTCTTAAATAATAAAACATTTGTGGACATGTACCTTCGGATCCTTGAGGGTGAAGTGACACATGTAGTGATTGACCAGAGCAAAGCCAAATCCTCTGTTCATCAAAGTCAGGCACCTCTGAAAGACAAAAACAACACGTGTAATGATGAGCGTCAGTAGAAAAATGCTATATTTCTTTTTATTTACTTTAAATTTATCTGTCGTGTAAGAATTAAACAACGAGGAGCTGTGAGTTACAGTGTTTTAACACAAAGGAATGACATGGAACTGGCTCTATTCACGCTTACGTCACGAAACCAGAAGACGTTTGGAAACTCTGTTGGCGATTGAAAACAGAAAAGATGGCCCAGATTTCTTCATTTAGATGTTTATAAATTGCCTATTAATTTGTGTATTATAATTTGTCTAATTTAAAAAAACAAACAAACAAACAAAAAATGAAGTGCGGTCTTAACAAACTGCTCTGAGTAGTTTCATCGACTTACACCGTCGTCCCACAAACTGAAAACTTTTAAACCTGACAACTTTCTGTCTGTCTGTGGACCTTTAAGGCATTATTATTTCTTTTAGTTGAAGCTAGTCTCTCCTAACCATCGTTCGTTTGTTTACCTGTGGCTATGGTGATGCTCAGAGCGAAGTGATGTAGATGAGTGATTAACCGTTGCTGGATTATCTAAACACACTTAGCATCAGAATCTTCACTGACCATGATGTAATTGTATTTGTACAGGTGACGTTGAACTAGCCAGACTGGCACCACAAAGTGCCTCCGCTCAATTTAATTTCTCTCCAGCAACCGGGTCAGGAATCAAAGTACACTAGACCACAGGTGTCAAACATAAGGCCTGAGGGCCAGATCTGGCCCTCAAAGACCTTTAATCTGGCCCTCGGCTGATTTTCTACTAAAATATTTTAATTATATTTTCTATTAAAATCTTGTTAATTTTCTGTGGTGTTTATCACAGCAGCGTCTCCAGCGTCTCTGTACGTGGCCCCTCCCACCAGAGCAGCACAAATGAAGACTTGTCTCTTTCCAAACGCTCTTAAAGGACGATCGTTTTGACTGTCGACCGTGACACCCTCATCAGAAAAATGTCCAACATGAGAAAAGTGGAGCCGAGTGCAGGATTTTACAACAAAAATTTACTTATTCCTATTTACATACAAGTTCATGTTAAAACTTTGTGTTGAAATGGTATTTTTCTTAAAGTTTCAGGTTGTTCATAATATTATATTTTGTAAAAGAAAGAGTTCATCAATTAAAAAAGATTTCTGTAATAGATTTGTGTTTCTCTGCACAAATATTTGAACTTATTGATATTTTTGGGGTTTATATGACATGAGTTTTCTGATCCGGCCCCTTTGGGATCAAAATAGGTTGAATACGGCCCCCGGAACAAAATGAGTTTGACACCCCTGCACTAAATGGTTTGTAAGAACATCGTTAGTTAGACCGCGCACCGGCCAATCAGAGAAGAGCTGTGAAGCCACGAGGTCAAACTGGGTCCCTTTTGTGGACCAGCACGACAGTAAACAAAGCGTCGAGATGGATGAAAACTGTGAGTCTCCAACCTGTTGCTCAGGAGCTACCAGAACCTTTCCACTCCTTTCCACGTAACTCGCCAAGGGATTTCTGAATTATACGTATTGTCCTGAATAACTCAAATTTGATTAATTACCATTGCAAATTGCAATTGCAATGAGAAAATTCAAGCAGTCAGTGAAGTTAAATACCTCGGCCTCATTCTAGATGAAAATTTAAAATTTACCGGTCACACAAAATACTTGGCGAAGAAGATTAAGACTAGTCTCAGTTGGTTTTGTTTCATACGTAAAGATCTATCGCTCCACACTTCTAAACTCTTCATGAACGCGATGATCTTCTCTCATCTTTCTTATTGTATCACCTCATGGTCCCAGGCTCCTCAACCACATTGAAACAGCTTTGTTCATTTTACAAACTGACCCTTAAGATCCTTGACAAAAAGTCCAAACACCGGCACCACTGTGAAATTAAAAAGAAACATCAACTTTTTGACTTTGAAAATTTTATCAATTTTAATCATCTTAAATTATTTTTGAAGTGTCTTAACTGCGACACACCATTACACTCAGAATTTGCCAGGACCATAAAACGTTCACACAGAGCGAACACAAGAGGAGCTACTCGTGGTGACTGTGTTGTTCCTCGGTACAGGACGACTCTGGGTCAGTCCTCGTTCTCTTTTAAAGGGGCCAGTCTGTGGAACGGTTCACCAGCTCATTTAAAATTGGAAACCAACAACAACAAATTTAAAAGGAAATTAAAATTATTGTATGTTTCCAATCAAAACTGCAACCACTGAAAATGCACTGTATATATTTTATCTGTATGTAATTTATGTGTCTTGTATTCTCTGTTTTTATGTGTGTAGTTTATATTTTTATACGGACAGGTGTTGAAAACTGTGCTAAAACACTCAAAGCAACGCATCTGGCTTGTCTAATGCGATTGTGATGTCCTTAATAAACATAAAAATTAAAAAAAAGTGTTATTTTGAACTTAGCGTTTTAATACATGAATAATGGTTTTAGGTTTTATAGGCGTCTAACTGTACTTTCCCTCTTAGATCCACTCGATTTCCAGCAACCGCTAAAATTAGTAGCTCTCCGGCATTTTCGTTTTGTAAAGGCAGCTCACCGGATGTAAAAAGGTTGGAGATCCCTGACGTAGACGAAGACAGACATTCTGTATTGTCAGCGATTCCCAAGAACAGACGGAACAAAGAGAATGTTTGGTGAAATTTTATCAAGGGGAAAGACATTATTGTTCTTCTTCCTACGGGATTTGGGGCATTACAAACGTCACGACCAAACAGCAGCAATTCGTACCCGCCTGCCGTCGAGTGAACGAATCCTAATGCTGCGAGGTCAGACGGTTTCTACGAAGTGAAACCGTCTCATGAATCGGGCTAATGCTTGACCCATAGACTGTATAAAAAAGTGGACTAAGTGAGTGATGAAGCTCTCGATGCTCACGGTTACAGGAGCAAAACTGAAGCCAGGCTCTATTCTCGCGTCGAATCGTATTGAATCGAAAGTGCACTGTATCGAAAAGCGTATCGTATCGTGGCTTATGTATCAAGGTTTGTATCATATCGGCAGCTTCTTTATGATACCCAACCCTAGAATCAATATCTTGAAACCGATACCTGATCCAGAGATTTTTTCTCACTAAAACTGAAAAATTTACCGTATTTTCCACACTATAGGGCGCTCTGGATTATAAGGCGCACTGTCATTGGTCTATTTCCGAACTTTTTTCACATAAACCGCACCGGACTATAAGGCGCATTAAACGAAACACAACGGTTAGATAAGTCGGTCAAACTTTATTTAACGCGCTCGCAATAGCTCTCAACTTTGTTCAATTGTAACGCGTAAAAAAAATACTGTCTGAGACGCTAAACTGTCATCGTATTCACAACAACTCATAACTTGTTCAAACGTCCAGCACGCCCACATCCCTCGTCATTATCCGAGTCAGTGTGGTTACTGTTCCCTGGCAGTTCAGTGATGATTCAGGTCTTGGTGAAAGCTCGGACCACAGTTGATCCTGATCCTTAGCCCGGGCGTCCACGATCCGTCGGTAAGTCGCTCGGCGCGGTCTCCCTGTCTTGGTGAATGTGTGTTCGTCTTCTCTCATCCACTGCTCCCACGCAGCTCACACTTTCACTTTATAACAGCCTTGAGTTTAACGTGGGCGTTGTGAGCGCGTCTCTTGACACGTGCATTTTGATATTAAAAGGAATCACAGTATGTATTACCGTATTTTCTATTAGTCGCACCATCATTAAATGGTCTATTTTTGAACTTTTTTCACAAATAAACCACGTGGGACTTTAAAGGAAACCCAACAGTTGGATGGGTCAGTGGTTTTGTTTGTTTGTTCGTTCGTTCACGGTGACTCTGGGCTTTGTTCGGTTGTGGCGTGTAGGGAGGGTGCTGTCTGGGACCAACGGATTGTCGTCGTGTTCGCAGTGACTCAGTTGTTCAGTCGTGTCTAGAAGCGTCACGTCGCGCTCGCTTTTTCGGTTCGTTCCTCCGTTCCGTTCCTCGTGGCCGTGGAGTGACGAGTGTGTCTGTGGGTGTTTTTCGCCGCGCGGTCGCTGTCTGCTCCGTGTGTGTTTGCGTGTTCTGCGGGTGGTGCGGCTTTGTAGTTTACTGAAGTCGTACTGGGACACCTGAGTGGATTCGTGTATGGGGCGCTCTGGATTGTGGCGCGCTGAAGCGGTTAGAGGCTTAAGAGCGCGTCTAATAGCCCGGAAAATACAGTACTCTGCGATGCTCCTGACTACGGGAGCCATAACGCTGCATGTGGTGCGGCTTTGTAGTTTACTAAAGTCGTACTAAGACACCCCAATAAATTCATATATAAGGCACTCTGGATTTTAAGGCACGCAGTCGTTTTTTGATTAAATGAAAGGCTTTTAAGTGCGGAAAACACCGTAGCCCCATGAGATAAAACCCTCTTTTAGGAAACGGGACATAGAACAGAACAGAAGCAGACCTTGATGAAGTTGGCGAGGCTGATGTTGACGGCGCGCGCCTCCTCCGGGATCTCCAGATGCCGGATGGTGATGTGGGGCATGATGGACAGGATCAGGGACTGCAGGGCCTGGTGGTAGCTCTCCGGGAACCGCTGAGTCCGGGGCATCTGAGCAAAAAAACACGACACATACGTAAAGAATGAACGCCGTGTTTGGTAAAGGAAAATACTGGACTACTGAAAAGTAAATATTAGAGCTGCAAACAGGAAACAAATCAAAAGACAGAGATACTGCAATTATAATAAAAACTCTCTTTACTGAAACAATTTAATGTGTTTTTCCACATTAAACAACAGTTCTGTCTTTTATATTACCATGTGTAATGAAATGTGTGTAATCCCTCAGTGGTCCAGCAAGGTTTCAGAATGGTCCAGGTCTACACCAGGTCTAAACCAGGTCCATGGGCGTATACTCGTCTGTGTGCTGTTCAGAAAAGGTTCATTTCTGGGACTTTTGTAGTATCGATACCTGCTCAAGTGAGTACTTTCGATACTAGTTTTAGTATCTGACTTTGAGTTGGTGGAATGTGTTGATGTCATATTTCCAGATGGGGGCAAAAGTAAAGGTGAATTTCCAAATATAGAACCTCATAATTTCTATTACTGGCTAGAGTCGACCCAAGACCTGCTGTATAGAACTTTTTTTTTTTTTTACAATGGCTGGAAGTGTCTCGCTGTAGGTTTGTGGAACTTGGCGTTTAATGTTTTTTTCTGTGGCAAAATGTGCGTGTAAATGTGTGTCGTGTTCTCCAGCAGCTTCATAAATCTGCCCCATCACCAAATCTTCAACTCCACGAAGGATAAACATTCTAACATGAACAATTTATCCACAAATATCAAGAGAAGAAAGACGAAAACTTAAAGGAAACGACGACGCATTAGTGAAATCGATTTTTAATTTTAATTGTAGAATCAGTCTGAATGAACAAACACACCTTACCCCCTGTCTTCCTGTCAAAAATAGTCCACATAAACAAGGGCATTTCTCATATATGATGTAATTTACTAACTACATCACAACCACTCAGTTGACGCCTGTTCATTTTTCATTTCTGACATGTTTTTTTTTTTTAATGGTACGTTTGCCGCATACTTGTGGACTGACTCAACTGACAGATTGGGGGAGGGGGGAATTAATGCTCATGTAATCTTGATTTGTTCAGTATTATCATTATTTTTATTGTTATTATTATGAAATTAGTGTTTAATGACGAGTTACGTATGGCTATTTTTACATTTTCAAGTGAATAATATACACTGTGCCTCGTCGTTGTTCTCCTTTAAGTTTTCGTCTTTCTTTCTTTCTTTGATAGTTTAGAAGAATGTTTATCCTTTGTGGTCCTTGTTGGTTGAAAATTTGGTGATTTGGCAGATTTATGAAGCTGCTGGAGAATACGACACACATTTGAACACACATTTTGCCAAAGAAAACCATTAAACGAAAGTTCCACAAACCTAAAGCGGGACACTTCCGCTTCCACTTTGTAAAAAACGTCTATTACAACAAACATCTAGAGTTAAATAATATTAATTTTACCTGCCCCACGTCTGTATTAAAGGTTGTATGGAGGATTTTTTTTTTTGTTTCAAACTGTCAGTGAAAGATTAAAATACCATTACAGAGACGCAGCAGCTTTGTAATTATGATGACCAAAAAAAAAAGAACTAAAATCTATCAACTGTGGACGTAGTGAGGCCAGATAAACATCAGCCAATAGAAAACGAGGCTCCCTCATTTTCTATTGGCTGTTAGGTTGTCAATCAAACTCCCTAGTGTAACTGACTCGTCGGAGCGCGGGGATTACGTGGTTTACGCAGCGGTTCTTAGAGGCTTTTTCGAACTGTCGCTTCCTCGCATTTCACACAAAGTTTGTCGCGACGGCGGACGAGAATCCACGACCGGTTCGCCGCGAAAGAAAGTCCGTTTTTGAGGTCGCCGAAAGAAGAAGAGAAGAGGAAAAGGAGCAAAGCCAAACTGAGGTGATTCTTGGAGATCTCGTCCAGCGATGGCGCGACCGAAGCAGACGAAGAGTCTAAAAACTGACGCGTCGGTCGCTGAATTACTTCTAGACAGGAAACTTCAACAGTAATTCTGAACGCGCACAAGGACTGTCGCTGTATTTCCCTTCCCTTAAAAAAATCCTCTATACAACCTTTAAATAACATTTGCCTATAAAATGTCGCGATGTGATCTAAACCCCAGCAATACTTTTGAAAACCCTACAAAAAACAACACTTAAAAGATGAACTAAGCACCATTTTTTATTATTTTTTATTGTTTGTGACGCCACCCGGGGCAAGTTAAAGGTCAGATCAGCGCTATAAAAACACCGGCGCGCAGACAAAGTAATAACATCTCTCTGGAGACAAACAGATAACCTACCTTTCCCCGAACTGCATACACATACTATGTAAATATTGTAGTTGTGCAAATTTGCATTGTGGTCACGGACTGTAAGCAAACTTTGACCTTATACTCATGTTTGCCTTACAGTGGAATATAAAACTGTACATTTTATGGTCCGAAACAACTTTGACAGATGAAGTCAATGTGGTTTTTTATTACACGCAATAAGATATTTCGAGTTATTAACCAACCTTCATGCGGTTTCCCTCTTGCAGATACTGAGCCATCGACTTTGCCATAGTCTCAAAGAAGAACCAAGAGTACTAAAAAGAGAAGAAATGTTGTGTTTTAAGTACAAAATAAACATTACAAACCAAAAAATTAAGATATCACGTTTGCCAGCTTGGACTTAAGATACTGCGGTTGCTTTTGTATTGATTTCTAGTGCACCCTGCTGGTCATTAGTAGAACTACAACACAAAAAGAGCAGTAGTTTGAAGAGGATTTGATTTTGAGACCTTGAGCAGTTTGTTGATGGTGTTGAAGTCGGCGGTTTGCTTCAGGACGGCGGTGACGGCGGTGGCCAAAACCTCGTGAGTGCTGCTCGAGCTCCCGGAACACGAGCTGGTCACAAAGACGTACTGGAAAAATCGAAAAGACAAATGTGAAGAGGAAAACAAAAAGCGTCTTCAGGGTCATTTGGAGAAAAAATAAAACAAAAACAAAAAGGAATAGACTATAAATACACAATAGAACATGTTGGGTTTGTATTTTTTTGTTTGCAACTCAGTAATTTTGTTGTACAGCTACATCAGCAGTGTCGGGGAGTAACAGATTACATGTACCGGAGTTATGTAATCAGAGTACAAATTGGATTACAGTTACTTTGTTGAAATAAATGGATTACACAGCGGGATTTTCCTGTTTTTACATTTTGGGCTAAACCAGGACTAAAACCAGGACTAAATTAGGTCTAAACCAGGTCTAAACCAGGACTAAACCTGGATTAAACCAGGACTAAAACCAGGACCAGGACTAAACCAGGACTAAAACCAGGAAAACTAAAACCAGGACTAAAACAGGAAAACTAAAACCAGGACTAAAACCAGGACTAAAACCAGGACTAAAACCAGGACTAAAACAGGACTAAACCAGGACTAAACCAGGACTAAAACCAGGTCTAAAACCAGGACTAAAAACAGGACTAAACCAGGAAAACCAGGACTAAACCAGGACTAAACCAGGACCAGGAAAACCAGGACTAAAAACCAGGACTAAACCAGGACTAAACCAGGACTAAATCTAAACCAGGTCTAAACCAGGACTAAACCAGGATTTAAACCAGGATTAAAACCAGGACTAAACCAGGACTAAACCAGGGACTAAACCAGGTCTAAACCAGGACTAAACCAGGACTAAACCAGGTCTAAACCAGGACTAAACCAGGACTAAACCAGGTCTAAACCAGGACTAAACCAGGTCTAAACCAGGACCAATTTGAAGAGAACAAACATGAATGTTCAGGATGTGGTTGTTATATTCATGTAGTTTTAAAAAACATGACAATATCAAGTAATCCAAAGTATTCAGATTACATTACTCACTTTAAGTAATTTAATGGATTACGTTACAAACTACATTTTGGTGTGTGTAATCTGTAATCTGTAGGGGATTACATTTTAAAAGTCACCTTCCCAACACTGTGTATCAGACATGGCAAACTCCAAATTTGGCCCGTGAGATCATATCAAACATGTATTAGATTTGCCCGCCGGCTACAGATCGACTATAGAGACATTATTTATTTAAAATGTTGTTGTTATTTTATATTCTGCTTGTTCTGGATTCAATGTTTAAGCAAAACTATTATTAAACATTTATTTTAATAAGAAAAGGTTTAATATTACATACCTCGAAAGAAGAGAAAACATGCAGATGTTGTTGAAATTTATCAATAAATATTTAGTTTGGTTCCAGTTTTTAATTTTGGCCCAATGTGAATTTGAGTTTGACTCCCCTGTTTTACTATCCTGATTCATTAGAAGGTTTCACTTCATAGAAACTGTCTGACCTCGCAGCATTAGGATTCGTTCTCTCGACAGTAGGCGGGTACTTTTTTTATTTAACCAATCGCTGCTGTTTGGTCGTGACGTTTGTAATGCGCCGCTAACGGGACTAACTGGTATATTAAGCTTTTCCCAAATCCTGTGGGAAGAAGGACAATAACGTCTTTCCCCTTGATAAAATTCAACAGACATTGTCTTTGCTTCTGGCTTTAAATCCTCGATCTCGGGAATCATTGACAACACAGAATGTCTGACTCTTCGCTCATTGGCTGGTGCCCGAACTCGCACTTCCGGGGTTTCTGCGAACTGTCTAGGTCACAGGTGTCAAACATACGGCCCGGGGGCCAGATCCGGCCCTCCAAGACCTTTAATCTGGCCCTCGGCTGATTTTCTACTAAAATATTTTAATTATATTTTCTATTAAAATATTGGTAATTTTCTGCTGTGTTTATCACAGGTGTTTACAAGAAAAATGGACTTATTCCTATTTACAGACAAGTTCATGTTAAAACATTGTGTTGAAATTGCATTTTTTTTAAAGTTTCAGGTTGTTCATAATATTATAATATTTTGTAAAAGAAAGAGTTCATCAATTAAAAAAAAGATTTGTGTAATAGATTTGTGTTTCTCTGCACAAATATTTGAACTTATTGTTATTTTTGGGGTTTATATGACATGAGTTTTCTGATCCGGACACTTTGGGATCAAAGTCGGTTGGATACGACCCCCGGAACAAAATGAGTTTGACACCCCTGGTCTAGTGTATTCTGATTCCTGATCTAGTCGCTGGATTGAAATTAAATTGAGCGGAGGCACTAGGTGGCACCAGCCTGGTTAGCTTTAGTCCATGCATGAGGTAAAATGATAAAATATGTGTATTTTTTAATTACAATTTATCTTAAATGGGCCGATCAGAGTCAAACAAATGGTCCGGGAGCTGCACAAGGCCTGATATATTTGATCTCTTCTATATATGTACATAAAACATAGAAAGTAGTAAAAGTTGGAAGAAAAAAAAACATTAATTGAGAAGGTTTTGACTGGTAGTATCTTAAACAAGGTGACAAAAGGTCCTAGAGATGATCAGCCTTTTTTTGACACTTATAAACTACAAAATCATTCGACTAAGAAAACAAAAAAAACATCCTCACATTTTATCCTGAAATATTTGGGCTAGTTACATCACAATATTCGATTCAAATTTGAAGTAAATCTGTCCAAAAATGTGTTTTTAATCTTTTATTCCCTTGTATTTCCTTTGTAATTACATCATAGATTCTACAGAACTCTCCTCTTGTGTGACTCAGAGGCATAAATCAGTAAAACATTGTTCTTTTTGATGATTCATCACACTGTACTGTATACATATGTAGGCGTAATACCTTGACAAACGAGCGCAGGTAGTGCTCCACGCCTTCCTCGTGGCATTTGGACACTATATGAATAATCACCCTGTAATAAACACATTTTAAGAGCACATCAGCACGGCGCAGGTTAAACCGTGAGAACTGGAGGAGGAGGAGGAGGAGACACTGACCGCAGAGAGTTGACGGCCGTCTCCTGGGCCTCTTTGGTCGCTGTGGTGAGCACCTCGAACAGCTGCATTAGCACCGTGGGCAGGAAGTGGATCATCACGTGCGTCTCCATGGCATGAAGGCACTGGATGAGAGAAAGGACAGAACGAGGGCGCAAATGTTTAACGAGCAGATCAAGCGTAATGTCCAATGAAAAAGCCTGTGTTTATGTTTAAGTCTGTGTTTCTGTCAATCATCATATCATCTTTGTAATGTTTCCTTACGACTTCTTGTATTTAACTGTGATATACTGTGTTAAACTGTGATATCCAGTCCAGCTTTATTTCTATAGCACATTTTATAAACAAGTTTCTAAATGTAAAACAGTTTCCTTAAAAAAAAAGAAAAAGAAAAAAAATAAATAAGTTGAAATATGTTCCAACCAAGAAGCAACTAATAGAGCCAATAAATAAAATAATTATAATAAATAATAATAAAATCAATAGATAATAGCAGTACTAAAAAATAAAACAAATAAAAATAATAAGTAAATTAAATAAAAATAAATTAAATCAATAAATAAAAATAAAATAGATAAAAACAATAATTAATTTTTTTTTTTTTAAATGTATACAAAAAATAAATAAAAATAAAATAAAATGAAAAGAACATAAAAAATAACAGCAAACATAACATAAAAAATAAAATAAAATAACAAACATAACATAAAAAATAAAAAATAACATAACATAAAAAATAAAATAAAATAACATACATAACAAACATAAAATTAAAAAAAATAAAATAAAATAAATAAATAAAAATAAAATAAAATAAATAAATTAATTAATTAAAATAAAATAAAATAAACACAGAGGACCACACAACTCACAGAGGAATTAAAAGCCAGAGAATAAAAGTGGGTCTAAAGATGAGACTTAAACCATTCCACTGTGATATTCTGTATTAAACTCTGATATACTTTATTAAACTATGATATACAGTATTTATATTACCATATTTGTGGTATACCTGCTGTACATACTTTTAAATAATTTATGTCTTATTTGACACCAGTCTCTTGCTTTTTATTGCTACTTATTTAGAAGTTTATTAAATAAAAAAATAATAATTAAATACATTTTTTACTTTGTTCTTGTGATATGATGTGATGTGTGAGCTGCTGTGTCCAAGTCATTTCCCTTGTGGATCAATAAAATCTCAGTCTAAGTTTAAGTCTATCCAGAGAAAACAGAAACCAGGGATGAAATAATTTTGATTGTTTTAAATGTTTAACAATTAGTTGGATTGTGTTTATTTTAAGGAGACACTGTTAGTGTTTTTTTGGAAATTAGTTGGTCTAATGTAAATAGTTTCTTTAATGTGTTTTGTACCTGCCCGAGGATTGCAGATGGAAAGGATCGTAGAGCTAAATCTGGCACAGGGCATCTTTTCTCTGAGATAAATGTTGTCTGTGCACTGTCCTTGTTTTAAATAAATAAATAAATAAAATATGTATGTAATAAAAAAAATCTAATGATACTGATACTGGAGCACGTATGTAAACATATAAACATTCTTTAACTAAAATGTGGACAACCTCAAACTAGGGGTGTGCAAAAATATTGAAATATCGATATATCGTATCGTTTAATGTGTTGATACAGTATTGATATCGTGGGCTGCTGTATCGATATATCACCAAGAGTATTTTTTGCTATATTTTACTAAATTATTTTGTTTCAGCTACAGTTTTGTTGTTTGTTTAGTTGAAGGAAACTTGTTTATGCGACAAATTTAACATTTTCACAGTTTTGATGATTAAAATATTTGTGTTTCGTATCACAGCCACGATTTAGTCTTTATTTTTTATTGAACCGCATCGATTTGATTTGAAATATATCGTATTGAATCGTATCGAATCGTAAGCTTCACTGTATTGAGGTATGTATCGTATCGGCAACTAAATTTTGTTCAGAATCAATGCTCACGTATGGCATCTGTAAATTATTTTTTCCATTTCAAACAGTCATGATACAGAAGACAGTGAAGGTGTTGTAATGTGATGTGTTTTTTTTTTACTTCAGTCTGTATTTTTTTACTCCACTTTGGATTTTTGTCTCACCTTCAGGTATTTGATCAGATCTGCAGGGCTGCCCTCAGAAGTCGACCTCATCAGCTGGCAGTGTTGGAAAAAGTTATGGAGATGCAAGTCCTGAGAAAAGACCAAAATGTTGTTAAAGCAAAGTTTATATTCGCTGGTGAATCATTATATTATAGAACGTCGTACCTGAGCGTAGATGGTGGAGGCGACGTGAGTTCTGACTTTGAAAAGGGTTTTGGCGTTTTCCACCCATTTCACGTCGGGCTGGGACTGAGACGAGAGCGAGAAAGTCGGAGTTTGAATATTTATTTAAAGTCAGGAAATACATTTAAACCGAGAAACACACAAAACCTTCTTAGAGTCGTGGCCCAGGTATCCCGGAGGTAGAGTGGCTGCGACGGGTAACTGCACTTCCACAGACTTCATCCTTCCATCTCGGAGTAAAGGCATCCACGAGTAGCCCACTGAAACGAAAACACGACACTAGAGTCTGCAAACTGTGTAATAAAAAAATATTTTAATTTAGTCAATGCAAGAAAGACAAACATAAATAGGAGCGAAAAAGCATTAAGAGTACAAGATATTAGTTTGTAGAGATGATAACCAAGTAGGGAATAATGCCGCATCCTATTGTGCTCGGAAAACCAGCCTCCACCTCGAGAAAGTGCGATGGAACGGCCAATCAAATCGGGATTCTTAAACACAAACTGGGGCTAGTTCGGTGCAGACTGAGTTGGATGGACATTAAACTTTCTCGGGCATCCATATTGTCCCCGACTCTTGCAAAGGAACACATTTACAAAGGATGTTAGTAAAACTGACTCAGGACAGTATCCCAGGTGTGTGAGAGTAAAAAAAGCCCCCTCATCCCCGTTTATAGTCCCGTGGGCACGTTTTCATATTTCGATATTTCGCTTCTTTAGGGGGCTTTTTTACTCTCACACACCTGGGATACGGTCCTGAGGAAGTCGGACTGCAGATGGTAAGAAGACAGCGCTCAAACTTTTAAGTGTGCAAAAATACTGAAATATCGATATACCGTATTTTCTGCACTATTAGTCGCTCTGGATTATAAGGCGCACTGTCATTAAATGGTCTATTTTTGAACTTTTTTCACAAATAAACTGCGTGGGAAGAGAAATACAGCGACAGTCCTTGTGCGCGTTCAGAATTACTGTTGAAGTTTCCTGTCTAGAAGTAATTCAGCGACTGACGCGTCAGTTTTTAGACTCTTCGTCTGCTTCGGTCGCGCCATCGCTGGACGAGATCTCCAAGAATCACCTCAGTTTGGCTTTGCTCCTTTTCCTCTTCTCTTCTTCTTTCAGCGACCTCAAAAACGGACTTTCTTTCGCGGTGAACCGGTCGTGGATTCTCGTCCGCCGTCGCGACAAACTTTGTGTGAAATGCGAGGAAGCGACAGTTCGAAAAAGCCTCTAAGAACCGCTGCGTAAACCACGTAATCCCCGCGCTCCGACGAGTCAGTTACACTAGGGAGTTTGATTGACAACCTAACAGCCAATAGAAAATGAGGGAGCCTCGTTTTCTATTGGCTGATGTTTATCTGGCCTCACTACGTCCACAGTTGATAGATTTTTGTTCTTTTTTTTTTTGGTCATCATAATTACAAAGCTGCTGCGTCTCTGTAATGGTATTTTAATCTTTCACTGACAGTTTGAAACAAAAAAAAATCCTCCATACAACCTTTAAAGGAAACCCAACAGTGTGATGGGTGAGTGGTTTTGTTTGTTTGTTCGTTCACGGTGACTCTGGGCTTTGTTCAGTTGTGGCGTGTAGGGAGGGTGTGTCTGGGACCACTGGATTGTCGGCGTGTTCGCAGTGACTCAGTTGTTCAGTCGTGTCTAGAAGCGGCACGTCGCGCTCGCTTTTTTCGGTTCGTTCCTCCGTTCCGTTCCTCGTCGGCGTGGAGTGATGAGTGTGTCTGTGGGTGTGTTTCTCTGTGCGGTCGCTGTCTGCTCCGTGTGTGTTTGCGTGTTCTGCGGGTGTTGCGGCTTTGTAGTTTACTGAAGTCGTACTGGTACACCCGAGTGGATTCGTGTATGGGGCGCTCTGGATTGTGGCGCAAGGTCGTTTTTTGATGTGGTTAGAGGCTTAGTCTAATGGCCCGGAAAATATGGTATTGTATTTTTTAATAAGATGATACAGTATCAATATTGGGGACTGCTGTATCGATATTTCGAGTATTTTTGTTATATTTTACTAAATAATTTTCTTACAGCACGAAAAATTTTGTTGCTTGTTTAGAGGAAGGAAACTCGTTTATGCGACACATCTGACATTTTCACTGTTTTGATGATTAAAATGTTTGTGTTTCATATGAACTTTGCACAAGAAGAAGTGATTTAACAAAACCTTTTTGTATCACAGCCAGGCTTTAGTCTTTATTTTTATTGAACCGTATCATATCGATTTAAAATACATCGTACTGAATCATAAGCTCACTTTATCGAGATATGTAATGTACCGTGGCCAAACGTTTATACATCATGTCAGTAATTTCTTAATGATACTCAGCCGTACTAAAACCTGTATAAATCAGCTGAGCGACACGTCACAGCAACATCACGAGACTCTGAGGAGCAGTCGAAACTGTCAGGTATAAAAACAAACTTTTGGTCTCAAAAATGAACCTAATAACATAAATTGAACTAAAGCAGCACAGTTGTTTTTTTTCTTAACAAACTTAAAGTGAAACGTACCCAGAGTCTCCACCCCTTCTCTCTTCTTGCTGCTGGTCTTACTGCTGGACTCACAGCTGATGTGGTAGAAGGTGAAGAGGATGTGGTGTTTCTCGTGCACGTGGACTGGCAGTTCAACTTTGATCTGGAAAAAATAAAAGTAAGACTCTACAGTAAATGAATAAATGCCCTGTTCTGTTTCAATTTCCTGTATTAAAACGTATTGTTAAAAATCATATTCAACTGTTAAATTCAGATTAAAGTCAGCTGAAACTTTTGAAATCTTTGTCCAAGTCTAATATGAACTTTACTCCTCAAATCCAGCAGGGGGCAGCGTCGGTTAATAAGTGGATCAGCAGATTGACAGGAAATGACACATGAAAAATGCATCAGCGGCACAACTAACCTGAGTTGCTAAATACTTAATGACAAATCAATGTGTCACTCTGTTAATCTGTCAGGTAGCAGTATGTGCACGCACGAGGCCCGGTGCATTGTGGGAGGAAGCGCACAGTCATACCCAGAGTGAATGACAGGAGGGGGGGGTGGGGGGGCAGAAGTCTGGTCTGATGTTAATCCTGCAGATACGAGGCACATATGGAGCCCTCGGTTTTCATCCACTTAAACATGTCATTTAGGGTCGGCCCCCAGAGTTTATTCTCATGCAGATTTGTGGGGATTATTAAAAGACACGCAACAGGCAGGACGTGAAGACATGTTTGGGTTTGTGGACCACTGAGCGTGCAGTTAAAGTACAACCAAAATAACCTAGAAAAAATAACACGCTTTTGCTTTCAGAGGGCTCCTTTTTCATGAAGGGTTGGCATTTATTTTATTATTTTACTTTATTACATTTTTATAAAATTATTATTTTTTATTATTTATTTTTTTATTTTGTTAAATTTTTTATTTATTTTTTATTATTATTATTTTTTTTTACTTTTATTTATTTTTATTTTGTTTATTTTTTTTATTTTATTATTTTATTGTTTATATTTACTTTTATTTATTTATTTTTATTATTTTTATTTTGCTTTCAGATGGCTCCTTTTTCATGAAGGTTTGGCATTTATTTTATTATTTTTATTATTTTTTATTTTATTTCTTTTATAAATTTTTTTTTGCTTTATTTAGTTTTGTTTTTATTTTTATTTATTTTTTCTTTACTTTAATTTATTCATTTTTATTGTATTTATTTTATTTAGCTTTTTAGTTAGCTCCTTTTTAATGAAGGGTTGACATTTATTTAATATTTTATTATTATTATTATCATTATTATTATTTTTTTTTTTTTCTTTTTGAACTTATTAATTTAATATATATATATATATATATATATATAATTATTCATAATATAATTTTTTCCCCCTTAAATTAGTATGTTTATTTTTATGTTGTTTTGTCCACTGTTTTCCTTATTGTCTGTTTAATATGAGAAATGTTTTGTCCAGGTTGAGTCAGACAAGTTTGCATCAGACAAGCTTAAAAAGAATTGTTTGTAGCCTGCGCTCCTCCAGTTTTTTTTTGTTTTTTTTTAAAGTACTATAATTATGACTGATTCAGAGTTGCCAGCGCCTAAACCTGCAGACAGAACACAAACCAGTTCACCTCGTGTAAAAACTCAGAATTTCAGAATTTACTCCCTGAACACAGAAAATTTTAGGTTTAAACCAACTGGATTTCAGCACCAAAACTGGAAATCCAAATGCGAGAGTCATGTGAGGCTCATTCTGCTTCCTGATTGGATAATTGTCCTAAGAACCAAAACAACAAATTATAATAAAAACCTCAATTTATACATCACGTCTAATGTTTTTGTAATTAAGAATAAATCAGCATTACAATAGTAGCTGAGATTTTTATTAGCTATTTTTCTATTTTATTTTGACTTGGACATTTACATTTATATAATTATACTTTATCTGACACCAGTCTTTTCCTCTTTTGTGAATTATTTAGAATTTATTATGACCATTTATGTTTTTTTCTCTTTGTTATTATATTTTATTGTGATGTGTGAGCTCCTGTGACCAAATCAATTTCCCTTGTGGATCAATAAAGTTTGTCTAAGTCAAAGTCTAAGTCAAGTTTTATCAGTTTGATCCAATATTACAGACATTTTGTAATATTCTTTAGCTGGAAGTGTTGAATCAAATTGACCAGGTCGGCTGTGGAACGCTCTTGGAGGACTGAAGGATTTCACGAATAAAAATAAAAATATTATAAACCACAGAACTAAATGTAAGACTTTAAAACACTACAGAAGTTAGACATCTCAACTCACCTCGTCGTAGAACTCGGGGCTCTGGTTGTGGTGCAGAACGGCTGCGTAAGCTCCGCTGGTGAAGAGCGAGTCCCCCGGCTTTCCGTAGATGCACTGCAAGATAAAAGAAAAGCAAGTGGGTCAATAATCGAGATCAGCGACAGCGGCAAGTTTACACAAAACATGAACAAGGCCAGTGTGAGAAATTCTATTCTTCAACACAGAATATTTAATAACTGAGACACTGACAGATCTACGGTTTCATTTTTGTCATGTTAAATCAACTCCCGGAATCATTTCTTTAAAGTGACTCTGCTGGTCCAGTTTGTTTCAACTTTCTCAAAAAGAACAGACAGTAGTAAAACATCCATCCATCCATTTTCTTCCTCTTATCTGGGGCTGGGTCGTGGGGGCATCAGTCTAAGCAGGGACTCCCAGACTTCCTTCACCCCAGACACGTCCTCCAGCTCCTCCGGGGCGATCCCGAGGTGTTTCCAGACATAGGCTGCGTTCAGACTGCAGCCTGAAGTGACCCAAATCCAATTTTTTGGCTTCTATGTTCCTGTATCTGATCTTTTAATGTCAGTCTGAACGACATTTTTTTCAAATGTGACCCAGGACACTTGGATATGTGCTCCTGAAACTGATACATATCTGATCTTTTGACATGTGACTTCAGTGTGAACGAACAAAGTGCATTCATCCACCTACACGTTATCAACAAGACACAAACGTCACTATTCTGCGCTGAAGTCGGCGAAAATTGTTAATGAACTCTGTGTGACTGAAGTGAAGCACATCACCACTCACCACTCTTGGCTCCGTCTCCACATCCACACGTTCCTTTCAACGGACTGAACCCACAAAACACCACGGCCAAAAACCTCGTCCTTCTCCTTCTCAATCTCCTCCTTAAAACAAGTAAGTTGTTCATGTTCTGGCTCCGGTACGAGAGGAACTTTAAAATCTCCAGGTGCTCGATGCTGCCTCCATGTTTGGACAACTTCTGTAAACACAGAGACGCTCGCTGCGGTTGACGTCGTCGTGTCTCCAGTGTCACATGTGGGACACTTTTGGGCCGTTTAATGTTCACACTGGAGTCACATACAAGTCACATTTAACTGGAAATGTGAACGACCTCGAAAAAACATCGGATTTCACAAAAAAATCGGAATTGAGCGTTAAGCCCTGCAGTCTGAACGTAGCCAAAGTCCCTCCAGTGTGTCCTGGGTCTTTTCCCTGGGCCTCCTTCTGGTGGGACCACAAAACCTCCGTCCTCTAAAAAGTCAGACCTCATAATCGCTTGGCGCTATTTTCTCTCCGTACGTATCACTGCACCGCTTGTTTCACTTTGTTTACTGCTCGGAATATTCGCCTCTTCTCTCTCTCTGCCTAATTTCATCTAACTCTCTCTGGCGAATTTCGACATTGGTATATTCAGGTTCAAAAAGATCTCCCATTGGCTCTGTGCTAAAATCAGTTTCTTCATCATCGGTGTCGTAGTCAGACATGTTGTTGCTGACATTCCGAGCAGTTAACAAAGTGAAACAGGCGCGGCTGTCACCTGGCGGCCGCGCGCAGTGATACGTACGGAGAGAAAATAGCGCCATTATGAGGTCTGACTTTTTAGAGCACAGGTGTCAAACATACGGCCTGGGGGCCGGATCCGGCCCTCCAAGACCTTTAATCTGGCCCTCGGCTGATTTTCTACTAAAATATTTTAATTATATTTTCTATTAAAATCTTGGTAATTTTCTGTGGTGTTTATCACAGCAGCGTCTCCAGCGTCTCTGTACGTGGCCCCTCCCACCAGAGCAGCACAAATGAAGACTTGTCTCTTTCCAAACGCTCTTAAAGGACGATCGTTTTGACTGTTGACCGTGACACCCTCATCAGAAAAATGTCCAACATGAGAAAAGTGGAGCCGAGTGCAGGATTTTACAACAAAAATGACTTATTCCTATTTACATACAAGTTACTTTTAAAATGTTGTGTTGAAATTGCATTTTTCTTAAAGTTTCATGTTGTTCATAATATTATAATATTTTGTAAAAGAAAGAGTTCATCAATTAAAAAAGATTTCTGTAATAGATTTGTGTTTCTCTGCACAAATATTTGAACTTATTGTTATTTTTGGGGTTTATATGTCATGATTTTTCTGATTCGGCCCCTTTGGGATCAAAGTAAGTTGGATACGGCCCCCGGACCAAAATGAGTTTGACACCCCTGCTTTAGAGGACGGAGGTTTTGTGGTGCAAATGTATCACTCTTTTTAACACATGTTGTTTTGAGAAGAAAAACGCTTTAGTATACAGTCCCCAGCCAACTTGCTGAACACACAGATTCATGTAAAAAAACCTGAACTATCCCTTTAAGGAGAGATTTTTAGACTATGCCAAGGCACCATAAAGTCTCTCCTACATTTCATTTCAAAGATGCGAGCTGGAAATCCATGATAAAAAAGTTAAATCAAGATGTTACAATCATAATCAGCTCGAACTAAACGTATTTTAGTGAGCAGTTAAGGTTCTAAAAGCAACAAACTGAGATGGATAAAACGTTGGTGATGTGGGCAGAGTTTTTATCAGATCAGAGAGTTTTTATCAGATCAGAGCCCACATCGCGGGTTCCAGATTAAACGGTTTTGGTTTGACTGTCGCCATCCAAACGTGTCCAGCAGGACGTCTGATGAGAACACGGATAAACTCGAGTCAGGACGAAGCTCAAAACTCACAACCGAGAGTTTTATCTGTCGGATAGAAAACATGACCACACAAGAACGGAGCGCAGCAGAGACCGACCAGCACCCGGGTCTGGAAGTCAAGGTCCGGTTCTTTTATTCCAAAGGAGATTTTAAAGTTTGTGCAGGACTAATCAGCTGTTTGTTTGTTAAATAAATAATAAAATCTAGTATTTTATATGAAATCTGAAACATAATTTAGCTTATAGTAGCGGTGAGACCAGGACTGAGACCAGGACTGAGACCAGGACTGAGACCAGGACTGAGAACAGGGACCAGACTGGGACTGAGACTGGGACTAGACCAGGACTGAGACCGGTACTGAGACCAGGACAGACCGGGAACAGACCAGGACTAAGACCAGGACTGAGACCAGATTTAGACCGGGACTTAGACTGGGACCAGACCGGGACCAGACCGGGACTGAGACCGGGACCAGACTCGGACCAGATCGGGACTGAGACCAGGACCAGACTGGGACCAGACTGAGACCAGACCGGGACCAGACCAAGACTGAGACCGGTACCAAACCGGGACTGAGACTGGAACCAGACCGGGACTGAGACCGAGACTGAGACCGGGACCAGACCGGGACTGAGACCAGGACCAGACTGGGACCAGACTGAGACCAGACCGGGACCAGACCAGGACTGAGACCGGTACCAAACCGGGACTGAGACCAGTACCAGACCGGGACTGAGACCAGTACCAGACCGGGACTGAGACCGGAACCAGACCATGACTGAGACCGAGACTGAGACCGGGACCAGACCGGGACCGAGACCGAGACCAGGACCAGACTCGGACCAGACTCGGACCAGACTCAGACCAGACCGGGACTGAGACCGGAACCAGACCGGAACCAGACCGGGACCGAGACCAGGACCAGACTCGGACCAGACTCAGACCAGACCGGGACTGAGACCGGAACCAGACCGGAACCAGACAGGGACCGAGACCAGGACCAAGACTGGGACCAGACCAGGACTGAAAACGGTTCCCCCAAAAAGTGCGACTTATATGTTTTTTTTCTTCTTCATTACGCATTTTTTGGCTGGTGCGACTTATATTTCAGAGTCACTTATAGTCCAAAAAATACGGTAATCTGATTTTCAACACATAATCACTTGCATTTCAAAACTTCTGTGATAAAACAAAATCTAAACGTAAAACTACCGGCTTCTAATTGTTTGTTTTGAATGTTCATATTCCCCCCAATGAGATTTTCACGCGTCTTTCTGCTCACTGCTCGTACACAAACGTCTCCCTCAGCGCCGCCGCACGTGGCTCATTTAAAACCAGAATTCCTCAGAGACGTGGTTGAAATGCCTGTGTGGCGTTCTCCCCCCGGGGCGTTAGTGTTTTTGGCGTTCCCTCCGCCGCGTCCTGCTGGAAAAGTGGGAGGCAAAACAGTCCGTCGTGTCGTGTTGTGAAGTCTGTTTCCACCCACAAATATTTAGCGCGTGTGGGAAACGCTGCCAGTGTATTACAGGCTTCCACTTGTAATAAGCAGCTTGTCCAGACTTTTCATAATATCCCTGCCCGACCTCTTAAACGCTTTTGTCTTTCACTCAAGTCGGATTTTACGATTTATTTACTTCAAATCCACAGAAACACATTGAGACTCCTTATATTGTAGAGTCTTATCCATCCATTTTCTTTCTCTTATCCAGGGCCGGGTCGTGGGGGCATCAGTCTAAGCAGGGACTCCCAGACTTCCTTCACCCCAGACACTTCCTCCAGCTCCTCCAAGGGGGACCCCGAGGTGTTCCCTGTCCAGCCCAGAGACATAGTCCCTCCAGTGTGTCCTGGGTCTTCCCCGGGGCCTCCTCCCGGTGGGACAAGAACATCTCCCGAGGAAGGCGTCCAGTAGACATCAGAACAGAAGCCCGAGCCTCAGCTGTTCTTCTTGACGTGGAGGAGCAGCGGCTCTACTCTGAGCTCCTCCCGTGTGACTGAGCTCCTCATTCTATCTCTAAGGGAGCACATTTTTTTCATGTTAAATCAACTCCTGGAATCATTTCTTTAACGTGACTCTGTTGGTCCACTTTGTCAAAAAGAACAGACAGTAGTAAAACGTCCATTCATCCATTTTCTTCCGCTTATCCGGGGCTGGGTGTGGGGGCATCAGTCTAAGCAGGGACTCCCAGACTTCCTTCACCCCAGACACATCCTCCAGCTCCTCCAGGGGTGATCCCGAGGTGTTTCCAGACAAAGTCCCTTCCAGTGTGTCCTGGGTCTTCCTTCTTCTGGTGGGACATGCCCAGAACACCTCCAGAGGCAGAAGCCCAGGAAGCATCCGGAACAGACGTCCTCCCCTCAGCTGCTCCTCTCAACGTGGAGGAGCAGCGGCTCTACTCCGAGCTCCTCCCGTGTGACTGAGCTCCTCACTCTATCTCTAAGGGAGACGCCCAGACACCCTGAGGAAACTCATTTCAACGGCTTGTATCCACGATCTCGTCCTTTCAGTCATTACCCAGAGCTCATGACCAGAGGTGAGGGGAGGATTGACTGTAAATTGATCTAGGATTAACATAAAGTAGAGCCCTGTGACCCGACGCAAAACAGTGCGGCGCGGGACACATTTTGAAAGCTCTTAGTGGGCAGGAGCGGGACTACACAGTGCGGGCGTGGGCGAGTGGGATGATAAACTACAGTCCCGCAAACTAAATATGAGTGTAAAGTAAAATATATAAATGGCTGTCATACATCATTTGTGCTGGATATTTCATTTGGCATTAATAAAAACATTTTAAGCAGCCTAAGCGGATTTGTCCTTTCCGCTTCTCCGTGTCTGATTGAGCTTAAGAAAGCGAACGTCCCCTTCTTGCGGCAGGAGCAGGACTGAAAATTCTATCCACAGAGCTCAGTAGAGCGTAGATCCATATGTCAGTGTCACTGTCATGTCAGTGTGAAATTAACAAACATGTAAAATTATATATTTTAATAGATAAGTTGTACCGAAGCATATGGGTCCAGTCAAGCAGTAACGGAGGGAAACAGGCAGATTTTTGACATTCAAATGTCTCTTATTCAGAAACTAGAGGAACTATTGAAATAAGTAAAGTATCAGAATGTAGGAAAGAGTTACACTCCAACAGGGTCAAGTTAAACCTGTGATATTCTTTCAAGTTGTTGACAAAAAATTTAAAATCTCATGTCGGTAACGGAGGGAATGAAATATGCAGAACTTTTTGGGCAATAAATCCAAACAGTGATAACTCTTGGTTCTCACTTACATATCCTTAACAAACTGGTTTGAATATTTGCTTCATATAGTTTTCTACCATATGGTACAAGATTAGGTTGAAAAACCTCTTACTTTTTGACTCATGAGATTTTTTATTAAGAAAGGTCATGGTAACGGAGGGAAAAGTAACGGAGGGAAAATTGTACAAACAAGTAGAAGGTGCAGGATTTTACATCATTTGTCGTTTTTTTCTTCCAAATACTTTAATATTACTTCAAAATGAAAGGAAACTATTTCTATAAAATATGTCAGTCCTTCCAAGCAAATTTTTATCATTTTAAATACATTTAAAAAAAAAAATCATGTACCTTCATCAACAGTTCAAAGATGGAATAACACAAGATATGATGAAATACATCCATTTATTTACATGATTTTTGGGTCTTTGAAATTTGGGAAATAATTTTTGTTCCATGTTTCATACATGGTCTGTTTAAAACATATGGAACTTTAGAACCAAAAATGGTACAGAAAAAAGGTCAACAGTTTCATAAACTAGAGTACATATGTATCTGTTCAATACATTTTTATATCAGATGAATTAACTTGAATTTTTGGCCTTGTTGTTTACTTCTGCTTGACTGGGCCCATAAGTCCCAGGAAACACCCAAACCATGAAAAAAAGTGCGGCTTATACACCAAAAAATACGGTATCTAGTCATTTTGACAACACAGCAGCTCACCTTTAACGGGCTTGCTCCTTCTTCATCCGAGTCTCTGAACTGGATACACACGGCAATGTTTCTGGCCTGCGCACGACAAAACAAAACATCACATAGTCAACGCACGCAGCCGAGAAGCCAAGAACACAATCAGCGAGAGTGCTCCCGCCCATCAGTCAAACGAAAGTGAAGGACGCGGCGCGGACCTTGGTGAACGTCTTCTGGTTGTCGTACTTGAGCTGCAGCGGGTACACGTACAGCTGGTTCTTGTAGGTGGTGAAGGGGCAGTTGTATTTCGCCTCTTGGGACAGAAACTCCTCGACCTCCACGGAGACGCGCTCACAGCTGTCCTCGAACGGCTTCACGGGGATGTACGACGACGTGACCGTGTCTAAGAAAAAAAGGAAATAAATGAACAGGTTTTATACGTTTTTCAGGCTTTTTTGACTTTTCAAATCAAAGTTAAAGGTGTAACTTTTCTGGTGGAGGGTCCGTCACCTGCTTGGAATGTTCCAGAGTGTGACATTAAACAGCTCTACCTTATATTTCTTAGATTTATTCAGTTACAGGTGGTTTTAGAGCTCAAAAATACTCAGAAAAACACAATTCTGACTGTGAGCGGGGTCTCCTGTCCACAGATCTGACCTGTAACTTGGTCTGGTTTGGTCTCCGTGAAGACAGAAAGGTTTAATGCCACACTGTGAAACATTCCAGACAAAGCGATAACATGATTTAACTTCTGTCCCTTCATTTAAAAATGCTCTGGTTCAATATTTACAGAATCCATGTAATTTTGTTGTTCATCTTGTTGTATTCTGTGATTATCTTTGAACTCTGTTTTATTTATTTTTATTTATTTATTTATTATTATTATTATTATTATTATTTTATTTTATTATTATTTTTTCAAATTTGTTTTATTATGTGTCAAACAGTCAAGTGTGAGTGAGTGTGTGACTCTGTGTGTGTGTTGGTGTTTGTGTTGATTTTGTTGTTTTGATGCTTATTTGAACTTATGTCTCCTTCTGTCTGCTCTACTGTATCTGTCTTTTGTCGTATTTACGAGGACCCCCTCGAAAACGAGATGGCGAAACATCTCAAGGGGCTTATCCTCCAAACAAATAAATTCAAATTCAAATGTCCTCGGAGAAAAGCTTTCGTTATAGTTACACAGACACAGGGTTAGGACAGTTTGGGAGTGTTTCTACTATGAAAAGCAAAGAAAACCACTGATTTATATTCTGCTAAATTAAAATAAACACATGTTAAATTTCACAATAAAACATTTATGGTCTTTGGGAAGACTATGCAGTGTTTCCCACAGACCAAGAAGCATCGTGTGGAGTGAAATACTGAAACAGCATTAGTCTATTTGGTGCTTAAGCCTTATCAGAACACCTCCTTTTACGTGGCTTTTCTGAAAAATAACTCAAGTGCCCGATCGTAAGAGAACTCCTTGGCTTGTGGTCCATTTATTTTAGGGGTGTCAAACTCATTTTGGTCCGGGGGCCGTATCCAACCTACTTTGATCCCAAAGTGTCCGGATCAGAAAACTCATGTCATATAAACCCCAAAAATAACAATAAGTTCAAATATTTGTGCAGAGAAACACAAATCTATTACAGAAATCTTTTTTAATTGATGAACTCTTTCTTATTATAATATTATAATATTATGAACAACCTGAAACTTTAAGAAAAATTCAATTTCAACACAATGTTTTAACATGAACTTGTTTGCAAATAAGAATAAGTCAATTTTCTTGTAAAATCCTGCACTCGGCTCCACTTTTCTCATGTTTGGACATTTTTCTGATGAGGGTGTCACGGTCAACAGTCAAAACGATCGTCCTTTAAGAGCGTTTGGAAAGAGACAAGTCTTCATTTGTGCTGCTCTGGTGGGAGGGGCCACGTACAGAGACGCTGGAGACGCTGCTGTATGCTCAGAAAATTAACAATATTTTAATAGAAAATATAATTAAAATATTTTAGTAGAAAATCACCCAAGGGCCACATTAAAGGTTTTGGAGGGCCGGATCTGGCCCCCGGGCCTTATGTTTGACACCTGTGATTTATTGCGTGGGGAAGAGCCTGGGCCAGACTACCCCTGGACTGTGCTGGGCCTTGTTATGGTTCCGAGTGTCGGGACGGAAGGTGCGCCCAGGTGCGACCGCTGAGTGATTGCAGGCGAAAGAACTGGCGTAGAGCGGAGGGGCAGTGTCTGGAGGTATAAGGAACAGTGTGATTGGTCTAACAGGTAGGACTATCCTGCGTGATGTCACATAGTACTTGAAACTGTAGTGGCCACTAGCCGGAGCACACACTCTCAGTTTTGGATTGTTTTTACCGTATTTTCCATGTGATTAGCCGCCGTCTTAAGCCTCTAACCCCATCAAAAAACGACAATCCAGAGCGCCCCATACACGAATCCACTCGGGTGTCCCAGTACGACTTCAGTAAACTACAAAGCCGCAAACACACACAGAACACGCAAACACACACGGAGCAGACAGCGACCGCACAGCGAAACACACCCGCAGACACACTCATCACTCCACGCCGACGAGGAACGGAGGAACGAACCGAAAAAGCGAGCGCGACGTGCCGCTTCTAGACACGACTGAACAACTGAGTCACTGCGAACACGCCGACAATCCGTTGGTCCCAGACAGCACCCTCCCTACACGAAAGTTTTAAAATGTAAAAAATTAACGATAACGATGGACAAAACTGAAATGCCGTTTACCAATATTAGAATTTCTGTCGAGATGAATGGAAAACTGGGCTTAAAGAGGGGGTATTTTTGGAGCTTTCTCCCGTGTTTCAACATTCCATCGTCTAAAAAAAACTGTCTGAAGAGGTTTTAGAGACATCCGCGTGTGTTTGAGTAATCTAGCGATCTCTCTGTACGAGATTTCTCCATAAATACGACAATAAACACGAATATTTTCCATAAACAGTACAAAAACGTGACAGAAAACCGCAGTAGTTTCGTTAGAGGGGACGCGCGGTGATTGTGTTGTGATCGCGCTCTGAAGGGGGAGCGACTTAGCAGCAAAACCGAAACTTATAAAACATGTTTCCTTTAAAGTCCCACGTGGTTTATTTGTGAAAAAAGTTCGAAAATAGACCAATTAATGACAGTGCGCCTTATAATCCAGAGCGACTAATCGTCCGATAAATACGATAGTCTAGTTTGGACTAAAATTGCCAAAAAATACTAGGAACATTACAAAGTACTATTAAAACACCTTAGTAACACCACAGTAGCAAAGAACAAAGCTGATCCAGTGTTCCACTTTAAAACGTAAAATACTTTTCCGTAAAAAGAGTCGAGTGGAACAGAGCTTCTAAAAGGTTTGTGTTTCATGCACAAAATAAACAAAAATGAATGAAAATGAAACAAACAAAGGACTTTAGTCATTTTTTACGACGGAGTATAAGGGTCAGATAAAAAAAAATAAAACATGTTGGCGCTACGAGAATAAAGTCGTAACATTTCAACATTAAAGTCGTAATATTATGAGAATAAAGTCGAAGCCAGAAAAAGTCGTAATTTTACGAGAATAAAGTCGAAGTTAAAATAAAGTCGTAATATTATGAGAATAAAGTTATAATATTACGAGAATGAAGTCGTAATAAAATCAAAGTCAAAGTGAAAAATGCGGCAGAAGAAGAAACTTGTTTTTCAAGATAAAACTAAAAATAAGAAAAACGAACAACAATTTTCTTCATTATTTGCGCCTCCGGACTGAACCAGGACTAAACCAGGACTAAACGAGGTCCGGGACCAGACTGGGACTGAGACCAGGACTTAGACAAGGACTCAGTCAGGGACCAAGACTGAGACCGGGATCAGACAAGAACTGAGACCAGGATTGAGACCGGGAACAGGACCAGGACTGAAAACGGTTCAGTCCTGGTTCAGTCCTGGTTCAGTCCTGGTTCAGCCCTGGTTTAGTCCTGGTTCAGTCCGTATGTGGCGCAATATTCCCGCATCGCATTTTAAAGTCACATAAACGCCATTTCCCATTTCCGTGACTTAAACCAGGACTAAACCAGGACTAAACCGTTTTCAGTCCTGGTCTGGCCCCGGCCTCAGTCCCGGTCTGGTCCCGGTCTCAATCCTGGTCTTTCCGGTTTGGTTCCAGACCTGATTCAGTCCTTGTTCAGTCGAATGAACGAATGATACACGGATTCTTCTCCTTTACAAAATGCTCCAAATTCTCCACTCGTTCAGACTTTCCGAGCAGCTGATATTCTCAAAATATTATGACTTTATTTTGACTTCGACTTTATTCTCATAAAATTACGACTTTAATGTTGAAATGTTACGACTTTATTCTCGTAGCGCCAGCATGTTTTGTTTTGTTTTTTTCATCTGACCCTTATACTCAGTCTTAATTTTTCATGCTACACAAAGAAAAAAAAAAAAAATCTTACTTGAGAAATCCGGAGGAACACATTCGATAGTAACATTCAGTTGTCCGGGGATGGTCTGGAGTTTACTTTTCTCAGGCCTGTCGACGGAGAGTATCAACATCAAATCCAGTCGTACAGTAATACAGTTTGTCCCGTAGGTGCAAAAACAGCGTCAGAACGTACTTTCTGATGTCGGCCAGCAGCTTCATCGTGTCCTCCGTGGAGATTTTACTGCTGTCCTGGCGATACAGAGGAGAGAACTTCCCGTCCATGTCCAAACTGCCCTGAGCGTCTTTGAAAACCTGCCTAAAAATACACACGAAAAGATTAAAATAGTTTCAGAAGGTCGGATCTGAGGACGCAACTCCACACTTTTTAATGAACTTTATGGACGACTTTGTGTGCTTTGTGTATTTTTTGTATCAGTTTTTCTTTTAGAACTATGTGCCGAATAATATTTGTGTCTGAAATGAAAGAATAAATCAAAATAAACACGACATTGACTGAGTTCATAATGAGGCTGCATGTTCAGTCAAGTCCCGTGGTGAGCGGAGAAGCGACAATCTGCACGTTTCCCGCGATAATCTGCATTCTTTTGGGCGTTTAGCAGAAAGCACGTTCCCAATACTACGCTTTGATTCTCGTGCGTAGGCGTTCAAACATATGTATTCATTAATTCGTCGCCGTATTGTGGGTCGTATGGTGCAGCTGTCGTACTTGGCCGCCCAGGCGAACGGCATCCTGTACTGGCCCAGGCGCTGGCACGTCTGCTTGATGGATTTGAAGACCTTCTGAGCCGTCTGGGAAGAACACAGAATGTCAAAGAAACAAAAAAAAAAGTCAGAATGGAGAGTTTTTTTGTTGTTTTTTTTGGTTTCATGTTTAAAGTGCATATGACAGGTGCAGAAGCCCTGAGAGGCAAAAAAAATAATAATAATAATACGTTTTTCATTTTGCAAAAGCAACTCAATAATTTTTTTTTTTCACCGTTCCAGATATATTATATATTTATAGCGTTTTCCCACGATATTTCTGTAAATACCAAACTTCAGTGCCAGGAAACCAGTGGAAGATTTGCTCATGGCGTAAGGTTACGGGTTAGGACTTTGGGAGGCCGGTGTTCGAAACTCATCTGCTCCCAGTTACGTGTGTATTCATTCTTGCCGAATTCAGTCTTTTCATGAGTTTTACTTTTGAGTTCTCTTTTATGAGTAATATCAAAAGTAAGTTTGATGCATCACTGATCACACTACCGGCATAAGGCGCTGTTTTTCTGTTGTACTTTGTTGATGTGCTCCTGTTTAGGGTAACACTTTATAATAACTACACCTTATTTAGCCTTAATAAAGCATGAACAAAGACTTAATTAATAATGAACAAAGACTTAATTAATAATGATTCACGCTTAGTAAATGCTTAATAAAGGATAAGGTAACACTTTATAATAACTACACCTTATTTAGCCTTAATAAAGCATGAACAAAGACTTAATTAATAATGAACAAAGACTTAATTAATAATGATTCACGCTTAGTAAATGCTTAATAAAGGATAAGGTAACACTTTATAATAACTACACCTTATTTAGCCTTAATAAAGCATGAACAAAGACTTAATTAATAATGAACAAAGACTTAATTAGTAATGATTCACGCTTAGTAAATGCTTAATAAAGGATAAGGTAACACTTTATAATAACTACACCTTATTTAGCCTTAATAAAGCATGAACAAAGACTTAATTAATAATGAACAAAGACTTAATTAATAATGATTCACGCTGAGTAACTACTTAATTACTATCTTAATCAGCACTTGCACTTAATTTGCCTGTGCTGTAAATAGTTACTCATAATTATTTCATACTTAATTACTCATGATTATCCTTGGTATCAGTTTATAATAACTACACCTTACTTAGCCTTAATAAAGCATGAATAAAGACTTAATTAATAATGAAATAAGATTTAATTAATAATGATTCACGCTTAGTAAATACTTAATAAAGCACAATTCGTCTTCACTTTAGAAAAGCTCTCAAAAAGACTTAACTAACAGATAACAGCTGCCTGAATGATCATTGCTTTGCATTATTAGTAAATCATTCTCTCATAGCTTATTAATGATTAATAAATGTAATAAATGGTTAGTTCATGAGTAATTAAGTATGAAATAATTCTGAGTAACTATTTACAGCACAGGCAAATTAAGTGCAAGTGCTAATTAAGGTAGTAATTAAGTAGTTACTAAGTGTGAATCATTATTAATTAAGTGTTTCTTCATTATTAATTAAGCCTTTGTTCATGCTTTATTAAGGCTAAATAAGGTGTAGTTATTATAAAGTGTTACCTTATCCTTTATTAAGCATTTACTAAGCGTGAATCATTATTAATTAAGTCTTTGTTCATTATTAATTAAGTCTCTGTTTATTATTAATTAAGCCTTTGTTCATGCTTTATTAAGGCTACATAAGGTGTAGTTATTATAATGTGTTACCTTATCCTTTATTAAGCATTTACTAAGCGTGAATCATTATTAATTAAGTCTTTGTTCATTATTAATTAAGTCTTTGTTCATGCTTTATTAAGGCTAAGTAATGTGTAGTTATTATAAAGTGTTAACCAGCGTTTAAATATCATGACGTCAAGTTTGAATGACATGAGTGGTCAAACCTGTCGTATGCACTTTGACGTAAATATCAAATAAAGACCTTGGTGATGTCGGACGTTTTAATGTACGGCTCGGCGCAGTGGGTGATTCCGTTCTGCAGCACTTTCTCCACGCGCGCCACCAGGAAGATGTCGGCGTGCGGGTGGGTCACGGAGAAGATTCCCTGGAAAGAAAGAAAAAATTTAAAAAAACGAAAAGGAAATGACCGAGCAGCGGAGGCGGTAGTTAGACGTCGGACCGATTTTACGAGGCAAGCGCAGGGGAAGTGGCGCTGTCAGCTGTAGCTTCTACAGGAAAACCACATGTATTTTCAGTTTAATTTAGTGCGCGGACGAGTAGAGGCTCAGAGAAATGCTCCCGTCTGCTGCTACAGTTTGTATTTACGCTTGTTGTCAGTGTTGGGGAGTAACAGATTACATGTACCAGAGTAATCAGAGTACAAATGATGAGTAACTGTATTCAGTTACAGTTACTGTTTCAGTGAGTGGTAATTGGATTACAGTTACTTTGTTGAAATAAATGGATTACACAGAGGGATTTTCCTGTTTTTACATTTTGGGCTAAATCAGGACTAAACCAAGACTAAACCAGGTCTAAACCAGGATTAAACCAGGACTAAACCAGGACTAAACCAGGTCTAAACCAGGTAAACCAGGTCTAACCAGGTCTAACCAGGTCTAAACCAGGTCTAAACCAGACTAAACAAAACCAGGACTAAACCAGGACTAAACCAGGTCTAAACCAGGACTAAAACAGGACTAAACCAGGACTAAACCAGGTCTAAACCAGGACTAAACCAGGACTAAACCAGGACTAAACCAGGACTAAACCAGGACTAAACCAGGACTAAACCAGGTAAACAGGTCTAAAAGGACTAAAACAGGACTAAAGGTCTAAACTAGGTCTAACCAGACTAAACCAGAACTAAACCAGGTCTAAACCAGGACTAAACCAGGACTAAACCAGGTCTAAACCAGGACTAACCAGGTCTAAACCAGGTCTAAACCAGGACTAAACCAGTACTAAACCAGGTCTAAACCAGGTCTAAACCAGGACTAAACCAAGACTAAACCAGGACTAAACCAGGTCTAAACCAGGACTAAACCAGGTCTAAACCAGGTCTAAACCAGGTCTAAACCAGGACTAAACCAGGTCTAAACCAGGACTAAACCAGGACTAAACCAAGACTAAACCAGGTCTAAACCAGGACTAAACCAGGACTAAACCAGGTCTAAACCAAGGACTAAACCAGGTCTAAACCAGGTCTAAACCAGGACTAAACCAGGTCTAAACCAGGACTAAACCAGGACTAAAACAGGGAAAAATTCTCTGAGATTCCCGACCACACCCGAAGCTCGCACTTGTCCCGGTTTGGTCCTGGTCTGAATCCAATCTAAACCAAACGCAGACTCGGTTTGGTCCAGTTATAGTTCTGGTTTAATTCTCGGATAGTCCGGGCTTTTGTGGAAGTGTGAATGCAGCGTTTCTCTCTCTCTGAATTAACGTCGTACAGACCGTAGTCCAATAATAGCGCAATAATGACAGAGGTAAGACCACAAGTGCGCAGAAAAAAAAGAGAGGAGCGCATGAAGTCTGAGCTCTGCCGCATCACAGGAGCAGAAGGAATATGAATGACGTGTTATTATAATCCAGAAACGCTCATTTTGTCTCATGTACATCAACTTCTTGGGTTCTTTTTACAGACAATACAGTCAGAGATGCATTTACCATCAGTGGCGGAGTTAGCAATTTAGGGGCTCTAGGCGAACTTGAACGTGGGGCCCTCATTATAATGCACTGTTTTGTTGTCTTTGTTTGTTTTTATATGTATTTTTAATATTTATTGTCTGTTTGTCCCCATTGTTCTTAAGACATGCACATCTTTATTTGAATTAGGCTGGTTTGGAAACTTGTCTTATTAGTGACTGTAGGAATCCGTGTATCATTCGTTCAATCGTTTTTCAATATAAAACCAAAAATAAGAAAACGAAAAAACAACAGTTTTCTTCGCTATTTGTCTCCAAAACCAAAATGAAAAAACGGATAACGATTTGTTTTTTTCAGTTTTCGATTTTGTGTTTAAATGAAGAATGGAAAAAACGGATAACGGCCGTTTCCCGTTTACGTGACTTCCGTGACTGCGATGCCGAACTTTTGCACCGCATACGGACTGAATCAGGACGGATCCAGGTCCGAGACCAGACCGAGACCAGAGCGGGACTGAGACCGGGACAGAGCTGCTCGAGACCGAGACCGAGACAAGACCAGGACCAGACCGGGACCAGACCGGAGGCTCAGAGCCCACGGCAGGGCTGGAGCTCGAAGCTGAGGCTCGGACCCCGTGGAGGCTCAGAGTCAAAGCTCGGAGTCCATCCTGGTCCGCTCTGGTCCTGTCTGGTCCCGGTCTCAGTCCCGCTCTGGTCTCGGTCTGGTTCCGGACCTGGATCCGTCCTGATTCATTTTTTTTAGAAAGATTCGTTTTCAGAGGCGTTTGCGTGTAAACGATGTGAACAAAGGAAGGGAAATGTCTCCGTTTTTAAAAATACCCGTGTACGTGTAAACGGGGCCTAAATGACAAAGGAATAAACACTAACCACCTGATTTCAGTGGCTACAGACGGAGCAGCGAGTGTGAGAGGGTCACAGAGGGGTTTGTGTATCATGATGCTCATTTTGTATTTGTAGCCGACTGAGTCATTTTAATAGTCGGCTTATATATCTAATATGCTGACAGCCTATGTTGCCTTCATATTAGGCTTATATAAGGCTTTTCATTTTGTGCGGCTCCAGGCAGGTCTGGTTTTTGGTTTTTTGGGCCAATATGGCTCTTTGAACATTGTGGGTTGCCGACCCCTGCTCTAGCTGCTCTAATTTCTTCTATCAGATTCACTCTGCGCTCACATCCACAGCCCCGAGCGAGTCTGTACCTGCGTGGGGAACCTCAGCACCGCCTCCGCCGCCCTCTGGACCACCGGCAGCCCGTTCCCCCTGCCGCCCGAGTCGCCGTTCAAAAACACGGCCGCCGCCTCCCCTCCTCCTCCTCCCGTCTCCGAGGAGTCCGTGGAGGGCGAGCGGGAGAGCTGGCCCGAGCCGGAGTCGTTCAGCATCTCCCTCACGGCCGCCGGGTTCAGGTCCACGTGGAAGTCGGCCGAGATCTTGCAGTTTTTGGACACGTCGAACAGCGCCAGGGTGATGAAGAACGGCTCCACCTGGAAACGACAAAACACAGAGGTAAAAGGAGATTTCTCACTATTTTAAATGACGTTTTTGGTACAGATAATACTCCCTACAACTGTGCGACAACTCACCCTTATGTAACTCTGTTTACAACTGTTTTCTTCATTATTTGTCTCCAAAACCAAAATTAAAAAAACAGATGATGATTCGTTTTTTTTTTCAGTTTTTGATTTTGTGTTTAAATGAAAAATGGAAAAAACGGATAACGGACTGAACCAGGACTGAACTAGGACTAAACCAGGACTCAAACAGGACTAAAACGTTTTCACTCCTGGTCTGGTCCTGGTGTGGTCCCGGTCTAAGTCCCGGTCCCAGTCTCAGTCCCGGTCTCAGTCCCGGTCTCAGTCCCGGTCTCAGTCCCGGTCCCCGGTCTGGTCCCAGTCTCTGTCCTGGTCTTAGTCCCACCCTCAGTCCTGGTCTCAGTCCTGGTCTGAGTCCCGGGTCTCAGTCCTGGTCTGAGTCCCGGGTCTCAGTCCCGGTGTCAGTCCTGGATCTCAGTCCTGGGTCTCAGTCCCGGTCATAGTCCCGGTCTCAGTCCTGGTCTGATCCCGGTCTCAATCCCGGTGTCAGTCCTGATCCTGTTCCTGGTCTCAGTCCTGGTCTGGTCCCGGTCTAAGTTCTGGTCTCAGTCCTGGTCTGGTCCTGGTCTAAGTTCTGGTCTCAGTCCTGGTCTGGTCCCGGTCTAAGTTCTGGTCTCAGTCCTGGTCTTAGTCCCGGTCTCAGTCCCGGTCTGGTCCTGGTCCAGTCCTGGTCTTGTCCGTCTCAGTCCTCAGTCCTGGTCTGGTCTCCGTCCGGTCTGTCCTGGTCTTGTCCCGTCTCAGTCCTGTCTGTCCTGGTCTCAGTCCTGGTCTGTCCCGGCCTGGTTAGACCTGGTTTAGGACCTGGATTAGACCTGGTTTAGACCTGGTTTAGACCTGGTTCAGACCTGGTTCAGACCTGGTTCAGTCCAGCATCGCAGTTTAAGTCACGTAAACACAAAAAGACCATTTTTCATTTAAACACAAAATCCAAAACTGAAAAAAACAAATCATTATCTGTTTTTTCATTTTGGTTTTGGAGACAAATAATGAAGAAAATAGTTGTTGTTTTTTTTCATTTTCAAAAAAGAAAAGCACTAATCCGGGTCTTGAGAACAAAAAAAAAGAAGAAAACACTTTGAGTTTCGAGACAGATGGTTAAATGTTCCTTCTTTATCTCAGACACAATGATGTTTCTGGTCCGTTACAGTAATAAGATCCAGAAGAAAATGGTCGGGCTTCTGTCTGGAAGTGAAACCGCAGGTGCTCACGATCCACCTGGTGTAATAAAATCAGACCTGTTCTGTCTTAAAGGTTGTATAGAGGATTTTTTAAGGGAAGAGAAATACAGTGACAGTTCTTGTGTATGCGTGACACCACCTTCCTCAGTAGAAACATCTCCTCCCGCCTCGTTACTCTAGAAATCACATTTGTTTACAGCCAGTGCGCGTTCAGAATCACTGTTGAAGTGACCTGTCTAGAAATAATTTAGCGACCGACACATCAGTTTTTAGAGCCTTTGTCTGCTTGAGTTGCGCAATCGCTGGAAGAAATCTGCAAGAACCATGTCAGTTTGGTTTTGCTCCATTTCCCCTTCTTTTCTTCTTTCAGTCACCTCAAAAACGGACTTTCTTTTGCGGCGAACTGGTCGTGAATTCTCGTCTGCAATCGCAACAAAGTTTGTGCGAATTGCGTGGAAGCTACAGTTTGAAAAAGTCTCTACGAACCGCTGCATAAACCACGTAATCCCTGCACTCCGGCGAGTCAGTTACACTAAAAATGTAAGGAGTTTGATTGACAACCTAACAGCCAATAGATAAAGAGGGAGTCTCATTGTCTATTGGCTGATGTTTATCTGGCCTCACTACGTCCACAGTTGATAGATTTTCATTATTTTTTTTTTTGGTCATCATAATTACAAAGCTGCTGTGTCTCTGTAATGGTATTTTAAACTTTCATTGACAATTTTATACTAAATACAACCTTTAAATCAAAAGTCACTTCTTTGTGGTGGGACAGTGTGTACGTGTCTCGCTCTGTTCTGCTCTGTTCTGCTCTGTTCTGTTCTGTTCTGCTCTGTTCTGTTCTGTTCTGCTCTGTTCTGCTCTGTTCTGCTCTGTTCTGCTCTGTTCTGCTCTGTTCTCTCTGTTCTGCTCTGTTCTGTGTCCATAAAATGTTGACGTGATGGAACTGACAGGATCTCGCGAGACAAAATGACCACAAAATTGCCCGACACGAGAAAAAAAACTGTGTGTCGTTCGTTCATTTGTTTTTCAAAATAAAAACAAAAATAAGAAAACGAAAAATAAACTTTTTTTTCATTATTTGACTCCAAAATCAAAATAAAAAACGGATAATGATTTGTTTTTTTTCAGTTTTGTGTTTAAATGAATAATGGAAAAAAAGGGTAAATGTTTTCCGTTCGTCTCTCGTGGACTTTTGCGCCACATACAGACTGAACCAGGACTAAAACAGGACTGAAACAGGACTAAAACAGGACTGAAACAGGACTGAAAGGACTAAAACAGGACTGAAACCAGGACTAAAACAGGACTGAACCAGGACTGAAACAGGACTGGAAACAGGACTGAAACAGGACTGAACCAGGACTAAAACAGGACTAAACAGGACTGAACTGAAACAGGACTAACCAGGACTAAAACAGGACTGAAACAACAGGACTGAAACCAGGACTAAACAGACTGAACAGGACTGAACCAGGACTAAACTGTTCTCAGTCCCAGTCTCAGTCCTGATCACCCGACAGTTTAAGCGGGCACACTTCTGGGCCCATCCTGACAGTTAGTCCTGGTTTAGTCCTGGTTTAGTCCTGGTTCAGTCCTGGTTTAGTCCTGGTTTCAGTCCTGGTTCAGTCCTGGTTCAGTCCTGGTTTAGTCCTGGTTTAGTCCTGGTTCAGTCCTGGTTCAGTCCTGGTTCAGTCCTGGTTCAGTCCTGTTCAGTCCTGGTTTAGTCCTGAGTCCTGAGTCCTGGTTAGTCCTGGTTTAGTCCAGTCCTGGTTAGTCCTGGTTCAAACCTGGTTTAGTCCTGAGTCCAGTCCTGGTCGTTAGTCCTGAGTCCTGGTTCAGTCCTGGAAGTCCTGGTTCAGTCCTGGTTCAGTCCTGGTTCAGTCCTGAAAAAAAAAAAAAAAGAATCATTACCTTTTTTTTCTATTTTGATTTTGGAGACAAATAATGAAGAAAATATATATATACATTTTTTCATTTTCTTATTTTTGGTTTTATTTTGAAAAACAAATGAACGAATGACACACGGCGGCTCTACCTCAGCCCACATCCCACATCCCGCATCCTGCTCGCAAATCCAAAGAGACGTGGAGGAAAGTCTGAAGCCTGGACTGGTGGAGCCGGATCGAAGGACGACACAACGAGCACGAACTGAACCACCGGGATTATTTTTAAGAAGAATAAAAGTTTACATGATCGAGGAAGAAATTAAGTTGGCTTTAAAATCTGAAAAAATCACCTACTTACTTCGGAATTAAGTAAAATTCCGAATAATATTTTTCATTAGGAATTAAGGGTTTACTTGGTCTTTTTAAAGCGTATTTCATTTTTATTCAGAATTAAATTTTTAAAGCTCTCATGTAAACGTTGCAAGTGAAGTAAATACAACAGGGCCCAGTCAAACAGAAGTAAACAACAAGGCCAAAAATACAAGTTAATTCATCTGATATAAAAATGTATTGAACAGATACATATGTACTCTAGTTTATCAAACTGTTCACCTTTTTTCTGTACCATTTTTGGTTCTAAAGTTCAATACGTTTTAAACAGACCATGTATGAAACATGGAACAAAAATTATTTCCCAAATTTCAAAGACCCAAAAATCATGTAAATAAATGGATGTATTTCATCATATCTTGTGTTATTCCATCTTTGAACTGTTGATGAAGGTACATGATTTATTTTTTTTTATGTATTTAAAATGATAAAAATGTTCTTGGAAGGACTGACATATTTTATAGAAATAGTTTCCTTTCATTTTGAAGTAATATTAAAGTATTCAGAAGAAAAAAGCGACAAATTATGTAAAATCCTGCACCTTCTACTTGCTTGAACAATTTTCCCTCTGTTACTTTTCCCTCTGTTACCGTGACTTTTCTTAATAAAAAATCTCATGAGTCAAAAAGTAAAAGAACCTAATCTTGTACCATATGGTAGAAAACTATATGAAGCAAATATTCAAACCAGTTTGTTAAGGATATGTAAGTGAGAACCAAGAGTTATCACTGTTTGGATTTATTGCCCAAAAAGTGCTGCATATTTCATTCCCTCCGTTACCAACATGAGTTTTTAATTTTTTGTCAACAACTTGAAAGAATATCACAGGTTTAACTTGACCCTGTTGGAGTGTAACTCTTTCCTACATTCTGATACTTTACTTATTTCAATAGTTCCTCTAGTTTCTGAGACATTTGAATGTAAAAAATCTGACCCTGTTTCCCTCCATTACCACTTGACTGGACACAAATTCTGAAGCCAATTTTGTGAACTAACTTAGAAATTATGTTAAAAATCTCGTCTTGTCTCGTTTTCGTGGACCCGATCTCGTGTTTTTAGTGGAAATCGCGTCTCGTTCCATCTCTAGAAACGTCCTAACCACAAGAATGAGGCAGTTCTGTTCAGCGTCTAATGAGCCGGCAGCGACACGTCCGAGGCGAGTTTTTATGATTTAAGAAAAGTGCTCTGAAGTGCTGAGTCATGAGGTGATTCAATACAGAGATATTGGCCAAAAGACTTCAGCTTGGGCCAACAAAATTGTATCTCGTAAAATTTTGGCACACACTCGGTCCAAGATGAATTCTGAGTTCTTTGTCTAACTCTTTGCCAATCTGGGCGGTTTGTGTGGACAATTTGGGCACGATAACGAGATGTTCCCAAACAAACGTGGAAGCACAAAGGCGCCAACACTCGCTGCAACTGAATATTTTAGCAGAAATACAGATTCACAGTTTCGCAAAGGAAGTGGTTTTCAAGGTTTGATTGTATCGTCTCGTTTTGATCCTCAGCGTAAAGTCTCTGTGTCGTCCCAATATTTTGAACAGGAGCCAGACAGTGTTGGGGAGTAACAGATTACATGTACTGGAGTTATGTAATCAGAGTACAAATGATGAGTAACTGTATTCAGTTACAGTTACTGTTTCAGTGAGTGGGAATTGGATTACAGTTACTTTGTTGAAATAAATGGATTACACGGCGGGATTTTCCTGTTTTCACATTTTGGGCTATATCCCTTTTTTTTTTTTTTTCTTGGTAATTCCACTCATAAAACCAGGTCTAAACCAGGTCTAAATCAGGTTTAAAACCAGGTCTAAATCAGGTTTAAATTAGGTCTAAAACCAGGTCTAAACCAGGACTAAAACCAGGTCTAAACCAGGTCTAAAACCAGGTCTAAAACCAGGTCTAAAACCAGGTCTAAAACCAGGTCTAAACCAGGTCTAAAACCAGGTCTAAACCAGGTCTAAACCAGGTCTAAAACCAGGTCTAAAACCAGGTCTAAACCAAGTCTAAAACCAGGTCTAAAACCAGGTCTAAATCAGGTTTAAAACCAGGTCTAAACCAGTTCTAAAACCAGGTCTAAACCAAGTCTAAAACCAGGTCTAAAACCAGGTCTAAATCAGGTTTAAATTAGGTCTAAAACCAGGTCTAAACCAGGTCTAAACCAGATCTAAACCAGGTCTAAACCAGACCTAAACCAGGTCTAAAATAGGTCTAAAACAGGATTGAACAGGACTAAACTATGCCGTGTGGACGTGTCTCCTCCTCTTCTATCAGTAATATTTTTCATTTGGTTCAGTAAAGTCTGGACTTTTTATTTTCTTCTTAGCAAACAAAACATCTTATGTTATGGTATCTGAGTCTTTGCTTCTCTACAGAAAATCAAGTAATCCAAAGTATTCAGATTACATTACTCACTTTAAGTAATTTAATGGATTCCGTTACAAACTACATTTTGGGGTGAGTAATCTGTAATCTGTAGGGGATTACATTTTAAAAGTCACCTTCCCAACACTGCTCGTAGAAAGACAAGACTCTGGACTACGTGTTTTAGACTCGCCTCTGCCCGGTTCGGTCTAAATTAGTAAAACATGAATTATAAAAGAATAATATCTAGGGCAAAAGAGCAGAGGGAAATGCAGTGTGTTGTGACTAAAGGCCTTAAATATTCATGGTTCTTGGTTTTTATTGAATAGTTTTTTTTCGGATTATAAGACGCAATATCAATAATGTTGAATTTTCTCGATTTGTGAGATTAATGAATGTGAATGTGTGTGTGTGAATCATTTAAGTTTGTTTTTTTATTTCCTACAAGGACGATTCAAATATACATTGAGTAATAATGTGTTTAATGCAGCTTTGCCAAAATTGTTTACGTTTTACAGACACGAAACTTAAAATCACATGACTCATTTGCATAAACTATAAACGCTGAAAAAACTGTTTGCTCCTTGTGTCGCTGATGCGGTTCAGCTTCGGTCGGACTAAACTCCACGAGGCTCCTGACTTCAGTAGCCGTAATGCTCCGACAATCCATCAAGCGGTGTGGCTTCGTAGTTTACCAAAGTCGTACTAAAACATGTTGACAGATGTTAAATCTAAATGGGAGGAAGAGCAGCATATTGTTTTATCAGAGGATGACAACAACAAACAACAACTAGCTCCAAAAGGTGGAGGGAATTCAGGTGGAAGTGTCTTATACGATTCTTTATTACACCTCAAATTACTGCCAGAGTAAAAGGGTTAGATTCTCAATGTTGAAGACGCTCGGACGCCAATCACTCTCATGTTTTTTGGACATGTACAAAATTAAAATCATTCTGGGATAATGTGTTTGAAAAAACAGATACAAACTTGACTTATGCTGTTCCCAAGGACCCAAAGATATTTTTGTTCGGCCTTCTGCCTGGAGAGGTGATCGAAAAAGCGGACAGATACCTTTTTAAGATTCTGATTTTAGCATCAAAAAAAGCAATAACGAGAAGCTGGCTTAAAAAGGAGCCACCGACAGTGAACCAGCGGCTCGATGTTATAGAAGAAATATGCTCCATGGAACGACTGACTTGTTTTCTACGTCTCAAAGGACATTTCTTCATGAAACACTGGACTAAACGGTTGAAATATAAACAAAAAGAGACTTGAGTCTGTATCCTTATAATAATGGAACAGTGCCCCAGGTTTTTGTTTTTTGTTTTTGTATTTGTTTGTTTCTCAAAACTTGAAAAACTGAATAAATAAAGAGTTTAAAAAAAAAACATGTTGACAGAATTTTGAGCACCATGTCACAGAGTCCTGCAACAGGTCGGGTACCCAATGGTTGCTGAAACGGGTAGGTTTTAAAGTTCTGGAATTTTAAGGGCGGGTATGCGGGCGGATAGTAATTACACACGGGCGGGTCAGGACTAAACCAGGACTACACCAGGACTAATCTTGGACTTAAGAGAGAGAGAGAACCCCGAGCCCGTGGAGCAGGGTGTCCGCAAAACACACCTACGAACCCGTCCTGACTTTGAGTCCCGGTTCAGTTCTGGTTCAGTTCTGGTTCAGTTCTGGTTTAGTCCTAGTTCAGTCCTGGTATAGTCCTCCTGGTTCAGTCCTGGAATCAGTCCTGGGTTAGTCCTGGTTCAGTCCGAGGCCTATGAAGTGATGACAGTCGAGTTGCGTCTGTGAATTCGTGTTCGTACTGAAGAAAGTGTAATCATTTTCATTTCATTTAGTGATTGAAATTCTTGAAGTCGTAACTTTTCAGTTTGTATTCTGATGGTTCAGCTAGAATGCTTTTATTTTGTGTGTGATTTATCTCAGGCATGGTTGAATGGTGGAATGTTAGCGGGTCCACGTGGGTACGGGTTTAACTTTGACACAATCACGGGTTAACGGGCGGGTGCGGCGCTGTGCTGGGCAGGTGCAGGCGGGTGCGAGTCTCCAAAAATGGACCCGTGCAGGACTCTGCTGTGTACCACATAAAATCAGTTTGAGGTCAGCAAGCACAACCAGAATTAATACATAAGGCGCAACAGATTATAAGAAGAAGTGTTGATTTTTGAGAAAATTTTAAGATTTTAAGTGCACCTTATAGTCTGAAAAATAAATATATTGCTTCGAACCGAAAGTTCACTGTATCAAGGTATGTATTGTATCGGCAACTTCTAAATAATGCTCAGCTCTACTCGATACAGTGAGCTTTCAATTTGAAACAATATACGGTTCAATAAAAAATAAAGGTGTCTGTGATACTAAAAGTGTTGAAAAAGTGTTAAACCAATTCTTGTGCAAAGTTCATATGAAACACAAACATTTTAATCATCAAAACAGTGAAAATGTCAAATGTGTCGCATAAAAAAGTTTCCTTCCTCTAAAAATGGAACAAAACTGTAGCTCCATAACCAATAATTTAGTAAAATAGACTAAAAACTACTCTTGGCGATATATCGATACAGCAGCCAACAATACTGATACTGTATCACCACCAGTGTTGGGAGTAATGTATTATAAAAGTAATGTATTACAGTAATGCGTTGATTTTTGCTGTAACGCAGTAATGTAAGGCATTACAGGGGGAAAAAATTGTAATATTTTACTCGGTACAAATGTGACTAACGCACGTTACAATGCTTTTTTAACCTGGATTGAAGTGGTGGGTTTTTCTTTTCGCTAAAATCACCGTGAAATCAGCAGCGGTGAAAAGCTGGAGACGCAGCCGGATAGACCTTCAGTTAACCACGGGTGAAAGGACCAACCCAGAACTCTACGCTGTTTAGACCTGGTTTAGACCTGGTTTAGACCTGGGTCACTTCTGGTTTAGACCTGGTTTACAGTCGTCCCTCGCTCTAACGCGATTCACTTTTCGCGGTCTCGCTGTTTCGCTGTTTGTTAGTTTTTTGTTTGTTTGTTTGTTTTTTGTTTTGTTTTGTGCAATTTTGCATGCCTTTTGTTTTTAGTGTATGAACACGTATTGCGTTCCTCCCGCTGTGTCCTGATCGGCTGAGGGACTCCTGTCTCCTGTACAGTACAGAATGTGTTCAGCTGCCAAATTTAAATACATGTTCAATCTCTAGCAGTGTGATTCTGAAGTGCTGTACGGTTGCAAGTTTTCTCTCCGACAAAATCCACAACGTCGACGAAACGTTCTGCACCGACAAAGGCTCCTGCACTCGCACCCAAAAGACAGAGGAAGATGCAAACCATCGCACAAAAAGTTGGACTTCTGGACACGTTGAAGGAAGGTAGAAGTTACGCGCTGTAGCAGAGTTTTGCACCGGGTCTTGTACTCGCAAATAGTTGCTGAAATCAGGACCGTGAGCCCGAGCAGCAGGGTCCATAAAGAGCGATCGGGCGACAGCCGCTCTTACCTCCATGAGGTGCGGAGCAGAGCCACTCATTTCTTCCTGCGTCACCTTCGAGCCCGTCCTGACAGTGGTTTAGTCCTGGTTTAGACCTTGTTTAGTCCTGGTTCAGTCCATATACGGCTCAAAAGTTCAGCTTTTTCGCAGTTATTTTGGTGAGAGTAACTTAAAGTAATGCAACAGTAATGTAATGCCTTACATTTTAAATGCAGTAATATTGTAATGTAACGAATTACTTTGAAATGACAGTAATAAGTAATAAATAACACATTACAGTTTTAAAGTAACTTGCCCAACAGTGATCACCACATGAAACAGTGCAATATACTGATATTTCGATATTTTTGCACAGCCCTACTCATAACGCCTGTTCATGTGTTTGAGCGAAGAGTAAAAAAATAACCTCTCTACTTTTAATAATAAATTCCATGTTGGTGTTCAGTGAATCAGAGTGTAGTTGTACGCACGTTGGTGAGAACGCCGTCGCCCTTGTCGCTGACGCAGCCCTGCAGACTGAAGGTCAGGTCGTGGCAGCTGACCATGATGCGCCGACCAAATCGCTCTTCAAACGGCTTCACGTCCGGCTCGATCCCAGAGAAGTCCAGCCTCTGAGGAAGGACACGCGCACACATGTAAGAGACGTGATCAGAGCAGAGGACGAAGAAGAAGACACACGCAGAATCTATAAAGAGCATGAAGAAAACAGGAAGAACAGAGGAGTGGACGTCTCACCTGAGTCTCCGGGTCTAGAGAGAACAGCTTCTGTCTGCCCTCGTTCCTGTTGATCTTATTGAGCTGGTCTGTCTCCCGGGCGTACTGGACAAACAAGAAAATGTATTAAAATGTGTTTGTTTAAAGCTTTTCAATGTGTCTTTAATGGCAAATGTACAGTATAGGCAAGTTTCATTGTTGACAAAAGCGCGCGTTGCATGCTGGGAATTATTTCGGTCGGCGGCAAGAAACACTAATTCAACATGACGGACGGAGCGAGAAAGCACGTAAAGGGTATTGATCCCGGTTATTGATCCACTCTAACGGCAGAGGACACAAGACCATTTGACCAGAAATTGGTCATAAGCATCGACGGACGACAAATCACCCTTTTCAACCCCGACAAAAGGTGGACCAAACCAAATTTCTGGTCGGAATCGCCAACTACCCTGGACAAATATTCACTTGGGCGATATCCACAATGACTTGGTGGAAACTCCTGGGCCGTTCACAGCAGAAAAGATGAAAACCTCCAAGAGTCTGGATGTGTTGTTGAACTTGTTGGAGTCCACGGTTTGTTAGGATCTTCTACGTTTGCTCTGCGGATGTTTGAAAGTCGTTTAATTCACCGTTAGTGGTTCTTTTCACTCAGAATACGAAAAAGACATTTTCCTTCTTCCGTGCTTCTATTTGTGCGTCCGATAATGCAGCAGGAATTTTTTTTAGTTTTTATTGGTTTAAACATTTCAAAACATATATAGTAACAACAGTCTGGAGGTTCTTAAACATGTATTTGGTATTGACATTTGTATGCACTATATTGTTTTTTTTGATGTCATTGATGAATACATTCCATTTTTCCCCATTGCTCATTGTATTTGTACCCTTTAAGTTTCAGATTATATGTTATTCTTTCCATCATTGAAATATTTTCCACGATCCTGATCCAGTCTTGTTGTGCAGGTGGATCTGGTTGTAACCAAATGCAGCAGGAATTTACCGTTATCGGGGAGAAATACGTGAGGTTACGCACTGTGTTTGACGCTACCGTGTTTCTTGCCTCCGACCAAAACATTTCCCAGCAGCAACGCGGGCTTTTAATAACAAAGATGTCAACTGAAACTCGCCTATAAACACGCTGCTGACACTCCTGGTCTAAATTCCAGGTTACTGTGAGAAAACTTTGAATTAGTGGGCAGTAAGAGTACACTCTCTTCGATTATACTCATTGATAGTGCAATGTTTCATGTTTATCCCGTAAAATGTTCGAGGGAAATGATCCCAGACTGTATTATTTCATTACCAACATAATGAGAAAATGATGAAGTAGCACCAGAGCGCACACAGTCGATTCACAGCCGATTCCTGAACAATATCTATGAGCACTTGGAGACATATCGGCCCATATCAGCCAAAATCTTGCTGATCTGGGCCGATAGTCCACGTGGGCATGTTATACCTCGTTATGTCCATTTAATCCAATTTACAGACAGATAAATGTCCTAATATGCGGCGCCGCATCAATATTTATCTGCAGAGTAATATGTCTGAGTGTGCGATGCCGTAATGTCCCTGAACACACCGCCACAGTCACGTCATGTCACTCACGTGCTCTTGTTTACACCTGTGCACAGCCACAGATCCACGTGTACAAAACTGAGGCGCTGCTTTAAACGCTCTTGAGTCTGATCCACCGTACTGACAATAAATAAAATATTTTGTTGATTTTACCCGCAACGTTCTTGTATAAACAGGCTTTTGATGCCGAAATGATCATTTTAAAAGCCATTTTTAGAAACAATATTGACGCTTTCAAGGCAAAATAATAGTTTATATTTGTGTTATTATAAAAGGTTTTTACACTCTTGTGTCTGATCCACCATCCTGACAATAAAGTTTAGGCCAGAAACAAAACTACTGCTGTTTTTATCAAAGCGCGAGTACGGAGAAAAGAGAGACGACCACAAACAGAGGACACACAGAGAGCTGCTGCAACATGCTGGATTATATTCTTTTTACGGACGATTGTTTAGAGTCGGGATTAGAAGGACGCTTATTTGCGAAGACTTGTGATCTGAGAGGAGCCTGTGTGACTGTGAGTGTTGTAAATGTGTCAGTTTTGAAGCTACTTTTGGTTCTTTCTCGTTGTTTAGCTCTTAGCTGCTGTAGCTCCCACACATAAACAGCCTCTTTTCTTACATCGGCCAAGTGTAAAGTGACTATAGCGGCTTTACACACGTTACCGAACCTGCACTGATATGTAAATGAGCTGTGAACAGGTGTGAATGATCGACATTTACACGGTGCACACTCGTTTACCATTAAAAGCTCATAATGGCCGTTTACTTACTTTCTTTACTGGCTAGAATGTCGTGCAAAAATGCCATTATTAGGCCGACCTACTGTCTTTAAACATGACAGTAAAGAGTAGGGATGTCACAATAACCAAAATATCATGATATTGTATTGTCAAAAGTCGCACAGTAATATCGTGGGCTGCCACTATATATCGAATCACAAGTTTCTTCGCTTAATTGCATTGTTTTATAGCAGTAACAGCTTATAAACATAGAGAACAACATCTCCCATGATTCATTTCAGCGCAAATAACATAAAGAAATATATTTTTGACTTGAAATCTTGGGATTATGACGGTAAGAATTCACACCAAAATCTTCAAGGTATTTTAAAAGCAAAAAAGCGTCCCATCTTTAATTATTAGCTCTTCAAAATATCGCCATAAATATCGTACCGTGAGATGCGTGTCGTGATAATATTGTACTGTGAGATTTGGATAACGCTTAATATGGCAATACATGTTTTACCAAATGACGGTCAAAGCATTTTATAATGTTAGTCCTGTTATTATGTATAATATCATGATATTGTGAGTAGGGACGGGCATTCGATGACATTTTCTTAATCGATCGTCGGAAGAATTAACGATCGATTATCGATTAATCATTAACGTTTTTATATTAAAATGATCATCATTATTATTACTATCTGCACTACTAATCTGCATAAATAAATTCAATTTTACGACATATAAACTGTCGCGACTCTAGAGCCACATCAGCCCGTTTGACATTATAATGTGTTTAATTCAGTTTTGCGCAAATCTCACAGAAACAAAACTCAAAACCGCATCGCAAATTTGCATAAACTAAGCGAAAATTTAAAAAACAGCTCTTGTGTCGCTGATGTGGTTCAATTTCTGTCGGATTAAAAGACATGACTCAGGTGAATACAGGTCAGTGTGACCAGATTTGTGTTTGTCAAAACCAGGACAGCGTACGGGGGGAGGGGGGCGGGGCCTCGTCATCCACATTGAGCGACTCTCACCTGGTAAAACTTTTTCCCACTGGACACAGAAACATATGTGCTGCTTTATCCACTGTGCACATGGACTCACACTTGTCCCAACGCAACGGAAAGTGTGGAATTTCTTGTACAAATCATCGTTAAATACACATTTGTGCTTCTGTATGTTGCAGGCTGACCGAATGTTTCTGTTTGCCTGATGCAGAGACACATGTACACACCTGTTTGGTCACGACACACAACAACCTACATTCGGTTTGTCAATTAAAATTAACGTAATCGATGAAATTCTTAATGATCAATTATCGATTAATCATGCCCATCCCTAATCGTGACCCTCTTCATCATATCGTGAGCTTTCCTAAGATATCACAATAAATATCGTACCGTGAGGTTCATACCGTGACGATATCGTATCGTTAGACTTGGATATCGTTACACCCCTAGTAAAGAGGCAGAATAACAATAAATGTCACCTATACAACGCAATTTTAAATCCAGTAGAGCCAGATCTAAGTTTTATCATCAATAAAAGATTTACAGCGAATTTTTCTCCTCCAACTCCCATTTTATCGGTATCGTATCATATATCGGCTGCAAAAAAAAATCCATATCAGTCGGGCCCTTGTCCTAACCTTCCAAACCGGGATCCAAAACAACAGCAGAAGTGAAAACAGCAGGTCCAGACTGAGGCCAACATGAAGCCACAGACAAAGACGTGAAAGCCTCAGGTAAAAGTCTGCGCTCGTCTGCCCCGGTGTCTCTCCCCGGTGTCTCTCTCTTTGTCTCACTCCCCCCACTCTCTTTTTCCTCCTCTGTGTGTCTCTCTTTCTCTTTCTCTCTCTGCAGATCGTGGCCCGGAGCGCAGAGCAGAGCGGCAGCATCACACCGAGCTTTGTTCCGTGTGTGGAAGACGCGTTTTACACACGAATTAAAGAAACAGTCACTACGGGACGCGCGCTACCGCCCCGCCTCAGGAAAAGAACAATAAAAGCTCGAGAGGAGTGCATGTGTAACTGTAAAAGACACAACAGTAACATCCACTTTCTACACTTTACCTTCCCGTTTACTGCCAAGAAAAATGGATTTAGATACAAGCTACTAAGAAAATAATAATAATCATTGCTGGTTTTTGGTCAAATGACAAGACGACATTGAATAGGCCAGATTCTCTCGGTCAGATTGACTGGAAAAGAGGAACAGATACAAACTCTGTTGTTCAAATACAGATTTTTTTGGGGAATTGAGGAAATAAAAGAATGAGAACTTCGCACATCAGTTTCTTGAAACGGAAACGTTGGAGGACAGATAGCAGCTCAAAAGTATATACATATAGATATATAATTTTTCATTTCTGACTTGTCTGTTTTGATTGTATTTATTTATATTGTATGTGGATAAAAGCAAATATCATCATAATATACATCTATTTGGTTTAAGTCATTGATTTTTAAGATAAGTCATAAATAACTTACCATATTTTTCGGATTATAAGGCGCAATATGAATTATGTGGAATTCTCTCGTCTATTTTCATACATAAATTGCACCGGATTATGAGGCGTATTAAGAGAAACAAACGGACGACTCTTGAGACTGATCCTTAGCCCGGGCGTCCACGATCCATCAGCAGATCGTGGCGTAATTCGCCCGGCGTTGCCTCCCTGTCTTGGTGAATGTGTTTTATTTTTAATGTGAATGTGGTGGATCATTTAAGTTAGTTTTTTTTTTATTTCCTATGAGGACGACTCAAATATACACTGAGTAATAATGTGTTTAATACAGCTTTGCGCATATTTGTTTACATTTTACAGAAACAAAACTTAAAACCACATGACTCATTTGCATAAACTATAAGCGTTGAAAAAAAACAGTTCACTCCTTTACTTTAGTTTACCAAAGTTGTACTAAAACATTTTGACAGAATTTTGAGCGCCGTGTAATATATAAAATCGGTTCGAGGTCAGTAAGCACAACCAGAATTAATACATAAAGTGCACTGTCGAGTATTGAAAAAAATTAAAAGATTTTAAGTGCGCCTTATAGTTTGAAAAATACGGTAATCTACCACCAACTTTCCTCTGAAAATGTGGGGCAAATTAACCTAAATATAGACCAAATTAAATGATTAGTAAGTAAACACAACCTGAATTAATACATAAGGCGCAGTGTCGATTTTTGAGAAAATTAAAGGTTTTTAGGTGCGCCTTATAGTCCGAAAAATACGGTAAGTTGTTTACAGTGCAATGTGTAACCTTTCTACTGCAAAGTCCATCAATTGCTTTTCTCCATGAAGATGTTATTGCTTTGTCTGGAATATTCCACAGTAGGGCATTAAACCTTTCTATCTTCATATAGAACAAACCAGACCATGTTACAGGTCAGATCTGTGGAGAGGCGACCCCGCTCACAGTCAGAATGTGTGTTTTTCTGGATATTTCAGAGCTCTAAAACCACCTGTACCGACCTGTAATTTAACAAACACAAGATAGAACTGTTTAATGTCACACTGTGGAACATTCCAAGAAAAGCAATGACGTCTCCATAGAAACAAGCAGATGACGGACCCCCAACTAAAAAGTTACACAGTGCATCTTTAACACTTTGGCACAACGACTAAATCAATATTGTCCAGGTTACTATTTGATTTTAATTTTATTTAGATTTTATTTGTTATTTTATTTATTTGTTATTTTATTTTATTATTTTATTTGTTATTTTATTATATTATTTATTTTATTATATTTTATTTATTTATTTATAATTTAATTATTTATATGTAATTAATTTTTTTAAATCATTTTTAGCTACGTGCATTTTAGCACTTTCCCATTGTTTTTATTTATGATTTACTACCTGGTTTAGTCCTCGTTTGGTCCTGGTTTAGTCCTGGTTTAGTCCTTGGTTTGGTCATGGTTTAGTCCTTGGTTTGGTCCTGCTTTAGTCCTGGTTTAGTCCTGGTTTAGTCCTGGTTTGGTCCTGGTTTAGTCCTTGGTTTGGTCATGGTTTAGTCCTTGGTTTGGTCCTGCTTTAGTCCTGGTTTAGTCCTTGTTTAGTCCTGGTTTAGTCCTGGTTTAGTCTTTGGTTTGGTCCTGAATTACTCCTGGTTTAGTCCTGGTTTAGTACTGGTTTGGTCCTGGTTTGGTCCTGGTTTAGTCCTGGTTTAGTCCTGGTTTAGTCCTGGTTTAGTCCTGGCTTAGTCCTGGTTTAGTCCTGGTTTAGTCTTTGGTTTGGTCCTGAATTACTCCTGGTTTAGTCCTGGTTTAGTACTGGTTTGGTCCTGGTCTGGTCCTGGTTTAGTCCTGGTTTAGTACTGGTTTGGTCCTGGTTTGGTCCTGGTTTAGTCCTGGTTTGGTCCTGGTTTAGTCCTGGTTTAGTCCTGGTTTAGTCCTGGTTTAGTCCTGGTTTAGTCGGTTTGTCCTGGTTTAGTCCTTGGTTTGGTCCTGGTTTGGTCCTGGTTTAGTCCTTGGTTTGGTCCTGGTTTAGTCCTGGTTTGGTCCTGGTTTGGTCCTGGTTTAGTCCTTGGTTTGGTCCTGAATTACTCCTGGTTTAGTCCTGGTTTAGTACTGGTTTGGTCCTGGTTTGGTCCTGGTTTAGTCCTGGTTTAGTCCTGGTTTAGTCCTGGTTTAGTCCTGGCTTAGTCCTGGTTTAGTCCTGGTTTAGTCTTTGGTTTGGTCCTGAATTACTCCTGGTTTAGTCCTGGTTTAGTACTGGTTTGGTCCTGGTTTGGTCCTGGTTTAGTCCTGGTTTAGTCCTGGTTTAGTCCTTGGTTTAGTCCTGGTTAAGTCTTTTATCGTATTAATTTGTCTGTGCTGCACTTTGGAAACTGTCATGTTTACAAAATGTGCTATAGAAATAAAGTGGATTGGACTGGACTAATGTAAAAAAAAAACAAAAACACTATTAATAAAAACACAATAATTAAATCCTAACGAGATAGAAATTCATTTGTGATGTAAATAGTTTTCTACACGCTGCGGTACCTTCATGAGCTCCGGGTGCAGACTCCTCCCCAGGTTGTCCAGCAGCCCGTCCCCTTTGCCCTGGCTGCTGCTGTCGTCATCTGGAAGAGAAACGACACAGGTTAATACGTTCACATCGTTCACATCCGTCACAGCGGCAGAATCAGTCCCTTATGCTTCCCCGGAGACTCTTTATTTGACTGTGGGCCAGATCAGCTCTCTCTTTTGTGCTGCGCTTACATTAAAACAAGAACTCGGCTGATGGATTTTTGGACCACGTGAACTCGAAATGCCCTGCTGCGTTATTGGACGACGTCGCTCCCGCCCGTTAGAATCTTAGGTTTTCATAGACTTGACCTCAGCTATTTGGTTCATGCACAGAGCTGGATGTTATTTCAAAAAAAATCTCATTTGTTGGAAGGAATTTTTACTTCGCTCAGCATGGAAAGAGAATTTCACAGTAAAACAAAGAGACAGACTCCGCAAAAGTGACTATAAAGAGACATTGTTATAATGTTTTACTCTCCTTATTTATCCTCTTGAAATTGTATTGAGAGTGAATTATGCATGTTAGAGTAATTTTTTATTTCCATTCCATGCATGAAGTCTGGTCTGTACTTCCTTCTAGTGTTGCCATAGTATTAATGTTTCAAACTCAGGCGACGTTTATATGATGAGGGTCTGAACAGAAGAAACAAAAGTGGCGTCGCGTCTTCACTTTCAATTCTGCATTTAGACGAGCGTTTTCAGGAGGAAATCTGCGTGCGTACAGTGACGCAAAGGTGGCTCTGTGGTGATGTTTGTGACGTAAACACGTACGTGACCTGAGCAGATCTGACCAGAGTTTTGTGTCTTGGGCAGTGTAGACGGAAACGCTACGGCGGAGCGGATTCAACTTTTCCACTCTGGAGGGTGGTTTCAGATTTTTGCGTTTTTAAGCCCCAAAAACGCCATCACCGTCTAAACCACAGGTGTCAAACATAAGGCCCGGGGGCCGGATCCGGCCCTCCAAGACCTTTAATGTGGCCCTCTGCTGATTTTCTACTAAATTTTAATTATATTTTCTTTTAAAATATTGTATTTTCTGCAGTGCTTAGTATAGCAGCGTCTCCAGCATCTCTGTACGTGGCCCCTCCCACCAGAGCAGCACAAATGAAGACTTGTCTCTTTCCAAACGCTCTTAAAGGACGATCGTTTTGACTGTTGACCGTGACACCCTCATCAGAAAAATGTCTAATATGAGAAAAGTGGAGCCAAGTGCAGGATTTTCCCCCCAAAAAATTGACTTATTCCTATTTACATACAATTTAATGTTAAAACACTGTGTTGAAATTACATTTTTGTTGTTCATAATATTATAATATTTTGTAAAAGAAAGAGTTCATCAATTAAAAAAAGATTTCTGTAATAGATTTGTGTTTCTCTGCACAAATATTTGAAGTTATTGGTATTTTTGGGGTTTATATGACATGAGTTTTCTGATCCGGCCCCTTGGGGATCAAAGTAGGTTGGATACGGCCCCCGGACCAAAATGAGTTTGACACCACTGGTCTAAACGAAAGGCGCTTTCCATAAAACATTTAGTCAATTCCCTCAATTTTGATGCAGCTTTTGATGCCGAAATGATCATTTTAAAAGCCGTTTTTGCAGACAATATTGTAACTTTCAACACAAAATAATAGTTAATATTTGTTTTACTATGAAGTTTTATATTGGTTCTGATAAAACTCAAACTCAAACTGTTCAGGAAAGGTAAAATTTTATCCCGTTATGTAATTTTTTTCAATGAGTATCTACTTTCGAAGTTAACTTTAGTATCTGTTAGTATCTGATTTTCCTTATGTGATTTTTTTTTTCTTAATCAGTGATACATATGGGATTCAGTAGCAAATAAATGGACAAAATTTAAATAAAAACAAAAAGTGCTCTGCTCACTCCTATGGTCTGCATCTATCCATAAACAGATCTGACAGGAGGGTGTAGAAGTGTGGTTCTTTGTTGTGGCGACGTTTACAGAATGCAGCGTTAAACTTTTTGAGCAAATCTGAATTGTCCAAAATATAAAAGATATCGCCAAAAGTGTTTACATTTGGATTGGACAAAAAAGACTGACATGTTGGTGGAATTACGTTAAAATCTCATGTCTCTTTCACGTCAAACCAATCTCATATCTCGTCTTGTCTCATTCTTTCTATAAAATTTTGTGACAAATTCTATACAAAATTACACTGAATAAATGAAAAAATATGAGGTCAAAACTGGAAACTGAATCATAATATTTCTATAATAGGAATTACGTTAAAATCTTGTCTCGTCAGCCCAATCTTGTCTCGTCTCGTGGGAATTGTGTCTCGTCTCATCCCTACTAGTAAATTGTTCGACAAATTCTATCCTAAATTACATTGAATAAATAAGAAAATATGAGGCCAAAATTGGAAACTGCACCATGACATGACATTTTATATTAGGAATTACGTTAAAATCTCGTAATTTCTCGTTCTTGTGGACTCAATCTCGTGTCGTCTCGTGGAAATTTTGTCACAAATTCTTTACAAAATTACTTCAAATAAATAAGAAAACAAGAGGCCAAAATTGGAAACTGAATCATTACATTTCTATATTAGGAATCACGTTAAAATCTCATCATGTCTCGTTCTCGTCGACTCGAAATTGTGTCTCGTCTCATCCCTACAAGTAAATGGTGTTACAAATTCCGTACAAAAATCGCATTGAATAAATAAAAAAACTTAATCATGACATTTCTCTATTAAGAATTATGTTAAAATCATGTCATGTCTCGTTCTCGTTTACCCAATCTCGTCTTGTCTCGTGGAAATTGTGTCTCGTCCCGTCTTTACTAGTAAATTGTGTTACAAATTCCGTACAAAAATGACATCGAATAAACAAAAAAACATGAAGCCAAAGCTGGAAACTGAAGCTGAATCATGACTTTATTAAAATCTCGTCATGTCTCGTTCTCGTGGACCCAATTTTGTATCTCGTCTCGTGGGAAATTGCATCTCGTCCCATCCCTACGAATAAATTGCGTGACGAATTCTACACAAATGTCTGCCTGGATCCATTGCTTATCTTTCCTGAACATGTTTGAATGTTGGCCGCGCTGGACGTCTCTGATAACAATTTATAGCTCTTTGGCTCTTTAACTATAAATAAACTGGACTATATAGTGAAACAGCTGCAATATGGAAACTATCAAAACGTCACAACACAGGCCTGGACCTGGACTACAGTTTATAGTTTTGGAAAAGAGAGTTGAAACCACAGCTTCTGCGAGTTGGAGCTTATTATTACAGTAACATGTTTTTCTTTTACGGGTTACACTGTCCAGAGGAGCGCAGAACGACACGGGGTCTGGCCGGGGCTCTGGACTCGAGGCCTGCACAGGATAATCGGAGAGAAAATATGATTTAAAATGGCGGAGTTACCAAATTGGGAGTTGCAGTTTTTGGTGTAATAAAATGTCCGGTACAAACAGCAGAATATTTAGGGCTTTAAAATCCGTGTATCATTCGTTCATTCGTTTTTCAATATAAAACCAAAAATAAGAAAACGAAAAAACAACAGTTTTCTTCGTTATTTGTCTCCAAAACCAAAATGAAAAAACGGATAACGATTCGTTTTTTCAGTTTTCGATTTTGTGTTTAAATGAAGAATGGAAAAAACGGTCCCATTTTGAACCAAAAGCTCTTATTTCGATTCATTTTCACTGGTGTGAATGCGTCAGTCGGATGCTTTGCACCACCTCGGAACCAGCCGCGGTTCTTGAACGCGGAGGACCAGAGCAGCTCTGTCCCGGTCTCAGTCCCGCTCTGGTCTCGGTCTGGTCTCGGACCTGGATCCGTCCTGATTCAGTCCGTATGCGGTGCAAAAGTCCGGCATCGCAGTCACGGAAGTCACGTAAACGGGAAACGGCCGTTATCCGTTTTTTCCATTCTTCATTTAAACACAAAATCGAAAAATGAAAAAACGAATCGTTATCCGTTTTTTCATTTTGGTTTTGGAGACAAATAGCGAAGAAAACTGTTGTTTTTTCGTTTTCTTATTTTTGGTTTTATATTGAAAAATGAATGAACGAATGATACACGGATTCTTTAAGGCTGCCACACACTACAGCAGGGGTCATCAAACTAAGGCCCGCGAGCCAACTCCGGCCCTTCACGCCCCTCTGACCGGCCCCTCAGTCCCTCTGACCCCCACCACTTGAACTGGTCCTATGAGGCAATCCTCAAAAGTTGTCATGGCCTATTTTTTTTTATTACTTTTTGGCAAATAATAACACATCTGCATCTTGTATTGTGTTGTTTTTTTCAATTTAAAAAAAAATATTTATATGAAGTATTTATATTTTAATAATTACATGACGTATTTATATTTGCCGCCAAATTTTTATCACCTGACAAGCCTGAGATCAAACAGTGACAGTCGACGCACGCGCAGAGTTCTGTAGTGCAGTTAAGAACAACAAAATGGTGAGCGTTAAAGTGCGACAAGTTGACAGAGAGTGCCAAGTTTTCAAAGATCAGTGGACGACTGATTATTTTTTTGTTCAGTACGGGAAACACTTAGCATGATTCATCAGCCGGTTTCACTTTGTGGACACCGTCTGACCTCGCAGCTTTAGGATTCGTTCGCTCGACGGTAGGCGGGTACTTTTTTTATTTAACGAATCGCTGCTGTTTGGTCGTGACGTATGTAATGCGCCGCTAACGGGGCTAACTGGTAAATTACGCTTTTCCCAAATCCTGTAGAAAGAAGGAAAACGTCTTTCCCCTTGATAAAATTCAAACATTCTCTTTTTCATCTTTAAATCCTTGATCTCGGGAATCGTTGCCAACACAGAATATCTGACTCTTCGTTGATTGGCTGGTGCCCGAACTCGTTTTTGCAAACCATCTCGTGTATTTTCATTCCTGATCTAGTCGGTGGAGAGAAATGAAATTGAGCGGAGGCACTAGGTGGCACCAGCCTGACTAGGAACCACTGTTATATGTAAAGAAAGTGTTGCAGTTTTCAAAGAACATAATCTGCGTCGTCAGGATCATACAATTCTGTTATAAGGCCAACACGACCCCGGCCCCTGTCACAGTCAGGAGTGATAATGTGGCTCCCAGAGAAAAAAGTTTGGTGACCCCTGCACTACAGGACAGTTTGCCCGATTTTGGCTGTGATTTGCGTCTCAATTTCAGGGAGGCGTGACCCGACTTTGTGTCCTCGTGTGCAATTTTAAAGCCGCTGTGCTCCTCTCGTGTGGTGTCAGTGTGACTCTGAGCTGCTCTGTTTGATCTTAACGACTAAACCACAGCAACAACCAATAAAACAGAACGTCACGGACAGACGCCTCTGTGTCCGTAACGCTCTTCGTCTTTAGTCGAGTACCGTCTTAATGTATTTTTGTTGTTTTGTTTTAGTTTAGCAGTTCATACTCCAGTCTTCTCTCATAAATTACTGCTCATGCTTGCAAATCTTACCAAAATCATTAAATAAAAATCACAATTAGACATTTTTTTCCCCCCAAACTTGTAATTGTAGTCGTCATGAATCCTCACCCAGTGCACAGTCGAGAGCCTCGGCCCCGTTCCTCCTGTCCGGGCCCCCGTCGGCGCTGCTCAGGGCCTGCTTCAGCGTGCACACCCACTCCTCCATCTCCGCCTCGCTGTCAGCCGCCAGGTAGTGACTGTAGCGCTCCTGCATCTTCAGCTCAAAGCAGTTGCGGCGCATCTTGGGACTCTGCGTTTAAAAGAGACACATTGAAAAACATGACCTTGATTTTCGCTGACTTAAACGTTGTCTGGAGGATTATTTTTGTTTGAAATTGTCAACGAAAGTTCAAAATTGAGCTCTGGGGGATGATGTTATATAGGCAATTTGGCAGACCAATCGGCAGACTGGCTGACTGTAGTGGTAGTGGTTTAGAGGAGCCTAAACACGGTTGATAACTGTTGTGCACCAAGTTGGACAAATAAAAAGGGAAAAAGAAAGATTGTATGGGCCGAAAACAGCGGCACCAGGGAACACCAGGACCTTTTTAAACACGAGGTGCCGCTGTTATCCACACCAAAGAACTGAGGAACTGCGGTACCGGGGAAGATCGGGACCTGCACACTCAGAGAGGTCCTGGTGTTGTTATTTTAGGCTATTAAACTGCAATTGGCCTAGTGTGACAAGCGCTACAGTCAGACTAGATCCAAACCAGACTCCAGAACCAGCGGGAGCAGCTCTGGTTCAGGCCGGGCTTAGATGAGCTGGAGCGGGGAGTGGTTCTTTCCCGGGAAGAACCAAGTGCAATGGAGGACAGACCAACCGAAAGTTCAATGTCATGCAAACTAAACTGAGGTAAGTACTCCGATGGCTCGAAAGCTTCAGGTGGCGCTGGTCATTTTACTGTCAAAACGGTGGCCCGAACACCCGTAGTCTCGTGGGATCTGGAGCTCTTTAGCATTATAGAGACACAGCAGTCTTGTAATTATGATGACCAAAAAAAAAACAGAATGAAAATCCATCAGCTGTGGACGTGGTGGGGCCAGATAAACATTAGATTAGGTAACGGGGCTACCTCGTTATCGATTGGCTGTCAGGTTGTCAGTCAAACTCGCTATGTTTCTAACGTAACTGATTCGCCGTCGCGCTGGGATTACATGGTTTACGTTCGCCTCTCGCACATTCCACAAACGCAAGACGCCGTTTACTCGACCAACGCAGAGGTTCTTAGAGTCATTTTCGAACTGCGGCTTCCTCGCAGGTTTGCGCAAAGTTTGTCGCGATGGCGGACGAGAATCCACGACCAGTTCGCCGCAAAAGAAAGTCCGTTTTTGAGGTCGCTGAAAGAAGAAGAGAAGGGGAAAAGGAGCGAAGACAAACTAAGGTGAACCAGGTCTAAACCAGGACTGAACCAAAGACTAAACCAGGTCTAAACCAGGACTAAACCAGGTCTAACAACATCATAACATGACTTAAAGTTCTCAAGAGTGAGCGTTGTGTAATAAAGGAGCTTTAAGTGCAGTACTTTTTTTTTTTACGTTTAACAGTTAGGCGCAAAAGAAAGTCCGTTTTTGAGGTCGCTGAAAGAAGAGAAAGGGAAAGAAGTGATGCCAAACTAAGGTGAACCAGGTCTAAACCAGGACTAAACCAGTTCTAACAAAATTATAACATGACTGAAAGTTCTCAAGAGTCAGTTTTGTGTCATACGCGAGCTTTAAGTACCGTCCTTCTTTAACGTTTACCAGTTCGCCGCAAAAGAAAGTCAGTTTTTGAGGTCGCTGAAAGAAGAAGAGAAGGGGAAAAGGAGCGAAGCCAAACTCAGGTGATTCTTGGAGATTCCTTCCAGCGATGGCGCGACTGAAGCAGACGAAGGGTCGCTAAATTACTTCTGGACAAGAAACTTCAACAGCAAGTCTTTCAGTGATCCTAAACACGCATCGATTGTAAACAAACATGATTTCGAGAGTAAAAAGGAGGAGTTTCTACTTAGGGAGCTGTGTAACGTTCGAAAAGGGACGAACTGTCGCTGTATTTCTCTTTCCTTGGAAAATCCTCTATACAACCTTTTAAAAATATGACAAACAGAACTAGCTAATCTGTAGAGAAAAACAAAAATGTGGCTGTTTGCTGCAGGTGTTCCAATCAGCGAGAACAGAAAAAGGATCAAGACTTTGGACAAAATGAAATCCAGGCACTCCAAAAAAAAGTAAAAGTCGCACGAGGAAAAGTATACAGTTCTTAAAAAGCCTTTATTTGTTTAACATCCTTTTATTTATACTTTTTTTTGGTGCGACTTTTACTTTTTTGGAGTGTCTGGATTTCGTTCGTGTCCAAAGAACTTGCTAATGTTTAAGGATTTGCAGTGGTACAAAGTTATTCCTCACTTGCATTACATATTCTATACTAATTATTAACCTGATTGAGTTTATAAGCACTTTTAACAACTTTCAGAGACCAGAGCAGAGTTTTGCCGCCACGTTAAGGCTCACAACGATAAAACCTGCTTTATAATTAGATGCAGTTAGTACACAGTGGCCTCGTTTTGACCAAAAGTGCTGTTTTTACAATATTTCTGTACTGGGGCCAAACTAATTTTAGTTACTGACTTACAGGTCCAGCTCCTTTAAACAATATCAACATAAAAAAACGGTCTAAAAACTTCTAATCTAATTGGACTTTCTAGTGGATTAGCAGCAACAACATTCCTGTTATGTTAAGGCTCTGCCACGAAGTAGATTTAAACATATCTTAAACCAACACAGTGTGATCTCTCCTGTAATCCCTGTTTTGTTCACGTAAGTCTAAAAATATCCTCCTTGGCACGGAGCAAGTCCGAGCTGCAGCAGGTACCAGTGTGTGCCGTGAGCTCAGAGCACAGCGGCCCCTCGCCCCTCATAACAGATCAGCTGGAATCCAGGACACGTAACTAAGCAGCAGAAAGTACGACAACAAAAACTGTGAAAAGGGCTACGTAATACACAACGGAATCGCAATGTATTATCAAATGTTTTAAGGCCTATTCATACTTCATCAGAACATACAAACTTTGGAGCTGGACAAACAAAATGACATAATTTTGTTGGTCCAGCTCCGGTTGTTCAGTTGTGACGGTTTTGTTCTCGACACTTCAGCTGAGAAGAACTTTATTCGGCAGTTCTGCAGCGCTGTAGCAAATCTTCGCTCTGATTGGTTATTTCTGGAACGCTCTGCCCCACCCACGTACGAACAGCAACCACAGTGGAGTGTTTTAAGGCTCGCCTTAAGACCCACATTTATTCTCAGGCTTTTAATACCGCCTGAGTTGGCTGGTCCTCTGTGTCTTTTTATTTTAATTTAATTTTTTAAATGTATTTATTGTTTTATGTATTTATTAATTTATTTATCTATTTAGTGTTTTTATTTACTTATTTATGTACTGTTTTTATTTATTTATGTATTTTTTTATTTATGTATTTATGTATTTATCTATTTAGTGTTTTTATTTATATATTTATCTAGTGTTTTTATTTATTTATATATTTATCTAGTGTTTTTATTTATTTATTATTGTATTTTTTATTTATTGTTTTTATTTATTTATTTATTTATTGTTTTATTTATTTTTTTTGTGTTTTTATTTATTTATTTTATTTTATTTTTTTTGTACTGCTTTTATGTATTGATTTTATTATTATTATTTTATTTATTTATTCTATTAGTTTCCTTATGGTTGAAACATAATTCTGCAGATTTTTTATTTATTTATTTTTTTTTAAGTAAAATGGTTTGCACTTTGGAAACCGTTTTGTTTCTAAAATGTGCTATACAAATAAAGTTGGATTGGATTATTTATGTGGGCGTGGTTTATCTGCTTCTTCGCCGGTGCAGAGCAAGAAAAAATAAAGGATGGTTTTGAGTTACAGCTGGAGGAAACGGTGAGAAAATACAAACATCTGTAGGACACGACGCTCACTGACGATAAAGACGCCAAATGGAAGAAATTCATGAAGGGAGATCGCCGACATTTTAGGCTCGGACGAAAATTAGTGTTGAAAAGTCTGTCTTAATTTCTGTGATAAGTTTGTGAAAACCAAAAGGCGGGTCACCAATAAAAAAAAAGGTTGGAGGACGAAAAAGAAATACCATCACTACAGAGCTAGAGCGAGGGGACGAACTCTTCTTGTTCTTATCACCTCAAGAACAAAAACAAAGTTCTAATGTTCTTATGTTTTTATGAATAGGCCTTTAGGTTTGTTTTTTTACCTGAATGACGTCGATGCACGAGTCCAGATAGATGGATCCTTTGGTTTCTTTGCAGTTCTTCTCGTCTTTGTAAGAGTTGAGGATGTATGAGCCGTCAGGGAGCTGGGACAGGTAGAAGTATCGTCTTTTGAACACCTGTAAAAATGTAAATATTTAAAAAAGAAAAGAAGATTCAAGGTAGGACTACAGGAGGGCAGGGGCAGTAAATGAGGACAGCGGAATGGTTGAAAATGGATAATGTGTATTGTACAAAAATAAGTGAAATAACCCAATATGTACATGAGCTGCAGCAAAAACCAAAAATCAGTCAAACAAATTCAAAATCAATTAAATGTCCTTGGGAAATGAGCTGCGATCAACCGGACTGTTCACCCAGCGCGGGAAAAACAGAATTCAAGCTGCTAGAAAAGTCCAGAATCAGTTATAGTGAAGGGAGGTAATGTCGCTTTTGTTTAGGTCACAGGTGTCAAACATGCGGTCCGGGGGCCAGATCCGGCCCTCCAAGACCTTTTAATCTGGCCCTCGGCTGATTTTCTACTAAAATATTGTAATTATATTTTCTATTAAAATCTTGTTAATTTTCTGTGGTGTTTATCACAGCAGCGTCTCCAGCGTCTCTGTACGTGGCCCCTCCCACCAGAGCAGCACAAATGAAGACTTGTCTCTTTCCAAACGCTCTTAAAGGACGATCGTTTTGACTGTCGACAACAAAATGTCAAAAATGAGAAAAGTGGACACCAAGTGCACGATTTTACCAGAAAAATTGACTTATTCCTATTTACATACAAGTTATTTTTAAAATGTTGTGTTGAAATTGTATTTTTCTTAAAGTTTCAGGTTGTTCATGATATTATGATATTTTGTAAAAGAAAGAGTTCATCAATTAACCCTCTCAGGCTCAAATTAATTTTTAGTATCAGGAAAAATCTGATATTTGGGGAAAATTATAATATGGGGTAGTAATATACAATCCTGACTTTTTTATCCTTTGTAAACGAAAAACGTATTTTGCACTTCTGGCAGGTTGTTTGTGTGTAGTCATTCTTGCACAGTCTGCATCGTCCACGTTTATCAGCATGGATGGAGAAAAGGCTCCTGAGTAAAAAAAGCTCATAAAATATGGATTTGGAGTAAGTAGGTAATTGGAATTTAGCTGTTGCAAATCTGCAACGCCTGCCTGGAGAGGGTTAAAAAAATCTGTAATAGATTTGTGTTTCTCTGCACAAATATTTGAACTTATTGTTATTTTTGGGGTTTATATGACATGAGTTTTCTGATCCGGCCCCTTTGGGATCAAAGTAGGTTGGATACGGCCCCCGGACCAAAATGAGTTTGACACCCCTGGTTTAGGTGTTCATGTGGGAATTGTCGCCGATGCAGGGATGGAGGCCGTGGAGCAGGTGCGAAGGACATTCTGCTACGTCAAACGCGTCATCGGTGTATCTACCGCGTCATCGTTGTAGCAGCTTTAGCTCGTCGTCACGTGGGAGTGTGGCAGAAATACGCTGCAATTTGTTTAAAAAAAAAACGCAGAATCAATCTAAAAACCACTTCGGCGACAAATACAAGGCCCACACGTCACTCTTAGAAGGTAGAAAGCTCTGAAAAGTTGATTTTGCATGAGATTTTATCCTTTAAACGTGCGACAAAGAGAGAGCACGCCACAGACACGAGGAGAATCTTAATAATTATATTATTATTATATTATATTATGTTTTAAATCTCCGATCACAAAGACCGCACAAAGACGACACGACGCAGCTGAATCCAGTGTGTCATCGTGATTATTAAAATAAAACTAGAGAACAAAGTCACAGACAGAGCAGCGGGCGTGTACAGGTGGAGGTGGAAAACAGGAGCTTATCAAAACAATGATGCCTTGAATTCCAGGAGAGTAAAGAGCTCAAACGTGCATGAATCACAACAAACACAATAGAGGAAATGAGAAGGGGAAACGAGAATAACAGGATTAAAAGCTCACTGAAGTCATTGTTGCATAATAGGTCCGCTTTAACATTATGCAACAATTCAAAGAAACTACTGCGAATCATCATCAGGAGCATCTCGACCGAAGTTCCTGAGGCCGTCGCACTTTTGAACATCGTACACTAACTTCCTGAACCCGTGTGTCATTCGTTCATTCATTTTTCAATATAAAACCAAGAATAAGAAAATGAAAAAACAACAGTTTTCTTCATTATTTGTCTCCAAAACCAAAATGAAAAAACAGATAATGATTCGTTTTTTTCAGTTTTCGATCTTTGGTGTTTAAGTGAAGAACGGAAAAAACAGATAACGGCCGTTTCCTGTTTACGTGACTTCCATGAGGATGCCGGACTTTTCCGTTGCATACGGAACCAGGACTGATCCAGGTCCGGGACCAGAGCGGGACCAGAGCGGACCAGAGCGAGACCAGAGCGGGACCAGAGCGAGACCAGAGCGGGACCAGAGCGGGACCAGAGCGGACCAGAGCGGACCAGAGCGAGACCAGAGCGAGACCAGAGCGGGACCAGAGCGGGACCAGAGCGACCAGAGCGAGACCAGAGCGAGACCAGAGCGAGACCAGAGCGACCAGAGCGAGACCAGAGCGAGACCAGAGCGGGACCAGAGCGAGACCAGAGCGAGACCAGAGCGAGACCAGAGCGGGACCAGAGCGGGACCAGAGCGGGACCAGAGCGGGACCAGAGCGAGACCAGAGCGGGACCAGAGCGGGACCAGAGCGGGACCAGAGCGGACCAGAGCGGACCAGAGCGGGACCAGAGCGGGACCAGAGCGAGACCAGAGCGGGACCAGAGCGGGACCAGAGCGGACTCCGAGCCCCAGCTTCGAGGTCGAGCCCTGCCGTGGGCTCTTTGCCTCTGGTCTGGTCCCGGTCTGGTCCCGGCCTGGTCTCAGTCTCAGTCCCGGTCTGGTCCAGGTCTTGTCCCGGCCTGGTCTCGATCTGGTCTCGGTCTCGGTCTGGTCCCGGCCTGGTCTCGGCCTGGTCCAGGTCTGGTCTCGATCTGGTCCAGGTCTGGTCTCGATCTGGTCTCAGTTCTGGTCTCAGTTCTGGTCTCGGTCTCGGTCTCTGTCTCGGTCTGGTCCTGGCCTGGTCCCAGCCTGGTCTCGGTCTCAGTCCCGGTCTGATCCAGGTCTGGTCCCGGCCTGGTCCTGGTCTGGTCTCGATCTGGTCTCGATCTGGTCTCAGTCTTGGTCTGGTTCCGGTCTCAGTTCTGGTCTCTGTTCTGGTCTCAGTTCTGGTCTCAGTTCTGGTCTCAGTTCTGGTCTCAGTTCTGGTCTCTGGTCTCAGTTCTGGTCTCAGTTCTGGTCTCTGTTCTCTCGGTCTGGTCCCGGTCTGGTCTCAGTCCCGGTCTGGTCCCAGTCTCAGTTCTGATCTCAGTCTCAGTCTGGTCCCGGTCTAATCTCAGTCTCGGTCTGGTCCCAGTCTGGTCTCAGTCTCGGTCTGGTCCCGGTCTGGTCTAGTCAGAGTGGCATCGGTATCCGCGAATCCACAAAAACCAAGCATCGATATCAGATTAGATCCTAAAAATTTGTATCAGAACAAAACAAATTTTTTATTTTTTATCTCTTTTAATCAGTTTGCCTCGAGGAACATATTTCATTCTGTCATGTGTTTCTCTCTCAAATGACAAACAAAGGAACCTTTAATAAAAAATATTAAAAAAACCTCGGTAAAGCTCCAAAAAAGTATTGTGCAATTCGACCGACTGCTCCAAACGTAATAACCATTAAACCAGAGTGTATTGTTTTGAAGAATGTGTCATTAGCGCACACACACACACACAGATGTTAGAGTGTGTTCAGAGTGTGTTGTGTGTGTTTTGTTGTGTGTGTTGAGTGTTTTGTGTTGTGTCTGTCGCTGCTGCTGCTGCTGACTCACCCTCATGGACACAGACAGGCTGCTGTTGATGTTGGCCTTCTGGAGCCAGCCCTGCTTCAGGACGCCGCCTCTCTGCGAGCACAGCGAAGACGTGTCCTGCCACGACAACAACAACAACAACAACAAAAACACACGTCAGAAAACAATAAAACAACGACAGAAATTTATCGTAGTATCGTCAAAAGTCTCACTGTAACATCATTACAACACTTTAACTTAACTCTCAGCAAAATAACTGTGTGAAGATGCCAAACTTTTGCGCTGTATAAGGAACTTCACTGAACCAGGTCTTAAACCAAGGGACTAAAACAGGATCTAAACACACTAAACACAGGACTGAACCAGGTGATACACAGTGAACTAAACTAGGAAATAACTTACGGTAAACCAGGATTGAAATCCAGGACTAAACCAGGTCTAAACCAGGACTGAACCAGGTCTAAACCAGGACTGAACCATGAAAATCCAGGACTGAAACCAGGACTGAAACCAGGACTAAACCAGGACTGAACCAGGACTAAACCAGGACTGTCTAAACCAGGACTAAACCAGGACTGAACCAGGACTGAACCAGGACTAAACCAGGACTAAACCAGAAAACCAGGACTAAACCAGGTAAACCAGGACTAAACCAGGACTAAACCATGAAACCAGGACTAAACCAGGACTAAACCAGGACTGAACCAGGTCTAAACCAGGACTAAACCAGGAAACCAGGACTGAACTGAACCAGGACTGAACCAAAACCAGGACTAGATCTAAACCAGGACTGAACCAGGACTGAAACCATAAACCAGTCTAAACCAGGAGGACTAACCAGTCTAAACCAGGACTAAACCAGGACTGAACCAGGACTGAACCAGGACTAAACCATGTCTAAACCAAGACTAAAGCAGGACTAAACCAGGACTGAACCAGGACTGAACCAGGTCTAAACCAGGACTAAACCATGTCTAAACCAAGACTAAAGCAGGACTAAACCAGGACTAAACCAGGACTGAACCATGTCTAAACCAAGACTAAAGCCGGACTGAATCAGGACTAAACCAGGACTGAACCAGGACTAAACCATGTCTAAACCAAGACTAAAGCCGGACTGAATCAGGACTAAACCAGGACTAATCTTGGACAAGGACTTGGAATCCAGGCCCGCCCCTGAGAGAATCCCGAGCCCGTGGAGCAGGCTCCTCAAAGCGCGACTGGGCGCTTTAAGGACACCCTCGCCTCTCGAGGGATCAGAACAGACGTGGAGGAGCAGCGGCTCTACTCCGAGCTCCTCCCGTGTGACTGAGCTCCTCACTCTGTCTCTAAGGGAGACGCCCAGACGCCCTGCGGAGGAAACTCATGTCGACCACTTGTATCTGTGATCTGGTCCTTTCGGTCATGACCCAGAGCTCATGACCAGAGGTGAGGGGAGGAACGAAAATTGAGATGTAGAGTTTATTACATTTCAAAATTTAATTGTCTGTGTTTTTAGCAGAGGTGGGACCAAGTCATTGTTTTGCAAGTCTCAGGTCTTTAACATCAAGTCCAAATCAAGTCAAAGCCAGGCAAGTCCAAGTCCAGTCTGGAGTCACGGGCCCATAAGTCCAAGTCAAGTCCAAGTCGTCTGCTTTGAGCTTCAAGTCATTTCAAGGCTTTAAAACCAAAAAAAATAATAATAAAGCTTAGATTTTTGCAATATATATGAATTTAAAAAGTACATTGTTCTTATAAAGTCACAGTATATTTATATGTATGAGTATTTTATATATAGAATTGTAGAAATTAATTTAGTTATGTTTTCCTTTTTAAATGTCTGGACAAGATCTTAGTGTGACAGGCCTCAAATCCGAGTCAAGTCCCAAGTCGTTGACCTTCAAGTCCAAGTCGAGTCCCAAGTCTTAGTCCATTTTATCAAGTCAAGTTTTTAGTTTTTCAGATTAGATCGTGGCAGAAAATAAACAGTTCTGCATCGTCATCATCAACTCTTCGTTCTTAACAAACAGCCGACGGAAGTGTTATTTATTTACATAAGAAAATTAATTCCTTGGTAACGTATTATTCCGTTCTAAATCGCTAAATGAAACAGATTTTAGTGCAAACTAAAACACACATTCACACATTCACAATGGTCTTCGTCGCACTGGGGTCTAGACAGGGGAGCAGCTGTCTGGTGCTCGACGCGGGTCCGATGACGGAGCCTCGTTCAGACTCGAGTGTTCAGCCCTCGTCATTGTCTCACGTTAACACGGACGCGTTTCTGCGGCGGAGAACGACACTGATGGAAGCAGCTTTTGTGTCGTGTGACGGAGAAAATGGTGCTGAAGAGGTGAGAGCTCGTCCACTCCTCCTCCTCCTCCTCCTCCTCCTCCTCCTCCTGCTGCTCAGTCTGTGTGTCAATCGTTCATTCGTTCATTTTCAAAATAAAAGCAAAAATAAGGAAACGAAAAAACAACTATTTACTTCATTATTTGTCTCCAAAACCAAAATAAAAAAAACTGATAATGATTAGTTTTTTCAGTTTTCGATTTTGTGTTTAAATGAAAAATGGAAAAAACCAGGACTAAAACGGGACTAAAACAGGACTAAACCAATTTCAGTCCTGGTCTGGTCCCGGTCTTGATCCCGATCCCAGTCCCAGTCCTGGTCTCAGTTCTGGTCCTGGTCCTGGTCCGGTCCCGGTCTCAATCACAGTGTGGTTTTGGTCTGGTCCAGGTCTCAGTCCCGGTCTCAGTTTTGGTCTGGTCCCGGCCTCAGTCCTGGTCTCAGTACTGGTCTGGCCCTGGTCTCAAGCCCGGTCTGATCCTGTCCCCGGTCTCAGTCCTGGTCTCAATCCTGGTCTCTAATCCTGGTCTCACTCCTGGTCTCAGTTCTGGTCCTGGTCCCAATCTGGTCCTGGTTTCAGTCCCAGTCTCAGTCACGGTGTGGTCGTGGTCTGGTCCAGGTCTCAGTTCTGATCTGGTCCCGGTCGCAGTTGCGGTCCCAGTCTCGGTCTCAGTCCCAGTCTCAGTCCTGGTCCTGTTCCTGATCTCAGTTCCGGCCTCAGTCCCGGTCTCAGTCCTGGTCTGGTCAC